ACCCGATATTCCCCTCCCCTCCGCCTTAATGGGACGCCGCAGGATCGCTTGCGCATAACTACTACGGCGCCCCGGCGGCAGGTCTGCCTAAAAAGGCAGACCACTAAACCAATGGGGCTGCTCCACAGTCAACTCTGCTACGCCAGAGAGGTACCCGGAGCAGCCCCATTAAACCTAACCACCGCCCACCGAAGTGGGCCACCTCCAATCAGCTGCAGAGGACAGGGAGAGCGGCAACGACACACCGACACTCCTCTTCCCCTGCAGCCCCACCGCGTCCGCCATCAAACGGTGGCGGCCCCGTCTAGGCCGCGGAAGGTAGGGAGAACGGCGCACCGAAATACCGGCACTCCTCTCCCGCCGCGGCCTACTCCTCCGCCGGATGCGGGCCTGCGACCACAGTCCCGCAACCGGCACCCATCATCCGGTTGTGGGACCAAACGGTCCCACCACCGGTGGCCGCAACGTCTTCGGCTCGAGGCCTAGACGAGCGGCCCCACCCAAGCCATTTGGTCCGCGCCGGATTTCTCCGGTACCACCCGCCGCCCTAAGCGGGTGGCATTCCCCTATCCGCCACCTGGGGACGCGCCCGGTAGGAGTTGGCTTCTCCCCCGGGACAATCTTTAAACCCCTATCTTACCCACTTAGGGGATGAATTTCGAGAAATCCTTTCTTAACGGATGCCTATTTCGTATAAAAAATACGTCCTCCGAATTTCACGTTTCCACAACCAGGCTTAGGCTGTGTGTTAATCCATCAGTCAGCCAAAATGAAGACCACCACAGGATGCACCTCTCCTTCTCAATACTTCCTCCAGTGGTTTAACTTCCAGGTACAATATTTTGCAGGAAGGTATGAATACAATAGAAGCAAAAATCTGGTACAAAAGAGATATCACAAAAAATTGCTTAACCTCATACTGAAAGTAAATAGATCATATGTGTAGCGCCCTCCTTTCAAAAAATCTTCCCTATTCTAATTTTTATTTGTCATCCATGATTCTAATCTCTATTCTTTTGACAGAACTCTTGACAGTTGACACTTTTGCTTTGCTTGACACTTTATAATTACATTATGCCCTCAACTGTCGCTGTCATTTTACAAAAATATGGCGCATCTGTCGGCTACTTTTCGAGGGCCTGCGCGAAATATGTACGCATCATTAAAATAACAATATTTATTAAAATTTTATATAAAAGCTATATATAAAGCTTATATCGTTAGAATCGTTTTAAAATAAACTAAGAATACATATATAAATAAGATCAATTGTATTTAATATTATATAGTTAATTCTAAGTTGAAATTACTGTAAGTGATTTTTTATCAGTATATAGTATGAAAACAGGCATTATTATAAAATAAAACTATTATTTTAAAAACTTTTAATTTCATTTAATTATAGATACAATATTTTATATTAATTGATTAAAACAACACAACTCACTGTACATTTTTTTTACACCACAAGCTTAACAATAACATGTTTCAATTATGGCGACTTAGCGCCGGATAAAAAAGAGGTGTTTTTTATACTTGAATTCTAAGAGCATTGAAGATAAAGAGATTTAGGATAATCATTTATATTATAGTTTAGTCCACGTACGTTATACTGACAAAGTTTGAGTTCTTATAACTATTTAATTTACGAGAATTGAACAATAAACCAAACACTAGAAAATAAGTGCTAAAAAATGTCATCTCAAACTTTGGATCGCAGAGCAAATTCTGTTTAAATTTTCTTTAAAATATATTTACACCTTACAATTAAGTGATATTTCAAAATGAAAAATAGAATAAAAAGACATGTTGCCGTATTAGAATATTTCAGAAATAAATTCTGTAAACTAACAATTTTACTATAAGAATTACAATGGACAGCTAAAAAAGTATGGATACGACCAATTCCATCACATCTGAACAGATTATGTTATGGAAATAAAATGATAATAAAACACCAATTAAAATTAAACAACTTTAAATATTAATTCGGAGAGGAATTATTTTTTTTCTACTGTTTTTAACCTCCGACGCAAAAACTACGGGGAGTTATTTGTTTGACGTGCTGTGTGTTGTGTGTGTGTCTGTCTGTGGTATGATAGCTCCCGAAGAGATCATCCGATTTTGTTTTTGTTTTTTCTCTGAAAGGTGAATAATTCGGAAGTGTTCTTAGTTATGTATGATGAAAATCGGTCCAAGATGGCCGCCGCCACAAAATAGCGGATTACATATTTTTTCACAACTCCCTCAATATGGGTATCAAATGAATTAGGCTTGACTAGTATAATTTTCGAATCCAAGATGGTCGCCACCACAAAATGGTGAATTACATGTCGGGGTTACTACTGAGCCCCCCCACCACGACAAGGTGAACGCACGTTGGGGGGGAATTCTAAATGAAAACCTCCGTTAAGCTATTTTTGACATTTTAGTGCCTGGAAGTCGGTTTTTTTTAAGAAACAGTTATTTATACTACACCCTTGTTCGCTTTCGCTGCTTATGGGGTACATTGCCTACAATTGGTCTTTCTTGTTTACCCTCCGATCATAATATTGTAATCTAATAAGGCATGTTTTAAGCAATTTTGGTGCAGCTTCAATAAACATAAAATGCAACATGATATTAGTTTAAGAGATGCAAATAAACTTATTTTTTACCCGACTGCGCGACGCAAAGGAGGGTAATGTGTTTATCAGTCTATGTATGTATGTATGTACATATGTATGTATGACACTCTAGAGACCAAACGCGTGGGCCGATTTCTATGATTCATATGTCGTTAGTTTCGTATTTACGCGAGTGTCATAAGCTATATATAGCCTATAATACTCGCGTTATAGTTAAAAATTAAAAATAGTTAAAAAGTAAAATGGCGGATATCAGGCGCCAATTGGTCTGTAAAAAAATTTTCCAAATCAATCGAATGGGCTCTTAAAATAAAGATTTTTGGTGATCACAAAAACAATTAAGAGAACACAACTTACATGTTTAAAGGTAATTTGGGATAAGAAATTGCTAAATATTAAGTCTTTACCTATGAAATTGTCGTTTAATATACAGAAAGTTAAAGTATTGTATTTTTATAAATATTTTTCATTTCTATTAATCAAAATATGCACCCATGCTATTGATGCAATTTGATGCAAATGGACCAATATTGTTTTGATGCTAACGTTGAAAGCTGCTGCTATCTCAGCCACAGATTGAGTATCGTCAGCTTCCACTATCGCCTTTAATGCGTCGTTACTGATTTTAGTTTTCGGGCGACCACGGGGTTACTTTTTTAAGATCAAAATTTCGATGTTGGAAGTGTTCAGACCAATAACGAGTTGTGCGTTCGTTTGTAGTGTTCACTCGGCACTCCGTACGCGTCATTAATGTTGCGAGCCGTTTGTGCGGGATTGCTACCGCGATCGAACTCGTATTTCATAATTACTCATATTTTTATTGTGTTTATATTGATGAAAAACAAACTAATGTAGTGAACAGAAAACAGTAATTAATAAACAAACGACTGAATTCAAAAATAGAACTCCATACTTTTAAAATAAAATTCATTTGAATTTAGAATTTATTGCCGGCCAATCATAAATTACGTTTCCAATGGCCAGTAAGTATTGTAGAACGGCAATTTCAAAAGACCTATTATAACTTCAAATTTCTAATAAAATTAAAAAGCTGTAAATAAAAAAATACATTTCATCCTTGTCGCGAGATGTACATGTGTATGTCACCAACTGCATAATACTTCATTCCTTCGTCAACTTGTTTTTATCTTTTTAGTTAGCTGTTATGCAGTTAGGTTTTTTTTATTTTTATAATGTTTTAAAGTAATGTGTAAGTTGAACTTATATCTGTAAAATAAAAATCGTACTGTTTTAAAAAAATCAATTTTTTTTTAGAAAAACAGTTAAAATATTTATAAAATATTAAATTTTAAATAATCCTAAAAAACATCAATGAAAATATTCTAATGAATATTAAAAAAGCCTTCCCCATACTATCCAACAGCCGTCAAAAATGGCGGCTCGAATTTGGGTTACGTGTTAATAAATTATTAATTACTTAAAATCTAATAGAAAATTTACAAATTCAATTATACGTAGTTATTTAGTTATAAATTTAAATCATGTTAATAAAAATATTATGCTATCACTAGTGTATTTTTTATTCAGAAAAAGTGAAAATATAAGCACTAAGCGCGCGTGAATGCTTACGATGTTTGACAAATATAACAATTTCTGTATAAAATCTCTATTCAATACACATCCTATGAAATAAAAACTGTTAATTACTTACCCTTCCATCATATTCCAATCCTTATACTAATAATTTTACACTATTTTGTTAATTTTTTACTCACAAGTATTGAGTTTAAAGATCGCCAAAATTTAAATAAATTGTCTGCACAAATTACAATAATTTATGTTATTGGAGTTATTACTTTTTTGACATGTAGTATGATATTATTGCTTGTATTTTTCTTTACACGTTACAAAAGTTAGATAAAAATAAATATAGTTTAAATGCGAGAAATCACACATTAAATGACATCGGGACCAATCGACCTTTAAAAGGTCGCTTGACAGACAGGGGTCAGGGGTGTTTTTGACATCGACCTTTAAAAGGTCGATCGACAGACGAGGTATTATCTTGTTGTTCTTCCTGATCTGTTTATCCTATCCTAGACAGTTGACATGAAATTTGACATTTCGGAATAAAATGTTGATAACAAAAATTAATAACAAAAGTTCAAGTAATATTAGTAGAAACAATTCTAATCTCAATCTTCCAAACTTCATATTCTGTAATCGTGCAATTTTAAAGGAAGTTAATACTTTATTGGCAATAGCATGAAGAAAGAGGACTTTTCAAAGTTATGGGTGCTGAAATTGTGTTTAAAAATATTGTATCCAAAGTTCAATATTAACACTTTTTTAGTTTTCCTAGCTATTAAAAGTAGATACTATATCAACAGAGGCTTCTTGACAGGAAATAAAATGAATGATTTTACTATTAAAACCCTTTCAAAAAACATTCTGTGTTCACTTCTAGAAGACCTTATCCAAAATGAAAATCTGGCAGTATTGTCACATAAATGTATTATAATCTCCAAAGAGCAATTCATTCAATTGACAGTAGAGAATTTCTTTTATAAAGACAATGGAGTTTTATGGGTAATTATGAAATTAGCTGGTGAAACAAAAAAAACACACAAGGATAGTCATAGAGCTTCAACTAGCTTGAAATATAATTTAAACTTTGTTACGTCAGAAATTCATAAAAAGTTATGGACAGATACCAAGCCACAAATTGAAAATGAAAGGATAGTCCCTGTAGTTGGATCTAATTTAATACCAGAAAATATGGCTTATACAAATGAAGATGAATATTTAAACATCCTGTCTACCTTTGGACTTGACAACAAACCAAACATTGATATTTCATTTCACCCTATAACCTGCTTTGAATATTCTCCAAAAATAGCAGCAGCTGCTGAAGTAAACCTGGTAGTAAATGAATATGACTTGGAAAATGATTTTTTAAAAGAGGTATTGAGTAATCATTTTGAAATACCAAAAGTTGTGTCTCCCAATGATATTATCAGCATTGATCTTACACCAAAAATATTATCAATATATAATTATAAATATTTAGACTTGGTGGAATCTACTGGAAAAATATATTTCAAGTGTAAAAAGTTGCAAGCAGAAGGAGAAACTAAAAGCAAATGTAATAATATAATACCTTCTTTTTATATTATAAAAGGAGTAACTCAATTAACTCTTGGTGAAAATAATCATGCTGTAAAACCAAAGAATCAATATTTAGAAACAAATAGTTTAAATCATAGGCACAGCATCCACCTATGTCCAGATGGGCTTCGAGAAAAATTTGATCTTATGCAAGAAACTCTAAATTTATTTTTAAATGGAGATATAGGTATTTTCAGTATAAAATTCATAAAGTTTGAAATGCATAGTTCATATGAGATTTAGATGATAATATTTAATTACAGAAGAATTATCAGCATCTCTAATATCTCCAATAATACCAATGCTACTTTTAACTGGGGCTATTGGATCAGGAAGGCATCTGCTAGTGAAAACTTTAGCAAAATATAATGGTATGATATTTCATAATACAAATTGAATTGTCTTGAAACTTAATTTGTCATAAACAAGAAAGCAATATAATATATTCTATCTATTAAGTGGTGATCTCTCTAATCTTTTATACAACAATTTTTTTTGAATATTAAATATTTATTCGATGAATCTGGAAGCTTTATTTATTTTAAATTTACTATATTGTACAATTTGTCTATTGCATGAGTATTAAATTTATCCCTAATGTAATTTTATTATATTTATAGGTCTGAATTGCTTACATGTTGACTGCAACACTATACAAAACTCAACTGCAAAACAGACGGAAAGTAAAATTAATGCCATGATACAAAAAGCTAAAGCTGCTGCTCCTGTCATTGTCTTGATGGATAATTTTGATGTAAGTACAAGTGCAGTAATCACTTGTATTTAGTAAAGAACCAAGTTGAATAATATATAAATTTTTAGGTTTTCGCTGTAGATGCTGAAAATAATGAAGACTATAGAGTAATGGAATATTTCACGAACACAATAACAGATCTGTATGAAAATTATACAAAGCATCGTATTATATTTATAGCAATAACAGAAAAGAGTGATTTAAAACCCAATATGATGAGGATTTTCTTAGAAAAAATACACATACCAAAACTTAATCTACAACAAAGATATAAAATGTTACAATGGTATGCCTGTGCCATGGACTTAAACATGATGGATGGCCTTCTTGAAAAAAATAAACCAAATAAAAAAACATTGATAATGTCAGAAAAACAACATTTAAATAGTTATGTGAAAGATGTTCTATATAGAGTGGCATCTAAAACTGAAACATTTGTGTATGGTGACTTAGATACTCTAGTACACTTTGCTATGAGAGAATCATATTTAAAGCAGATAGCATGCTCTTCATATTTATCTCAGGATCCTAATTTGAGTTATATCCAAGAAGAAGATTTCAACAAAGCTTTAGGTCAGCTCATTAATATTATCAAATGGCAGTTTCTGTTTTATTTGAAAATAGTAAAAACAAAACTAATTTTATTTCAAATTTCATTAGACACTCATCGACTCGACAGACATTGCCTGAATATGATACTCCTTATAACATCAGCTATCTGCCAGTGAAAGGCCTGTCAAAATCAGTCCAGCCATTTTAGAGATCAGCCAGAATGAACAGACAATTTTTTTTTAAGTTGTGTTATTTTTATAAGTACCTTATATAATTTCATATGCATTTAGTAAAAAGCTTTTATTTTAACATTACATACGGAGATATATATATATATATATATATTTTTTTTGAATTCTGTTTCATGGCAATCTGTTTATAAACAATAAGCCAATCCTGTGTTAGAATTATAATTCTTGTTATGAGATGTTAGTGCAAAGAAGCATCCATTGATGTTTCCCTCGCAGTGTGCCTAGAAGCGATCAATAAGGCTCAATACACTATGTCTTTTCAGACGAAAGAATTGCGCTCTTTCGGCGCCCTGGAGTTCCATCGCTAATTTATTGATGTGTGCTGCCAGACGAATCTGATACTTTTTAATAGAATTTTTGATTTCTTGTTTGACTGTGTTCAAGTTTAGATCTATGTGTATATATTTGTTTTTTACCAAGTATGGTATATCTAGCATTGTACTTAGCGTCTTGCTTTGAAATCTTTCTAATATTTCAACGTTGTTGTTACTTGCAGTTCCCCATAATTGGATACCATATGTCCAAATTGGTTTTATAATTGTTTTATAAATTAGTATTTTGTTGGTTGGAGATAGCTGTGAGCGTCTTCCAGTTAACCAGTAATAGTTTCTCATCGTAGTGTCGAGTTGTTTCCGCTTGGTCCAAATATGTTTACGCCAGGTGAGTCGTTTGTCAAGGTACATTCCAAGGTATTTGGCATCTTCTGACTGTGGAACTTCAGTATTATATATTTTAACTGAAGGACAGAGTTGTCTTCTAAGTGTGAATGTTACATGTGTCGATTTATTTTGGTTTATTTTCATACGCCATTTATCAAACCACTCTTCAACTCTACTGACATGTGCTTGTAGGTTTGCTGATGCTAAGTTAGGATCATGGTGAACAGAAAGCAGCGCTGTATCATCAGCGTAAGTGGCAGTTAAGATGTCATCATGGGTTGGTAGATCAGCCGTATATAGTAAGTACAGAACCGGGCCATGAATACTCCCTTGTGGTACTCCTGAGAGAGATTCGCACATGTTGGAGGTCTCGGAGTTAACCTTAACTTCAAAACATCTTTTGCCAAGGTATGACTTAAACAGTCTGAAAAAAGGGTGAGGAAGATGTTTTTTTATTTTGAAGAGTAAGCCCTCGTGCCAGACCTTATCAAAGGCCTGTTGTATGTCCAGAAAAACTGCTGAGCAATATTGTTTGTTTTCAAATGCTCTATAAATGGTGTCGACAAGGCGATGAATCTGTTCTATAGTACGTGTTTTTCCCTAAAACCAAACTGGTGTTGCGGTAGTACACAATCGAGGTAGGGTTTTAGTCTAGTGAGGATTATTTTTTCAAAAACTTTTCCAGGTACTGGTAGAAGGCTAATAGGACGATATGAAGCAGCCTCTTGTGGTGGTTTGCCAGGCTTTGGTATCATTTTCACCTGTGCAATTTTCCATTGACTAGGAAAGACTGAAATTCTAAGGCATGCGTTCAGTATTATAAAAAGAAGGACTATACCTTTCCGTGGAAGCTGTTTAAGCAAGGTAGCGTCAATCTGATCGTATCCTGGTGCTTTATTATGTTCTAAGCTCATTAGTATAGATTGTACTTCTTTTAAGTTTGTGGGTTTGAGGGGTAAGCCGAGTTGTAGGGGTGAGTCTAGGTAGTTGCGTATTTCAATATCGTGATCTGGATGAGAACCAGGGAAAGGTTCAAAAACTTTCTGAAGATGTTGTGCAAATACGGCAGCCTTATCCTTGTCGGACCTAGCCCAAAGACCGAAATTATTCCTAATTGGTGGTGTATGCCGAGTTGGTTTTTTGATTTGTTTCGTAACTTTCCATAGTGAGTGATCTGTTCTTTTAGATGGAGATAGTTTAGATAATTTCTTTTGAAGGTTGTCGTTTATGTAATTGCTTATCATATTCTTGAGACTTTCAGAGGCTTTATTAAACTCTGTTTTATCGCTAGGGAACCCAGTATTATGCCAAATTTTTCTAAGTCTTCTTCTTTCCTCTACTTTTTGTTTAATGTATTTTGGATAATAATGAGAATTTGGAGCGGGGTTTTTATCCATGTGTGTGGAGTTATGTGCTGCTTGGTGAATAAGGATATTAAATTTTTCGATTGCTGATTCTACATCCTCTGTGGTTTTTAGAGAAATCGCTAAGTTAACTCTGTTATTGATGGTATCTTTATATGTGTCCCAATTTGTGTTCTTGTTGTATAATCTTTGCGGATAATCTGTCATAATGACTTTGTAGTCTAAATTTAATATAACAGGTGTGTGGTCTGAGGATAGGTCAACACATGATTCTACAATCATTTGATTAGTTGGAATGCTTTTGTTGATAAAAAAGTCAATTAAGTCTGGCAATTTATTTCTGTCTGCGGGCCAGTGAGTTGGTTCGCCATGTGATATGCATTGTAAGTTGAGTTCTGTAGATGTTAAGTATAACTGTCTCCCTCTTGGTGAAACAAGTCTTGAGCCCCAAAGTACATGTTTGGCATTCCAGTCACCACCACTTATAAATTTATTTCCCAGAATTGAGAAGTAATCCTTAAAGTCATTTTTAGAAAGAGAGTGTCTTGGTGGACAGTATATAGCTGAAAGTGATAGTTGAGATCCATTATCCAGAATTTTTATCGATGTTGCTTGAATTTTTTCAGTTTTATATTCTTCTAGAGGGTAATGTTTAATGCTAGTTTTAATGATGATAGCTGTACCCCCATGTGAGTTACCTGAGGGGTGATTTGTAGTATATATGTTATAATTTTTAAAAATGACATATGATTGCGATGTAACGGAGATATATAATAAAGAAAATATAAGTGTAATAATAATTTTTAATATTACAGACTCCATAAGGAATCTGCAAAGTCAACATTTAGATACACCAAAGATTCCAAAAGTTTATTGGGAAGATATAGGTGGTTTAGAAAAATTAAAAAAAGAACTGTTAAAAACCATAGAGTTCCCTATTAAATTTCCTCACCTATTTAAAAAATCTTCATTGAAAAGATCCGGTAAGCTTTTTTCTTTTTTTTTATTTCGAAAACTATAATATGACAAGTTTTGATATACTTGTATGTATGTATATTTGATACTATTTTAAAGTAAATATCCGTCTAAAAGACAGAAACTAGAAACTTATTTTTCTATTAAGAACATATTGATACATTGAAATTTAAATAAAGCCTTTGCACAATTACTTTTTACATTAATAAACATTTTTTATTTTTCTCTATATATTTCAGGTATCTTGTTATATGGACCGCCAGGATGTGGAAAGACCCTTGTAGCAAAAGCAGTGAGCACGGAGTTAAATGTGAGTTTCATGAGTGTTAAAGGCCCGGAGCTATTAAACATGTATATTGGACAATCTGAAGAAAATGTAAGAAGGGGTAAGTGATAGTAATTATAAACATAAGTAAATGATTATATTGGGAATTAATGATAAAGAAGTAGGAGCTTGTTTAGGAAACAAAACCTTTTTAGGGTTGCATAACTCAAAAGGAACCCTTACAGTCATTTTCTTATCCATGCGTCTGTCTGTCAAGACCTATTTTCTCAGGGACGCGTCGAGGTATCACGAAATCTGGTCTACAATCCCTTGGAGCTGTGAAAAAATCAGACTTCTAAGTTAATGCTATCAAAAGATATGTGTGTATATAGCATAGTTTGAAACTCAAGGGAATCAAAACCTATAGGGTAATCTCCGTTCACCTAGAATCATAAAAGATAAGAAACAATGTCTTATGGCACAAATAAAGGGAAAAATAAAAACACATAAAATACATTATAAAAAAAATTAACACCTCCAGGTAAATTTTGAAGAAATTAATCGAAATTCTACGAAATCTATTGTTAACTGACACGCCGGCGTATCCATGGTCGTGGAGGGATTAATTAACTAACATTATTAATTATCTTAAAATAGCAGAATCATATACCTATCCATAGCGTGAAACATGCTATGCGTGCTCAGTGTGCGAGTCAGACTCGAACTTGTCCGATTTTTTATCTTTATTGATCTGTAGTCAGTTTTTGACTATTTAATGATTGCAGATGTTTTATAATTTTCGATAAATATAAATTATGTAATGTAACAAAAATATTTTTTTATTTATATATTTTTTTGTTTTTATTGTATTCGTATTCTTCTCAGCAGACCCTTTCATTAGATATCCATATCATGAGGTGAAATGATGAATTAAACATTTAAAAAACCTCCGACCGTCTAAGACCAATTTTGATCAAACATAGCTAAGAACACTCCCGACTAATTCATCTTTCAGAAAAAAAAATCAAAATCGGTTCATCGGTTCGGGAGCTACGATGCCACAGACAGACACACACACAGACACGTCAAACTTGTAACACCCCGTCGTTTTTAAGAGTCCGCCTGCCGCCATATTTGTTTTAAAATGACATTACTAAAATAACCATGCATTGTCATCCAAACTAATCTTATATGCAAAATTTCAGCTCAATCGGTTGAGGATACCTGCTTTAAAATTCTGTTGTAAGATTTGACCCGAACAAACAAACATACCAAGTTAAATAAAAGCTTGTAATATTTAATAAACGTGTATTTTCATCAGTATTCGAATCGGCGCGAGCGTCGTCCCCCTGTATAGTGTTCCTGGACGAGCTGGATGCACTGGCACCTAGAAGGGGTGCTGCGGGGGACTCGGGTGGGGCCAGTGACAGGGTGGTCAGCCAGCTGCTGGCTGAGGTGGACGGGGTTGCCAGTGGAGAGGGTAAGATTGATTCTAGCCTTTTTAATAACCTACATAGGCACAGGCGACCCTTCCCTTCAATGAAAAGGCGATCAGGCATAGTCCACTACGCTGTCCAAATGCGGATTGGCATACTTCACAAGTCTGAGAACTGGTTAGGTTCTCTCAAACATGCATTTTCCCCTAAGATATTTTCATTCACTAAATCATTTTGGAAATGATTCACACATTTGTCTGTATTTTTTTACTTTTGTAATTTCACTGAACAATAAATAAATATTTTGTTATCTAGATGCTGACTCGTCAAGTTTCGTATTTATAATGGGTGCTACAAACAGACCAGATTTGTTGGAGCAGTCACTGCTGCGTCCGGGACGCCTCGATAAACTCATATACGTCGGTCCTTACACTGGTCTTAGAGAAAAAGCTTCAGTTCTTCAAGCATTATGCAGAAGGTTTGGAAATTACTAAAGTTTAATATTTAATTGAAATATATTACATTATTATCAACTTTTTTGTAAGAAAATTATTAATAATCATTGTTTTATAATTTTCTTGCTAATGCTAATAATGCTTTTTATATACAGATTATAAGAGACTAGCGACTCACCCTCGCTTCGCTTGGGTTCGTCCCTAGCTTGCTTCCAAATACAAACTTTCATCCCCATTTTTACCCACTTGGGGGATTTATTTTGATTACTGGGATTATAAGTATCCTATCTTCTTTCCAGGGTCTCAAACTGTCTTCTTACCAAATTTCATCTAAACCAGTTCAGTAGATCCAGAGATTACCCCTACAACGTCACAAACTCACAAACTTTACCTCTGTATAATCTTAGTATAGATAAGCCTTTTACATCTGTAGATAAGAGTCTAAAAACTCAAAATGAATATCGATTTTATTTTATTCTCATTCCATTATCATGTTTTTTTTTTAATTCATTAATTTTAATAATATATATTTTTTAATAATATAGTTATAAACTTCGTCCGGAAGTGAATTTGGATGACGTGGCGGCCGCACTGCCCGAGCGCTGCACGGGCGCCGACCTGCTGCACGTGGTGAGCACGGCGCGCGCCGCCGCCGTCAGGGGCCTCGTTGACAAACTGCAGAACGGTATGGCACACATTTCGATCATCATCATCATCATATAAGTCCTTATGATGATGAGCCACTGCTGGATATAGACCTCCCCCAAAGATTACCATGATAGCCAGCCTTTTACCATTCAATGTTCTAACGACTTTGGCCACATAAAACTTTCTTAGAGTTACGCGAATATTTGGCATTTTAAATATTATAACTATCTTTTCGGATTATTTCGAGGATTTATTTTGATTTTAGGTTCCCGACGTTTCGAATGCTTTACAGTAATCATGGTCTCTCCCGTGTTCATAAAATGACTTTGACCACGTCGGTCTATATTATTGTGGACCACCCCTTTGACCTCCACACACATTTTTTTATGGAACGATTTCGCAGTTAAAATACATTTTCGTGGCTAATTACAGTTAGGTATTCCCGTCAACCCTAAAAGCGTGTCACCACTTCATTTAAAAGTGTAGGCACACACAAATATACACACACACATCCTTTTTATACTTTTCTATTTTTATTAAGACCTTTCATAGTAACCTTTTTTTTATAAATTACATTTGTGACAAATTTGTAAGAAGAAGAAAATAGTGAGATTAAAAGGCTTACAATTATATGCATGACTAGCGACTCAACCTCTCTTCGCTCGGGTTCGTCCCTGGGTATGTTTTATTTTTTTTTGATTGGAATCCTAATTCTTTTTCTAAAATAAAAGTAGCCTATGTTACTCCCTATAACATCCGCTATCTTCTTATAAGTACCGTATATAATTTCATATGCATTTAGTAAAACGCTGTTATTTTGATATTACAAAAAAACACTTCAATTCTATTTATCTGTATAGATTTTTATTTCTATTTTAAATCAACTAGATTTAAATTATCTAATATCGCTGCAACGGCCATAAAGTAAGTATGACAGTCGGTTGCGCCTCCCCCGCGCCTCACCTCACGCGCCCCGAACGATATCCCAGTCTAGTGTTGCCGAAGTATTGATATTCGATAGTTTCACTTTCGATAATATTCATCTAAAACAGCCCTACTATCGATAGCAATATCGATAATATCGATAGTATCGATAGCTCGAAATGCGACAATACTATTAATGGAGGGCAATGATATCGATACTATCGATAGTATTGCTGCTAATGAATTATTATAAATTAATAATTATCAATGGTATCGATAGAATCGATACTATCGATACTATTGAGATTTGGACCATCGATAGTTGTTAATTTCTCGATAGTATAAGGTAAGTTTCAAAAGCAATGTAATTAAACGAAAGTCAGTATAAAATAATCGATTTGTGCATCCTGCGACTGTGTACAATAATCGAAAAATGAGCTACTATCGATAGACAGATAACGATATGATATCGATCGTCGACTATCGATGGGCAACTCTTCGACATACAACAGTCTTCGTTAAACGGCTGTATAGATGAGTACACTGTGGTTTAGTTTTGTTTTTTTGATATTGTTTATAATTTCATGTGTGTATATTTTGATAAATGAACAACTTAAATTGAACTTATTTACGTGATAAAAAACTTGTTGTGCCAGCGGTCGCGGGTTCGAGTTCCACTGGAGGCATTCATTTGTGTGATGTAAACAAATGTTTGTACTCCAGTCATGGGTGTTTATATTTATATGGTATGGATTTAAAGTTATACATGTGTAGTGTATCGACTGTCTGGTACCCATAACACAAGCATCCTAGCGTACCATGGAACAAGATGATGCTGTGTGTTAATGTCAAAACACATTTATTTATTTAATACATGGATATATTAATTATGTGTCGTTAGAGACGAGGCTCGTTGAAGTCGCAGGCAAAAACTAGTATACTATTAAAAAACAAAACTGTAAACATAATATTTTTACAGGTCTCCTTAAGGAAAGTGACTTAACAAGCGACGCAGTTATAATAGGGGTGTCAGAACTATGGCAAGGTGTAGAGTCATTCCGGCCGTCAGTCACCGATGAAGAATTAGCTTACTATGAATCTTTGCAATCACAAATGTGATCACATTTAAGTAACAACAGATTAAAAAACATTTAATTCACAGGGATATAATGTTATAATAAAATAAATAAATATTTTGTTTTCTTTTATTTTTTAAATATTATTATGATAAATTTAGATAAAGTGGGAAGTGAATTTTTGTCAAAGCTACTTTACAAAGTGGACTTGGACCGTGTTCTACTTTTCTCAAAGCCTGCTTTGACAAAGTATTTTGATGACTACGTTGATCCTGTAAACGAGCAATCAAAGTGCATTTCGACGTAGACGTTCTATCAAAGTGAACTTCGTTTCTAAAACGTTCGTTTTGTCAAAGCAGACATTAAGCGTATCAATAAATATATCTCGCGTCATCTAAAAAAAACGCTGTCTGTCAAGCTGCGCAGAAGCGATTTATCGGCCAAATTGGTGGTAAGAAGCGGGGCGCGCGCCGCATGCTTGCCGGCGCGCTATTGGTTCGTCAGTTCGAAATACCATCGCGCACACAAAAGTTTTTAATTACGAAATGGTTTTATATATAGAAAAGAGAAAAATTATTTTTGACGTATATTGTTTTACAAAGAGAGAGTCTGATAATAATTAAAAAAAATGTATTAAACGTATTCATTTAATTTTTTGTAAGTAAATTAAACATTGTACACTGAATCAAACATATTTTAATAATGAATAGAATTCTATTTAATGATATTCTATCTAATATATTTTTCAATGTCCCTACCAATAACTAATATATGAAGCCGCGAGCGAAATGCTATGAAAAATAAAATAATAGGCTTAGTACTTTTGTGCGCGAGTATACACATGCGCAAACATACCCTCTCCACTTTCTTCCAGCGTTCTTTTTAGATGACGCGAGTTATATCTAAGTAAACTTTGATTGAAGCTACTTTGTCAAAGCAGACTTGGAGCGTGTTAACGCGCCTAAAAGTAGAACACGGTCCAAGTGCACTAGCGATGGGCGTTGAATGAACGGACTAGTTCAATCAACTGGTCGACGTATACGATGCGTCTACGGTTCACGTATTTCAAATGAACTAATTCAATTCATAGACTAAGACAGTCCGTCTTGCAATGTAAACTAGTAACTATAAACTGTCTAGCGTCTACAACTACACTGAAGCGTACGTGAACCACAGTCTACGATTTGAATTAGTCGACGAAAGAAAATGAACAGTCTAGTTTCGTTTACGCTAAATACGTCGACGACCCATCGCTAAAGTCCACATCAAAGTGCGCTATAATTGCTCGTTTATATCATCAAAGTTGCGTCAAAGTAGTCATCAAAATATGTCAAAAGTAGGCTTTGATCGTGTCAACGCAGCTTAAATGCACACTCGAACGTGAGTACTCCACTCAACGTGACATTGGCGTAATAACTGGCGCGCATTAAAGCCATTATATAAAGAATTGAATAAAAAGGGGGGTTGACTGTTGACAGTAAAGCAAAAAAAATCTTTCACTAACTTATAAGTTATAATACAAAAAACATCTCAGTGCGACGGGACCACTATGGTTCTATAAGTTCAATTCTTTAAAACAAAATATATAATTGTTGTCATAGAAATTTCCTTAAATTTGTAAAATATTTTATGAGAACCACAAATAATATGTAAGAAGAATAACCTAATTTTTTATTAGAAATTAAGAAATTTCTAGATCGTTAAAAAAAATTTTTTAATTATAACATATTTTTTCGGAAACGGCTCAATATTTTAATTTCAAATATTTTTTGGTTATTATATGTATTTTGAAGATTTCATCCCCTAGTTTCATGAAAATCTTAAGATCATTGCTAAAATTAAAAATAAATAAACAGGAAAAATTAAAAACCGGGAATTTTGCAAATATCTCGAAAACTTTGAGGTTATTGTAAAAAGTATCATATATAAAAGTTGTAAATTTTTACTAGACCTACAACTTTTATCGAGAATATTTTTCGATACAACGTTACAGTAAGCCGGAAATTGAAAAAAAACTATTTTTCAACGCTTTTTATCCCTCCATTTCTCGTCGTAGCTGGTCTCGTGGTAGCTAGACGTCGGGGGCTCTTTGCGGAATTTTGTTTCTTATACACCTGCTAACGTTTTAAAAACATAAAACTTCAGGTTTTAATGTTTTCCAAACCATGGATTTCGATCACACTAATTACATATTATGTAGATTTTAAGAACACCACGTCCAACCTATACTTCTGTAATAATTTTATCATAAATTTTACTTGTATAAACAAGTTTTTAACAATGTTATTAAAAAGTAAAAACCATTTAATGGAAAGTTCATCTTTTTTTAATAAGTGTGAGAGAGGTAATATAATTATAATCTGTGGAATATATGTGTAATTTTCGACACCAATAAATTATCTGTACACGCGTCTATTATCTCTTTTCGTTTTCAAGATGGTGAGTGCTCATGCCAATTGCGTATTTTAAATTAAAATGATAGTTAAAAAACATTTTTAACTGCTTGATTTGTAAAACGGATTTATACAAACTAATCCATAATGGCTTAAGCACAGTTTTACTTTAAAGGAGAATATTTTTATGTTTTCATTTATCTTTACTACAACCTCGTGGCCGCAAGATATCATATCTACTTGAATGTTTTTATTTTAGCCGCCCAAGAAGGACGCGAAATCCTCGGCAAAGCAGCCTCAGAAAACACAGAAGAAGAAGGAAGGATCTGGCGGCGGCAAAGCAAAAAAGAAGGTATGAAAACAATCTGTCATTAGTTGAGGTTATGTGGCGAAGCGAGGGCATGAAGCCTACACTTTGCACTCATCTAAATAAACCAAATGATTATACTTTTATCACTTGAATCCTGTGAGAGCGAAATTGAACTGATATATTGAGTCTGATGGTTTAAAGTATTTTTATATAAATATTAAACATAGCTTTTATATGTATTATACCTTATACTTTGCAACTTGCAGAAGTGGTCCAAAGGAAAAGTACGTGATAAGTTAAATAACCAGGTGTTGTTTGACAAACCAACATATGAAAAGCTGTACAAGGAAGTACCACAATACAAGCTTATCACTCCTGCAGTGGTCTCTGAAAGATTGAAGGTTAGAGGGTCCCTTGCCAGGAGGGCACTCATCGAATTAAGAGAAAAAGGTTTGTTACAGTTAAATCGTCTATATTTTATATATGGTTAAAGTTAAAATAAAGATAATCAGGTACTTCCAACAAGCTGTACTTATATATATATATGTATATATATATATATGTATATATATATATATGTATATATATATATATGTATATATATATATATATATATATGTATATATATATACACAAATATTCTATGGAAGAGTTCTATTATATCTACCTCCCTTGTAGTAGGGGAGCCCAAGAGGGGATTTTCTGTAGTTACTCGAGCGCGGCAGATTAACATAAAAGAGGTTACCTTGCACTCTATTGAGTACTTTCACCACAATATAAGTCTTCTATATAAAGGGGCGCGTCTAGGGAAGCCGATTAAAATATTTAAAAAATGTTTTGATAAGGTAGAAATACTTGAAACCGTCAGATTAAGGTGTGGTAGGCTAGTCACATCCTGAAAAGTGTCCAATTTAATAATCTGCCGATTTGCACAAGCCTAAGAGGCAAAAATCATCATAAACTTTATAGTCGACTTATACTATGGTGAAAGTACTCAATAGAGTGCAAGGTAACCTCTTTTATGTTAATCTGCCGCACTCGAGTAACTACAGAAAATCCCCTCTTGGGCTCCCCTACTATTGCAAGTGTTTTAGGATTAATACTTTGCGCCATATTAGCATTTATAATAAAAAAAAAAAACAAAATTTTACTTAGGTACCTATGTGATGAACTCTTAATCTGGATAAAACATGACAGTTACAAACTGATATATTGAGTCTGATTATTAAACGTTTTTAAAATTTGAATTAAAATTATTACAAGTATAATAACTTTAGTACTCTTTTCAGGCTTGATCAAGCAAGTAGTGCAGCACCATGGTCAGGTGATATACACAAGAGCAACAAAGGGTGATGATCCTGTCGCTTAATTATGAATAAGTTTTAATAAACAGAAAATCCAAACATGTCTTTTATTCAGTTTCTTTTTATTATTTTAGTTTAATTTAAACAATAGTAATAAAAAGTGTAAAAATATAACAATTGCCATTCTTTTATATTAGTTATGTTAATTATTGCACAAGCATGATTAGTAATTAACTACCTAATGGTTACTTTATGTTTATCGTCAATATCAGCTATGGCAAATCTTATTGATGGATATTGTTCTCTTAGACGATCCTTAAAAGTAGATGCATGTTCTTCATTGGCAGTTTCAACCACAACATTGGCCTAAAAATAAATATACTATACAAATATTAAATTTTAATTAAAGTTTCTTTTATTTAAATTAATAATGTTGATACTTTTTACAAATAAGTAAAAGTTCTGAATTGCACATTTCAATAAACATTTAACTACAGCAGCCTATGCTATATATAACATTAAACATTTTTAAACAAGCATTTTGGATGTTAAAGTAGTTTGGAAAACTAAATGCTTAAATAGATTAACTAAAATATTTCTATCAAGGTGAAATACCCAAGTGGTTCCAACATCACTGGACCCACAACTGTTCTGTAGTAAGGCTCTTGAGCACAGCACGCTCGTCTGCTATGGTCTTCGCAAGTATTTCTAACCCATGGCAGTTATCCGGCAGTGCCACACCAAAACGCATAAGTCTTCCACTCACACCAAGCCCACGTTGTATAGTCTGCGTTAACCTGGCTGGGTCTATATTACCCCCACTTATTACGCATACCGCACTACGAAAAACAAAATATTTAAAGGTTGAAAAACATATATTTATATTATTCTCTTTTTGCGGTTAGTTAAATAAAATTATATTAAGATACCCCTTTTTGGGGTACGTAACGATATACCTTTTTTTTTTGAACGTTGGGAAATGCATTTACGCATGAGGTGTGGGACTCACCAGCAAAGCCAGTACTACCCACTTCATTCACAGTCTTAATGGGGAGACGCAGGATCGACACACCCACTGGACACCGGTCAACAAACACACTGGACAACAACCACTGGGTCGCTCCAAGGTCCACTCTGCTATCAGAGAAGTACCAGGAGCAACCCGCATGATACACCGCTCTCCGAAGAGGGCCGCCTCCCACCGCCCACCGAAGTGGACCACCTCCCTGTGCGTTTCTTGGCTTCGCGCCCGGTTCGGTTGCCGGGCACTACTGAGCCCCCCCACCACGACAAGGTGAACGCACGTTGGGGGGGACGTAACGATATACCTACTTTATTAAGATCAATACAAAAATTCAAACCTTACAACGGTAATCGGACCCATCACTATCAGAAGTCTACACACAGAAGTTCCTAGTTTTCTGTATAATCCAATATTTGTGTTGCAAGTAAAAAGTATAAATCATAGTAAATTCTTTTAGAATTTTCTTCAGTTCATTTTTCACTATACAGATTTGATGAAATTTTTTATGATGATAGTTGGTTATCCGAATCAACATATATGATACTTTTTACTTTGAGAAAATATCTCTGAAAAATATATAACGTAACTAGGGACGAACCCGAGCGGAGTGAGAATGAGCCGCTAGTAACATATACAAAAATGCTCCAAATACCGTCTTCCTCTTAACTCCGGTACCAGTCCTTGCATCACTGCAGCCAGGGCGCAGACACCAGCACCATCAGCAACTAATCGCTCACGTTCTAATATATTTATTACAGCCCGAGCGATATACGATTCATCAACAGTTAACTAAAAATTGGAATCAATTATTTTTATATATTTGTTTTTGAAAAATGAAAGTCGTTGGTAAAATCTATACACATGATATACATTTAAAAATATGAATAGTATTTTGTGTTTTAAATATTTTAATACGAATACGGTACATTATACCATTCTATCCAATCTTCCCTTTATTGTAGCAAACGCATTTTGTCCGACGATAGACGCGTTAAGACCTTGAGCCAAATTTGGTACCACCGGCACAGATATTGGATGACCGGCTTGCAATGGCTTCATCATCTTTGGAACTTTTGCACATTCTGCTCCCTAAATATTAGTAATAACTAATAATATTATATGCATATTTTTTTCAAGTCGCTAGTTAAGTAAGTATACCTCGTAATATAGTTATTTATATGACGCCAAAATATAAATAAGTAATAAATTGTTTCTGACTCTACATCCGCTGTTATCCGTAATGATATTTATTTGTTTAAGGTAGAATCCATTTTTAAATTCTTTTTAATAGCAAAAGAGGATTCCTATGAGATTCAAATCAATTGTAAACTGAACTAGTGTTTACTGTAATCGTAACTTTCATAAAACTGATATGATTTTTCACATTTTTTTTAAAATAGGTAAATAGTGATACATAAACAAGGCAGGTGCACTTGAGCTTCTTGCACGCGACAAGTGTTGCCGCCAGCAGTCCACCGGCCGCTACCGGTACAATAACCGCGTCTGTTTCCGGGAGCTGAGTAATGATTTCCACACCGAGTGAGCCCAATCCCGCCAATATTAATGGATCATCTGAACTACATACATATTATTATGTAAATCCTTTATTATTCATTTATGATGTAAATCACTAAATACAAAACTTGTACTTTTATATAATTTTTAACCGATTTAATTAAAAATTATACTTATATTTTTTATACATATACTTATTAATTAGACACGCACGGTGTAATTTTTTTGCAAAATATAGTGTTTATCTATTAAAGGTATATTTTTAAATACCTTCTTGTTTTATAAATATTTGTGCGATGTATAAATAATAACTCATAAGCACATATTAATTAATATGTAGCCAAAAAGACATTATAAAAAATATATATATTTTGAAAAACCTAAGCAATGTCTGGTTCTCGTCACGATTAGCTTTCTTGGCATAATTTATAACGTCTTCGAGTGTTTCGCCGAACAATACAACATCAGCACCGAGATCAGCGCAGCGGTGCGTAAGTGAAGGAGGGGTACGATCAGGTAGAATTACTGTTACCTGAGAACGCATAGAATTTTTAAAAGACTTTATTGGTTTCTTATAGAAAGTAATGTTTTTTTTTTATTTTAGAGTTGAGAGAAGTGCAATGTCTTACGGGTATTCCCAAGGATCCGCCGTGATAAGCTGCACCTAATGCAGTATTGCCATTAGAGGGTACTAAAACTCCTCTTTGACTCATTACTTCGTTTTTAGCAACAAAGGCATTTCTAATACCGCGTTCAACACAACTGTGAAATGAAATTATTTAAAACATTAAATAGAAAATAATTGTTATTAAAAATGAATGCCATTTCATTTTTATTGCCAATATTACCTTCCAGTATATTGCAAATTGTCACATTTTAAATAAATATTATAATCCATATTTTTAAAAATTTTTGATTCCTGTAAATAAAAAACGTTTTTAAAAAGAAAGATTTGAAATAATTAATGTAAATTCAACTTACACAAAGAGGTGTATGTATTATTCCATCTTCAATTCTCTGCACTGCTTGTTTGATTTCATTAAATGATAAAATATGAGGCTTCTCTACCTCTGAATTATCCTTCAACAACATCAAATTGTTATACTACATTGATATTATTTGTATAATATTAATGTTAAATTATTTACCATTTTATTGCTGTTAAAATCAACAATAATATATTTTAGTATGATCAATTAGTAATATTAAATAACAAAAATTTTGATTGTTTCAATATCTTTTACTTAAAATAAACTGTCATGTACCCTGTCAGATTTATACACATTCAAATTAAGTCAAACATTAAAAATATGTTATTGAGTAATGACTAAAGAGTAAAGCATATTATTCCGTCGCAGATCGCAATAATTTCCGGGATAAATAATAGTCTGTGTTATTCTGATATATGAGCTATATTATTATGTATGTATTCAGCCCTTCTTAACGTCCCACTGCTGAGCACGGGCCTCCCTTCAATATGAGGGGGATCAGGCCACAGTCCACCACGCTGGCCAAGTGCGGGTTGACATATTATTATAGTTTCATCAAAATCCATTCAGTAGTTTTTGCGTGAAAGAGTAACAAACATACATCCATACTCACAAACTTTCACTTTCTAATATTAGTATAGATTAATATTATGTATATTTAAAAAGAGCAACTGTTAAGTTTCTCCCCAGCTCTTCTGAACTGTTTTATGAGCCAGTGGTAGATTCCTCATGAACCTATATATTAATTTAAAAATGTATAATTCCAAAGTAGTTGCTCTATTTGAATTAAGTACATTTTGATTGATTTATTCAGAAATATACAATGCAAATTGGAAAAACTAGCAAATAGAGCTGGATAAATATATTGTGCAGAATACAGTTAGGTACACAAAACATCAGTTTTCGACTTTTTATTTAACTATAAAGATAATTCATATTTCTTTCTTTATGAATTGATAAAAGTAACATGTACAACAGATAAAAAATATTAGCCAATAATAATTTACATTGAGGTTTATGATGTATGTATAAGTATATAGTACTCATCTTATGTACTCACCATATTACCCTTATTGATTGATAACAGTATTTAAATATTTTCTATCTTAAACAAAGTGGCAGAAAAATATTAAAATACACTTTTCATAGTAATACTTTATTTATAGATTAGTTCAGTTAATTGCTAAGGCATCATTCTGGGTTTCCTGGGCAAGCTGTACTTGTAAATTCAATAATTTGTTTTTTAATACTACAATACCCATAAGGACTATATTTTCTGGCTTTAGGGCTCCGGAAGATTCTACATTGTAAAAAAATTTGTTAGGTTTGGCCTCCCAGTTAAAGTCTGCCTCATATTGATCTTCGTCAAGTTCTGTGTGTTCACTTTTAGGCCATTCATCTGGTCTAGGATATAATGTATGTTTCATGACATTATCTGGATCATATTCAAAAGAGACACCTGCAGTGGGATTCCACTTAGCATGCTCTTTACCAAATCCTTTTTTTGCATATGCTCGTAATTTCAACTCTTGTCCTTTTCTCAATTTAATAATTAAAATTTCATCAAGCTCACCATAATCTGCTTGGTCTTCATCTCTATGTCGCGATGTTACCGGTACTACACGAGGATCACTTGATTTTAAGTCGGCAGTTGTAACATGTCTGGTCTGATCACCTGTACATTTAACATCCAAGGTAAACTCCACACTGCATTCTGTACAAAAATCAGCGCACATGCAATCTCGAGAGTATCGAATTTTATCGACAACATCATCAGATATAAGGGGAATGAGCCCAATACGGTGCGAGAGAAACTCGTCACTGAGGACTGTTGAATTTGCCTCTAATTGTACCCAATCTATTGCCATAGTGGGAGTTTCAGCGATAAACACTCGCCGCATGCTATTTGCGACGCTTAATTCTGTATCTTCTACCACAAATTTCACATTATCGTCGGTTAGTTCTGTTATATGTACTGAAGGTTGGTTGGCATACGGCATTTTGACTGTGTATACGGTATTTAGACAGAAAGAAAAAGTTTTTTTCTATACTTGATGTCCTTAAATTAACAGGTAACAAATGTGAACTAAGAACTTCGAATAAACACAGTCGAGTAAAGAAACGTAGTTATAAAAAAATGTTTATCCCAGTTTTAACGATGCAAATTGCAAGCCATAGAGTATATTGCTACATTGCAAGCAAAACATCTAAGAGCAAAGCATAGAGTAAGCATGGAAATGATTGCTACTTTTAAATAATTATCATGTGATAAAATTGCGTATATTTTTCACGTGATTTCACCTGCTACTTTTCACGCAATGGTTTTTAATTTCGACGGTCTGGTGTCACACTTTATATTATTTGCTATTAAAATGAAGTATGAAATGTCACCAATGGCGCTACTGATGTGATATGGAGCAGAGATATAGATCTGACGTAGTTGCATACGTACATGGTGCTTTGAATGAACCTATTTTCAAACAATGAACTTTCCCTCATACTTCTACAGGCTTGGGACTGACAATGTAAAATTAAATGAATTAAAAGAAATATCGACTATATTTAACATAGTTGGATAATATGACATTTTATTTTACATTTAATTAAATTGTGTGATAAATAACAATAAATGTAATAAAATAATGTATTTACAAGTGAAAAGAAATACTGCTGCTGCTGTTAGTATAGATTTTTCGGAGATGAGATATTTTCCCGCAATAACAAGTATATGTTGACCAAATTTTTATCAAAATCTATCCAGCAGTTTTCTCGTGATGCGTTCCCACCCAGATAGACAAAAATTCTAAAAACTATAAATTCAGACTCTGTATCGGTTAAATAATTATGGATATAATATGGATATGGATATAATTATGGATATAATATGACTATATCCATAAGATTTTCCAAGAAATAATAATAATGTGTATAGATAAAATATATGTAAAGTAGGGGAAAGGGGGGTACACTGGATCACTTTTTTTCAAATGTAGTTTACCTATATAAATAAAGTATAAATTACCAATATTTATATGTAGAGCAATGAGGTGTTAAGTTGGCTATAGAAATCTAGTTCAACTTTAGCAATAATATTAATAGTTTTCTGAAAGCAAAGGTTTTTCTTAAAAGTGGGAAATTATTCATTGTACCCCATATATGGGGTACATTGGATCTCCGCATGGGGTACAGTGGATCTTATTGGGGCACAGTGAATCAACACATGAAATCATCATACATTTTACTTTTGGGTTACAGCGAATCAATCAATATTGTAAAAAAATTATATAAATAAAAATATTTATGAATTATGTGAACACTTTTAATCAACAATATTACAGAATTATCAATCTCTATTTATTTTCTATCAGTCGTAAGTAACACATTACTTGTAGTGATATCTTATAAAACATGTACTTAGTATTTATATTAAGAAGTTTAAGGTATTATTTAAGGTTTAAAAACTATTAACTGGATAACATAAATCTTGAACGAAACAAAATAAAACATATACACAATAAAACTAATTTCAAAAATAAAAACATATCACGTTAATACGAAAAGAAATTGAAAAAAAAAAGTTTACGCAAACTTAAGCGAAAAAAATTGAGATTGATCTCATTTATAGACTTGCTGTTATCGTTTAGTGCCACAAAATGTAGGCAGAGGTAATTTCATTATTATTTATTCTAGGGGTACTGAAGCTATATTTGGAACATCAGGTAATCTGTACCCATTCTTTACTTTTGTTCTCCTTCCCTTTCCTGTGTAAAATACTTTATTTTTATGTGCATCTAACTATACTAGACGCAGAATTTTTTCTTTTCATTCTCTTTGTACTTATTAGTCGTTTCTCTCTCTTAATTTGTACTACTCCTTTGTTTTTTTTCTATCTTCGTCACTAGAATCGAACTGCATAACTTTTTTACTAATATTTTTTGCTACTTTCACAAGCTTATTAATTTTATCTTGTTGACGTTGCTCGATATATTCTTTATTTTTAATTCTTTTTCCAGTGAAAATCTTATTTACCCCATAATTGGGAGTTAAACGTAGCTTGCCAATGTGTTATATCTTTTCGCATAATATCTATGTAAGATTGCATATGGATTATTTTTCTAGTTTTACAACTTTTCTAATTTTGTTGCCCCGTAAAACAAAGACAATGGCATTTTATCTATTCAGTTATTCAGTAGTAAGACCAATTTGAGTCTTTCTCTTTCGGTGCCGTGCTATGATGTTAATCTAAAACAAAAATTATTATTACATACTATAAATAAAATAGTCTAATCAACTCGAAATTTAGTGTGGAGTACAGTGGATCGCCAATCCACTGTACCCCACATGGAAATGGCCCACTGTTCCCCAAAGCACCACTAACAACTGAACAACAAATTCCTATAACTTACATAATCTATACGAATCAAACAGCTATTTATTTCTGAAGTTTATTAGATTATTGTTTAAGTAATTTAAAGTAAGTCATTCAATATTAAACATTTTCGTGAATAAAACACTCGAGTAATAGTAGTAAAAAAATAGATTTGATACTCACGGATAGCCAAATGGCAGTAACACATTCTTCAACAGCGAGAGCGTGATGGACACTGGCGGGGTAGAGGTGTAAGTACTAAAGCATGCCTTCCATTATTATGGTACGTGTATAGAAAGCATTGGCAAAGAGAAGTAGCCACTGATTCACTGTGTACTACGGCTCACTGTACCCCCCTTTCCCCTAAACTAAATATATATTAAAGTTCTAATAAAATATTTAAGTAACTTTATTTAATGCTTATCAAAACAAAAGATAAAAAAAACAATTAATGCTACAATATATATTATATGAGGCAAAAATATTTTGTATGATCTTTAACTTAACGTGTAATTTATAGTTATAATTTCATTTATTTACCTTATTATTATAACATTAGTGATAATTCAAACAGAAAATGAAAACACTTAAAAATTATAAACAAATTGTATAATTATCTATCATTCTATCCATTATTAATTTATGAATTTATATTATGAATTTCTAAATGCTGATCTCATTTAGTATTTATAAAGACAATATTTAGAATTTGTTTTTCTACTTTGTAATATAGTTTGATGATAAAATAATTTTACTACCAGACATTGTACCTGGGAAAGTTTCAAATTGCAAAAATGTGCTTGAAAATAACCCTATTTGCCTACTTTGTTATCCAAAAATAGCGCCCAGAATTCTTAAAATAACGCATCAGCAACATATATTTTTCTCGGTACGGTATAAACGTTGACACTTGACGACGCGTTGTTTTCTGTGGAATAATGCACGATCAGCAAACCATTTCAATTGGAGAGTTACAGGATATCTAGAACCCAGAAATTTTAATTATTTATAAATCTTTATAATTTTTAAAAACTTTACTAACAATATTTTTTTATGAATAAATTTTGAAATTAAATAATAAATAAAAAATAGGTAATTTAAAAATGAAAAGTAACGCCATCTTTCACGTTAGTGCGACGTCGTAATGCATATGTTATATTTTAAAATCAATTGCGCGAATGATTTATTAAATCATAATCTGTACGTATTACACATAATCATTCAGTAAAAATTATAAGTATTTGTTGGATAAAAAACTAAAAATGTGCTTTAAATTTAATTGTTGTTTCTAATTTAAAATTATTTCTAAACAATATTTCTAAGAATCCGAAATCATGCAACTCGAAATAAATAAACTCCCCAATTTACTGATCAACGGTATTAACTGAAAATTGTATTTTGTTGAATAAAAAATCAATAAAAACATCAGTACGAAAATGTATACGGAAAATGCGAGTAACGAAATGCATTCGTGAGTAACGTTTCGGTACTCGGTACTAGATGGCGTACCCGTTACTCAGTAACGAATACATACGGTTTGCTACAGCTCTAGATTTCACCAAGCTGTGATTTGTAGCAGTCACTGTGAATTTAAGTAGCAGGTGTGACGTATGATAACGCATTTCACGTGATTTTTCACTTGCTACTCGTGAAATGTTCCATGCCTAGCATAGAGTATATTGAGTACATATAAAAAGAGCAAAGCAATGTTGACTGTCCAATGTCAAATTTAGATTTTAGACTGACAGCCGTCAATATGTGACGTACCGCGTATATTTATTAACCGACTTCCAAAACCGAGGAGGTTCTCAATTCGTCGGAATCTTTTTTTTATGTATGTTCACCGATTACTCGAAGACGCCTGAACTGATTTGGAATTTTTTTGTTTTGTTTGACTTCCCAGGTGGTCCCATATAAATTTTATCGGTCGAGCGGTTTTTTTTAAAATCAACAATAAATATATTTTTTAAACAAATTATTTAATCGGATATGTTATTAAAAACTTTCTTCCTACAAATTACCTGCTTATTACGTCTACACTAAAAATATAAAAAGAAAAACTTAAAAAAATAAATAAAACCGACTTCCAGGCACTAAAATGTAAAAAATATTATTAAATAAAACTATCTTTTCGGATTATTTCGCGGATTTATTTTGATTTTTGGTTCCCGACGTTTCGAATGCTTTACAGCATCCATGGTCACGGGAGAGACTGAGGTGTTACATGTCTTGAATGTATAGTTGTTACAGACAGCCTACCCACAATTAACAAAATGAAAAATGCACCAATTACATTACAATATTTTTAACTTTAAAACATTTTTATAATTTTAATTATAATTGAATATGGAAAATTATTTATTTAATTTTTGCTATTATTTCTATAATTATTACAATTTTAAAATATTAATTAGTAATCTATATTTAGTGTTGCCATTATTATATTTATAACCATAAAGAAAAACATAAAATATAGTATTAATTATTTAAGCCATATAATTGTTCTATGTGTATAATACTTTCTTAGATTTACGCGAATGTTTGACATTATTAAATAAAACTATCTTTTCGGATTATTTCGCGGATTTATTTTGATTTTTGGTTCCCGACGTTTCGAATGCTTTACAGCATCCATGGTCACGGGAGAGACTGAGGTGTTACATGTCTTAAAGATATAGTTGTTACAGACAGCCTACCCACAATTAACAAAATGAAAATTGCACCTATTATATTACAATATTTTTTAACTTTAAACATTTTTATAATTTTAATTATAATTGAATATGGAAAATTATTTATTAAATTTTTGCTATTATTTTTATAATTATTACAATTTTAAAAAATATTAATTAGTAATCTATATTTAGTGTTGCCATTATTATATTTATAACCATAAATAAAAATATAAAAATATAGTATTAATTATTAAAGCCATATAATTGTTCTATGTGTAATTTAAAAAAGTTAAAATTAATTAAGGATAATCATTTTAATTTAGTTTGCTATTATTTAAAAACAACTTACTAAGCAACACTATTAATATATACTTTTACAAATGAAAAATATATTACTCTGATAAGCTGTCATTTTGATCTACACAGTATGAACTTACTACATCTGCCTGTCTGTTATGTTTATATTTATTATTTGATTTTATTATATTAATATGGCTGGGTACTACCATCGTCATGGGATCCTGTTATTAATATAATAAAATCAAATAATAAATATAAACATAACAGACAGGCAGATGTAGTAAGTTCATACTGTGTAGATCAAAATGACAGCTTATCAGAGTAATATATTTTTCATTTGTAAAAGTATATATTAATAGTGTTGCTTAGTAAGTTGTTTTTAAATAATAGCAAACTAAATTAAAATGATTATCCTTAATTAATTTTAACTTTTTTAAATTACACATAGAACAATTATATGGCTTTAATAATTAATACTATATTTTTATATTTTTATTTATGGTTATAAATATAATAATGGCAACACTAAATATAGATTACTAATTAATATTTTTTAAAATTGTAATAATTATAAAAATAATAGCAAAAATTTAATAAATAATTTTCCATATTCAATTATAATTAAAATTATAAAAATGTTTAAAGTTAAAAAATATTGTAATATAATAGGTGCAATTTTCATTTTGTTAATTGTGGGTAGGCTGTCTGTAACAACTATATCTTTAAGACATGTAACACCTCAGTCTCTCCCGTGACCATGGATGCTGTAAAGCATTCGAAACGTCGGGAACCAAAAATCAAAATAAATCCGCGAAATAATCCGAAAAGATAGTTTTATTTAATAATGTTCTATGTGTAATTTAAAAAAGTTAAAATTAATTAAAGATAATAATTTTAATTTAGTTTCCTATTATTTAAAAACAACTTACTAAGCAACACTATTAGTATATACTTTTACAAATGAAAAATGAAAAATATTAATCTGATAAGCTGTCATTTTGATCTACACTGTGTAGACGTCGGGAACCAAAAATCAAAATAAATCCGCGAAATAATCCGAAAAGATAGTTTTATTTAATAATGTCAAACATTCGCGTAAATCTAAGAAAGTATTATGTAAAAAATAACTAAACGGAGGTTTTCATTTAGAATAGATACCTAATCAGATATTTACGAAGTTAGTGCCAGCGAACAATATTGTAAGACATAAATATCTAATAGGTAAATATGTTTTTACGTATCAAAATATATTAGACTAGCATTGCCCGCGGCTCCGCCCGCGTTCAGATGACCAAAAACCAAATTCTTAGGCTTTACATATTAGTATACTCTTACAATGAAGTTTTTATATTTTTTCTCAGAAATGAGATATTTCCCGCGGTAAAAAGTATCCTATATGTTGACCCTGATAACCAGCTATCATCATACCGAATTTCATCAAAATCTGTCCAGTGGTTTTCTCGTGATGCGGTAACAGACAGACAGACAGACAAAAATTCTAAAAACTATAGATTCGGACTCTGTATCGATAATAATGTCTATTTCAATTAGATTTTCCAAAAAATATTTAATGTACATATTCGACTTAGTTACAATTTTATTATATGTATAGATTTCCTATGTGTCGGCTCCCAAATATAACTTCAAGTAATGAATTATTCCTTACAAATGACAACAGGTAAACGGTTAGTAGGTACTAAATAAAAATAAATAATAGAGAGCATAACGATAAAATCCATTGAACAGAATGTTATTAGGCGACCAAGTATAGAAGGAAATTTTAATATAATGTTCTTATAGCAATATGCGGCTAATAAAATTTGTCGAATAATAATATCGATCGTTATGTAAAGGAAAAAACAAATTAAATAGAAATCAGACAATCCTTGTTATATTTTGTAATATATCTTATATCTTTAAACTATCAATTCTTGTATATATATAATCTGAATCTCGGAAATGGCTTCAACGATTTTCATGAAATTTAGTACATATGAGGTTTCGGGGGCGATAAATCGATCTAGATTATTTTTATGTCTGGGAAAACGCGTGTTTTCGAGTTTTCATGCGGTTTTGTTTCGCATTATTTCACGCAAAGTATGGTCGCTAATTCGCACACTAGGAAATAAGCATCGAGGTCAAGCGGCCAAAGCGCAAGATTGACAAGCTTAGGTCTGGGTTCGAATCGCGGTCGGATACAAAGGTATGATTTTTTTTGTTTTCTTTTTTGTATTTATTCAAGTTTTTAGTTTTTTTTAAAAGAACATTGTACTTTCGACCAAAAACTCCGAGCCAAGCTCGGTGGCTTAGGTACTATTACAAAAACATATCAATTATCAATTTTACTTATCGAACATACGACATTCCATCCTTTTTACCCGACTGTAGTCTGCGGCGAATTCCAAAGGAGGGTTATGTGTTTGACCTATAAGTATGTGTGTACCTATGTCCGTTCCTATTTACTCTCGTAGTTACTAAGCGGCTTAATAGATTTTTATGATTCGTCTTGATAACGCAAGCGTCATAGGTTTTATTATAGGGAGACATCATCATAATGGCGAATCCTAGGCGCCAATTTATGTTTTGGTATTATTCACCTGAATAAATCGAGTGGGGTATCAAAATACGGGGTTTTAAGAGTCGAATACAAAAATATAAATAACGTATATGGTTTAAAATAATTTAGGATAAGAAATTGTTAAATAAAACTAAAAATACCTAACTGACCAAAACGAAAAAGCTGTAAATAATAAAAATATTTAAAAAATAAGAAAACACTTCACTTTTTACGCGTTCCGGTTTTTTATATTTACAATTCACCCTCGCTTTGTTCGAGTTCATCCCTAGGTACGTTTTAACGGTTACCTACTATGAAATAAAAATCTTTGAATTTCTTGGCTTTTCTGTACTATAATATGCATGTATTATACATATGAAGTATAAACCTTCCTCTCGAATCACTCTATCTATTAAAAAAACCCGCTCAAAATTCGAAAGACATGTGAACGGTCCGCCAACCCGCACTTGGCCAGCGTGGTGGACTATGGCCTGATCGATCGTATGGAAGGGAGGCCCGTGCCAAGCAGTGGGGCGTTAAAAAGGACTGAATACATACATAATATAATATTATTATAAATTGTATAATAAATATATGATATTGTATAACTAATAAATATATAATAATATCAATAAAATATAAAAAAATATTACTAACGATAATGTAAATAAAATTTTGATTAATGCCACCTTGAAGAAAAAACACTTCTTATATTTTCCTTGCGCGCATTACGACAAAGCAGTACCTAGGTACTTTTCAAAACGCTCAATTGTGCGGAGCATTACTGTAGTTAAAACATTTAAAGTTAGCATTATGTCGCATAGTGCGCTTTAGTGCTCTAATTGGAAAACATTGGCAAAATGCCAAGCATGTGTTCATTATGTACTTACTCACTTTGTTATTTTTAATTTGCTATATTTAATTTTGCTACATATTTACATAAAAGTATTAAAATTAAAATTATAATTTTGTTTTCAAATTTTCTTCTCATATAAATTTTATTAAAAAAATGGTATGAGGCCGCCTTTGATTCTATACGACTTATGATACGAGTGATATGCGGGACCAGTTTGCGGTTAAAAAATAAACATTTTAAATACACACAACTGTTAAATATTATTTTTATAGTATAGTATTAAAGGTTTTCTTTTAATTTTTTTATATTTCATGTGGATATCCCAAAAGCGCTTTAATTCATAAGACTATAAAAGCTCAGCGAAAGGCTTTATCCATATCATATCTGCGGTAGTCCTTGATTAGTGCGTGATTCTTTTTAAAGTGTGCACGAGTATTATGGAACAATACGAAAGAAGACAATCGGTGAGATTTTTTATTTGGGAATTAATATTTAAAACTGTTTTATTAATGAAAATGACGGTACCCGTCATTTTCATTAATACATCTATTTATATTTTTTTATTTAAAATCGACATCTATACTATAATAATATTATAAATATGAAAGTTTGTAAGTATAGATGTATGGATGTTTGTTACTCTTTCACGCCAGAACGGCAGAACGGATTTGGATGAAATTTAGCACAAAGATAGATTATAATCTGGATTAACAGATAGGCTATCTTTTATCACGAAAAAATTTGTGGTTCCCGTGGGTAGATTTATTTTTGTTTTCCTAGAGGTGGCCCCGAGTGATGCTAGGATGAGCCGCTATAAAAAAAAATAGTTATAGTTTATAATTAAATAATATTTTATGTAGAAAATTTAAAATATATTATTTGTTATAATTACACGTTACATATTTAAATGAAAACAGACTCATTGTGCACTTTCTTCGAATATCATTAATTAATTTTAGAAAACAATATAATAGGTACTTATTTGTTAAACATATTATGAACTTATTTCTATTACTGTACTACAAATATAAACATTGAGGTTTTATAATTATGTCATCGTACTTAGGGTTAAGTTTGATAAAGTTATCTCTAAAGCATGTCGTCGAGTATATTGGCGCACTTATGATCCCATCGCTATCGGGCATCTGACGGAAGTTAGGAGTATTAACTGTTGGACCAGGAAATGATTTCTCAGTCTGAGATTTGAAGAGAAACGACTGAAGTAGTATAGTGTTGGTAATTAATATGTCATTCCAGACGATCGACTTCGATCCCATGTGCGACAAGCAGAACCCTCTAAGAATTTATTTTGAAGATGTTTCGGCAGCTGCTTTCAGAATTCAAAGTGGGATTATAAAAACGCCATGCGTAGTAAGTATATTTTTGTTTAATTTTAGTGAACTTTAATCTCATTGTTTTAAAATGTATATTTTAAACAATCATGATAAGGGTTTTTTATACAACTAATTTAAATTGATAATACAGTTATGATATTTTTAATTTTTTTTAATATCAAAAAAATAATTAATAATAGATATGGTTAAAATAACATTAAACAAAAACAAAGTAGGTACGTTCTTTCAACTTCTTCTTTCTTCTTACAGAAGGAAAATCCAACGTAGTGATCCAGTATATATTTATATTTTATTTAATCATCCGATCTGATTAGATTCTTGATTATATTTTGCTAACAATTATAAATAAAAAAGTTAATTTTAAATCGTCATCATTTTTACCAAATTGTAATAAGTACCTCTATGCTTAGGATCGAACGTGTCCCCCCCAACGTGCGTTCACCTTGTCGTGGTGGGGGGGCTCAGTAGTAGTAGTACGAAGCTAAGAAACGCACAGGGAGGTTGCCCACTTCGGTGGGCGGTGGGAGGTGGCCCTCTTCGGGGGGCGGTGTACCTTGCGGGTTGCTCCTGGTACTTCTCTGATAGCAGAGTGGACCTTGGAGCAACCCCAAGGTTGTGGTGGTCTGCTTTGGCAGACCTGCCGTCGGGGCGTCGTAGTTGAATGCGTAAGCGATCCTGCGACGCCCCATTAAGACGGGGGAAGGTTTTGTTGGGTTTTAGTGGGTAGTACTGGCTGTATTACGCCGGTGAGTCCCACACGTCGTGCGTAAATGCATTTCCCAACGTTAAAAAAAAAAAAGGCAGGGCTCGGAAGTCGGAACCGGTTTAAAAAACAACGGTAATGTAATGGCTAATTCGTCGCTCTTTCATTAACCGGTTAAATAACGTTAAACGAATGGTTTAGTAAACCGAAATAATAATAATGGTTAATGTTTTTCTTAGAGAAAGGTTAGACTTTTGAGGGTTTGGTTCTACTACGCAATTCACTATTAGCAAAGATTCGCCAAATGTAAATGAACGAAACTCATTATAACCGGTTAATTTCGATCATGGTGCCTAAATTCGTCGAAAACCGTTTTCCGGGTTATAACCGGTTAAAAACGTACGTAACCGAAACCTTATACCGAAAAGCCTTTCAGTTTGGAGCAGGGTTCGAAACGATAATTATCATTGATAATTATCTTTGATAATTATCTCGAAAATTATCATGATAAATATGGGTTGACTTTGATAAATATAATTTAAAATATTTAATTTGTAACTCTTCAAATTGTCGATCAGCAAACTGAACTCTTTCAATCAGCTCAAAAAACTCAATCAGCAAACTGAGTTAATGCAGTTGAGGAGGATGAGGATGATATTCCACTCATTAAGGAGTCTGCCCACTATAACGTCTCATACCATAACTGTGCTATGAACGTATCAGGCACGAAAACAAGCGACACGAACTACTATGCCCACTAGAACGTATCATCCGCATATCATCCGCGTGTCATATTATCCGTTTAGTTCCTGTTTTCTCAGTCGTAGTAGTTCACCTGTGTTATGGCGTGAGGCAGCCGCGTCAGGAAGAGCGAGTGAATATTTTTGTTACGAAAATTATTTCCTATACCTATCCGATGGCTATTAGAAACTTGTCCGACAGCAAATTAACAATGATAGCCATTGTTTTAGACGAGGAAGAAAGAGAATAACATCAGTCGATCATGACGTTACTAGGTTCACGCCGTTTTAAAACAAATATAATTTAAAAGAAATTATTATCACTAGAAGACAAGCGACAACACGTTTATAACGGGCTTAGAACGGTCATCATACGCAGCTATAACTCCTGTGCTCATTGTTTCGCCATCCGCGCGCACCGGTTCGGCAACGTCTCGTGCCAGACACGCATCGTATCGGCACCGGTAAAATATTCTTGCCGACACTTATTGTTAACTTTCCATGCACGGCACGCGACGGTGTTGGTTGGTGACGGAAAGGTCTTGGTCGGTGATGGAACGGTTTAGTAGGCATAGTCGCATACTTTTCAATACAAAGAATATTTTTTTGCCTGACACGGCCCTAGCACGGTCATGGTATGAGACGGTATAGTGGGCAGAGACCTTTAATTTAATTAAATAGTGTATATATACAGTGTGGATTTTTGAGACGGGACAGTAAGGGCAGGCACCTTAACGGCTATAGTTACAGGAAAACGTTCCTAGGAGACCATCCATGACTTCTGAGATATTCTGAACTGCATTCACAGATTTTGGAAAAAATTTACAGTTAGCGCAAAAATTCTAAAATACCTAACAAAATTTTTTATGTCAATCGTCCAATTGATGTATGAATCAAAAGACTCTATGGGACCATTTAAGGTATGAGTACTAGAAATGACAGAAATCGCCAAAAACTTTTCCCATACATTTTGTACGGAAAAACGATTAATCAACTTGAAATATTCTTTGTTACCAAACGGTCCTATTTCTTAATGTGAGGCCAAATGCAGTTTGAGTACAGAAACTACAGTAAGTCACAAAACCAGGTTTATACTCAGACACTTTATGCAGCGGGCGTAAAATAAATTTTTCAGTTTTTATTAAGCTGGTCCCGTGGCATACTGTACCTAGAAGCAAAAGTACCTACTTAAGTAGAAAATCATAGTTACATCCATAATCTTGTACAACATGAGAACTAAAAAAAATAGTTAAATCAATTAAAAATGTATTTTTAAACACAAACGTAAATAGGTAACATTTAGGTGATTTACAAAAAAAATATTTAAAATGACTGCCGATCTCACGAATACTTAAGTTCACTCGTTTTTGTACTGAGAAAGTAGCAGCATTTTCTTGTATGGATGTCGTATTTAAAAATACACGTTCATTTAATTTTATTTTATTCTTATTGGTCGATACAACCATAATTTTCTACTTAGGTAGGTACTTTGGCTTCTAAGTACAGTATGCCACGAGACCGGCTTCGCAAAAAGTAAAAAAATATTTTACGCCTGCTGTCTGTAGGTACTCAAACTGCATCTGGCCTCACATTAAAAAATAGGACAGTATGGCAACAAAAATATTTCGAGTTGATTAATCGTTTTTCCGTACAAAATGTATGGGAAAAGTTTTTGGAGATTTCTGTCGTTTCTAGTACTCATACCTTAAATGGTCCCATAGAGTCTTTTGATCCCTACATGAAATAGGATCAATTGACATAAACAAAAGTCTTTTTGGTAATTTTTTTTCTAGCTGTACATTTTTTCCAAAATCTGTGAATGCAGTTTAGTATATTTCAAAAAGTTATGGATGGTCTCCTAGGAACGTTTTCTTGTAACTACATATATCAATTAAGGTACCTGACCTTACTGTCCCGTCTCAAAAATCCACCCTGTGTAGTTGGTTAAATTTATTCTGTTTTTATTACCAAGTTTGTATATATGTCAAAATAATGAAAAAATAATAATAATAAAACATTACCTTGATTGTTAAAAGTGTATAAAATAATTCTAACGTAAATTATGATAGGCAAGTAGTAAAATACCAATACCTACACAAGAATTGCTAAGTTTATATCTGTTTGATAATTATCTGATAATTATCTTGATAATTATCGCGATAATTATCAAAAGATATATTTATCTTGATAATTTCATACCCTGGTTTGGGATGACACATCACCGTTTTAAAAATTGAACGGGTTTCCTAGCCCTGCCTGTAGGTGGAAAACAGGGATCATATTTATTAGTAGAAAGCTAAATAAAATCAGCAGTTAGCATAACTTAAACAAAAGTAGATTAAAATTGTAAGCGTATCTGGTTAAAAAATACTTTCATTCTAACGACATTTTCGAACAACATTTTAGAAATTTAGGTAGTTAAAATAGCTCAAAGAAATGTGTTAATAACAATTTAATACCTTTTGTAATTTAAATAGCACTTGCATCATAAACGTAGACCCGAGATCTATAATGGCGCGTATTTTGTTTTTAAGGTTATCCAACATCCGTTAAAGGTTGCATTGTTACCGTCTATATTGATTATGATTAATTTTTTAAACAAAATCCAAGATATGAATAAATAATGTTAATTAGTATGGAATGAAGTCACATTGCTTTCTGATTAAATGATTATTTTCTTACAGAAATCTCACATGTCTTCCATTTATGGCATGGATATTTACCTCAAGAACGACTTCCTTCAACATACTGGAAGGTAATTTAAAGCATCAACTTACATCTCCTAGAAGCCACGAAATAAGAGAATTGAATTGAATTACATTTGGTTCTATGTAATTCTATGTAAATAATAAATAAACGATTTAAAAAGTCAAAAATCTTAAAGTTAGCAAAAAATAAGTCTTATATCATTCCCGTACATGATTAAACAGCTCAATAAGCCTACTATTTGGCAATTTACTCAAACAATAGTTGTGATAATACTTTCTTATTTAAAAATAGTTGTGATATTAAAATAATATTTACAACATTCAATTGTGATAAATAGTTGTGGTTTTCATGATTTGAGACAACTGAATTTATAAAAATTTTAATTTTAATATGTGTAAAATTTTTAATTTGAACTAGTTTCAAAGAGAGAGGAGCGCGCAACGCGTTGATATTACTTTCTCCGGAAGCCAAGGCTCGTGGTGTAATATCTGCTTCACTGGGAAACCATTCTCAAGGTCTAAGCTATCATGCCAAGCAACTAAATATACCAACTACGGTGGTTATGCCCAATGTGGCCCCCATAATGAAAATACAAAACTGTAGATCATACGGTGCTAATGTTATTATACACGGCCATAACATGATGGAAGCAAAATTCCATGCTATGATGTTGGCTAAAGCTGAGGGACTCACTTACATCAATGGGTAAGTTCGAAGTATTATTATAGAACTCTCTAGTATTCCACATGGTGTTCAAAAAAATAATATATGATTTGTAACAAATCGAATGTTAGACATTTAAAAAATTTAAAACATCTTCATAAAAAGGCTAATGGGTTTTTAATTGTATCTCAGATATGATCACCCACACATAATGGCTGGCCAGGGAACTGTTGGTTTGGAGATATTAGAACAAGTGCCCGACGTAGATGCTGTGCTAGTTCCCGTAGGGGGCGGCGGACTGTTAGCCGGAGTTGCTACTGCGATTAAGCACATTAAGCCACACGTTCTTATTTATGTATGTCTTATATAAGTGCAATAAAAATAAAACTAGAAAAAAATAACAATACTTCTCCAAGAATTATAGGTATCGTAGTAGTTATTTAAGGTATATTATAATTATACGTAGAGAGCGAAAGTCAGTTGGTTTATTTCTAATATGTTGAGGTCATCGTCTCAATCAAACGTGAAGAAACTTATCTTGGACTATGCCTAATGCTACCTTACCTTATTATTATAAACTAGCGACTCACCCTGGCTTTGCTCGGGCCCCTAGGTACGCTATTCCGGTTAGTATAAAATAGACTTTATATTTATATGTACAATGTACATGCCTAGATACAGAAAACTAGGTAAGTATTATATATTTTTTTTTAAATAAAACTATCTTTTCGGATTTTATTGCGGATTTTTTTTGATTTTTGGTTCCCGAGGTTTCGAATGCTTTACACCAATCATGGTTACGGGTGAGACTAAGGTGAAAAATTCCGAAAAAATAGTTTTATCTTTAAGTATTAAATATTCCTTACTTGAGAAAGGATTGATTCCCCATTCAAACTTCCACCACCTTTTTACCCCCGAGATGTTTTCCGGAATAAAAACTATTCTATGTTTTTCCCAGGATCTCAAACTTATGGAGAGCATACCAAATTTCATCTAAATTGCGGATCTAAAAGCGGATAGAGTTACTTCCGCATTTAATATTAGTATGGATATACGAGTATAAAGTTTGTTTGTATATACAAGTATATACAAGTTTGTTTGTATATAAAAGTTTATTTGTAAATACCTATTAACTGAGCGTGCAATTTTTGTGCAATACTCATAATGCCTTATTTTCGTTATTTATTATTATTGTTACAATTTGAAATTAAATATTTGCTATCTTATATACCTATTTGAGTAATTTAATATTTGCTATATTATATAGTGGAACCCGCGGCTTCGTTTGCGCTAAAACTGCAAAAAAATCTCTAAAAGGTAGGTTTCATACAAGCTTTCATCCCATATGGGGGTAAACCCCTTGTGGGATGAATTTCGAAAAATGCTAAAACACGTATTTATTTAATTGTACTGTAGAGCAAGTTTAAAGTTATACTGATCATAAATAATATTTTAGGTTGTATTATAACGATTTTTCTCGTGAGAATGTGATAATCTCCCGCGGTAAAAAGTACTCTCCAGCCCTCCAACTATCTCCACACAAAAAAATCAGAAAAACAAAACATATTTTTTTTCGCTCCACCCTATTATAGACATTATTTAATGTGCACATATGTATTTTTTTTAAGGGTGTAGAATCGGAAAAGTGTCCAAGCATGCAATCCGCAATTCAGAATGAAGGGCCAACGAGTGTAGAGATAAGATCGACGCTCGCGGATGGTCTCGCTGTACCTACTGTTGGATACAATGCTTTTGTCACCGTGAAGCCGCTCCTTGATAAATTGGTATGTATACTTTAACTCAAAGTATAAATTGTTATGATATAATATGGTATATACGGCAGTGGTAGCCCAGTAGTAACGCGCTCGCTTGGGAAACCGAGTGAAGCCAGTTCAAATCCCGGGTCTCGCACCTCTGATATTTTCATGTGCGAATCATTTCCAACATGATTACCACTTGCCTTAACGGTAAAGGAAAACATCGTGAGGAAACCTGCATGTCTGAGAGAACCTATCAAGTTTTCGAAAGACATGTAAAGTTCACCAACCTGTACTAGGCCAGCGTGGTGGACAATAGCCTGATCCCCCGGGAGTCCCGTGCCCAGTAGCGGAACGTTAAAAAAGTGCTAAATACATCTTATAATAAAATAACATTAATTGTTACAGAAAATAGGATAATAAACGTAGAATACCTGAACACCGCGACCTTTATTAAACTAGAAAGTAAAGTAAAATTATTTATTTCCGCGTAGGTACTTATAGTGCGCATTCCGTACCTGTATTTACAGAACGAACGATTTTATATTAGAAATTATCATTGCGTCTAAAATGTAAACTTTAAAGTCTAGATTTCAGAATTCATACTGTTTGCAGGATTATGTTAGATAGTAGGTAAAAAAATGATACCTAACTTACTTAAGGAAGGTATATTTTTAATTCATTCCCCGAGGTTTTCGAACTCTATAAGTTTCGTAAATAATAGTTTACCGGTAAAAGTTGTCTTTGCTAAATATTACAATAATAAAAAAATGGCCTTAAATAGAGTTTTGATATTTAGGTGTCTCATGAACACAGATTGCCCCCCAACAGTACTCCTGAGTGAAATAATAATAATAATATTACCATTGCTATGAGGTTTTCTATTGCTTCATTTTAGAAATTCTTAGTAAGTTAAAAATGGTCATAAGTTTCTATTATTTTATTAATTGTTCCCTTAAAATTTATCGAATTAAAATATCATAGAATTACATCTGAGTTATGAAATATTTTATAACAATGACGCTCAAGCGAAGCTGAACATTTGTTTTTATTATATGTATAGAAAATTCTAAAATTATATTACAGATAACAGTTAATGAAGACTGGATAGCGCGAGCCATCTTGCGTCTTGTGGAGCAAGAGAAATTTGTGGTTGAAGGCGGCGGAGCAGTCTGCGTGGCGGCCATTATGGCAGGCTTAGCAGATGACTTAATTGGCAAAAAGTACGTGATAAAGATATTATATATGGGTGAAAGTAATATTAAAAAGTGGTGGTTATTAAGTCTTTCCTTGATGCAAAAATGTTGTTATTCTGGATTACATCTTATTTCTACTCTATATGTAAAGTTATATGTACTTTACGAATATAAATTTCATTCTATCCTTCTATCACTAGCTCTTGTTCTATCTTGTTGTTTATTCTATGTAACGAATATAATTTCCTGTAGAATCGTATGCATTTTATCGGGGGGTAACATCGACACGACGATCCTCGGGCGCTGCCTCGAGAGAGGGCTGGCGGCGGAAGAACGCTTAGTCAAGTTTAAAGTGAAGGTCAGCGACCGTCCCGGCGGCATCGCAGAGCTTTGCAAGCTTATATTCTCTATCGGAGTGTCCATTAAGGACATTATGCAGGAACGCGCTTGGGTCTGCGGAGACATATTCAGTGTTAGCGTAAGTTTTTTTTTTCATTTCCGCTTATGTCAAGTTACTCGTCGTAGATCTCAATAAGATTTTTTTTCCTCTAAAATATACTCCTTACAACTGTTTAATTGTAAGTTCACACGTTTTACGTACCTATACAAAAGTAAATTTAAGCAGTTACATACTAGCATACTAGTGGTACACTTACAGTTGTGGCACGGAGCACTACCTACTTCACTTTTCACTTCTTAGTAACACTTCTCAAACTTCACAAACCTTGTACTTCTTACCAATTTGAAATCATCAGTAAAAGAAATTCAAAAATGTTCGAGTAACGCGTTTTTTTTTTCTTTCTAACGGCAATTCCTTATTAATGACCCTAGTCATGTCTTGACAATTGATATTCCAGAAGATCCGAGTATGTACGATCCGATAATGGAGCTACGGAATTCTGTTTCAGGCGTCTCGTACTCTGTTTTGAATAAAATCGATGTCAAGGGTGACGGCACTGTAATAAAACCATCTGAATTTAATAAAAATGCTCTTATATAAATAAAATGCTCTATATAAAATTAACCAGTTTTTTAAAAAAAAGTAAAAAACGTTATATTTCAATATTCCTAGGAATTATTCTACATACTGCATATAAGAGATTATATTATTAGTTTTCAAATTGCAGGTGAAAGTCGTATGTGAAACAACGGGACCTGAACATATGGACGAACTTCGCGAACTAATAGCTAGCACCTATAAAGAATGGTATTTCTCCAGAGAAAAGGACTACATCGACCGAAGACCGAGCACTGATTCTCTTGACAATGTATCTCATTAGTATTGGGTACCTACTATTTTCCATAAATCGGTCCTTCTTCGCTTATGAATGGGCGATAAATAAAGCAAAATCAAATTCTTTTATTTCTCTACTAGATATTAAGGGGTTATACAATATACATGAAGGTATAGACTAAGTTAAAATAAATTATACTTAATATGTATCTAAGTATGTCAGCAGGGCCGGATTTAGAGGAAGGCCACCAGGAAAGGACTGCAGCCCGATATGTGAGGACTCTATAACAGTTTGCTAAATATAAAATTAAATTAAGGAAAAAAACTGTACAATATACGTTATCTAATTGAATGAACCATTAAAGTTGTAAATACTAATAGTTGAATCATAGAGGTAAAAAAAAGGTCAACCAAAAAACGTCTGATATATTGTTAAACACATTCACTTCTTTGTTTACCCCATTACACTAAATCCGGCCCTGTAAGTAAAATAAAAGTTTTGCAATATTTTCAAGATAAGCAAACTTAATTATTATATGAAAATTAAGTAGGTATTAATAACTAAGCGATTCAATCTAAAACAAATTTTAATAATAAAAAAATCTTTATTAAATCCAATTCCTTCAACTACCTATTTAAATTAAAATACATACATTAATCTGTGATAAAGATACGTTTACAATATATGGATTTACTAACATGTTGTTTGATTTTTATCGATACTGCATTTATCTTAGAAAATAATTGAACACAGAAGTCATTTTAATATTTTACGATGCAATTTATACTTAAATATCATTAATCAGAAATAGGTTCTTGTAGTCTTTAGGTAAGATCATACCATTGAAAGAAAACAAAAAAAGTGTCTCTGTATAGAACATTAGTTATAATTAACACTCTGCTAAAACCTAGAATTATTGTACAAATATTTTTTTTGCTTATCAATTTAAATAAGGAAGCAAACCATAGGTAAATAGCTAGTTATAATGATATATCAAAATGATGCTTAAATTCTTTAAAAAGTATTGAATTCACGATCTAATGAAAATGGTAATGACTTTCGCTTACTTAAAAATTGTGAACCAGCTAACTCTCGATCACATGATCAAATACTGTGCTCCAGAATTTGTCATGTAGGTAAATTACTTTGTCTAAAAAAAATTCTAATTTTAAAAATAGCTATCATTTTTGTGACACCAAATTGTCACTTGGAAAATTGATTTTTATTTAATATTAATAATATAAATTCAAAGTGAAAACGTAGTAAAAATAAAGTGAAACAACGACAATATGAAATATTTTCTATGATTATTAAAATTTTCCTTTAAATTCAACGCAAAATGACGAACCGAGATGTAAGTATAAAGCTTATTTAAATAGAATAACATAATGGGCTTACTTACGATTGTTATTATAATAAATAATTGATATATAGAAGATTATCCTAATCCGTAGTTTTATGTAGGATGTAGAGTTCGACGAATTTTGTAATCCCAACAATCCAAGGATAATAAAATACGATGATATATTGGCTGCATCAAGACGTATAGCAGGAGCAGTCCTTAAAACTCCTTGCACGGTACTTTTTTTTTATTAAATAGAGTTTAAGAGTGTAAAATAACAATCTATTTAATGATAATAATATTAGGTATGTTAAAACGTATTTTAACAGAGAGCTCATATGTCGGACAAACTAGGTATGGAAGTATACTTAAAACAAGAATTCATGCAACATACTGGCTGGTAAGTTTAAAAGGTTCATAAAAATGTTTTATTACCGACTTAGTGTTAATTACAGTCATTAATAAGTTTTAAGGAACGCGGTGTGCGAAACACCTTACTCCTACTATCAGAAGAACAAAAAAAAATTGGTGTGATAACGGCGTCCACTGGCAATCATGGCTTGTCAATGAGCTACCACAGCACTCAACTGGGGATTCCCTGCATCGTAGTAATGCCGACGCGCGCTCCAATAACTAAATTTACTAAATGTCAGTCATTTGGCGCTAAGACACTCCTTCACGGTGAAAACCTGGCGGAAGCGAAATATTTTGCTATGGCTATTTCTAAAGAGAAGAAGTTATATTATATCAATGGGTAACATTATTAAATTCAATTTATTCTTTTTAGTTTTGGCTATATTAGTCATAAAAATGTCAGGAAACAATGATTTTATTATTTTATTTCACAGTTACGATCATCCAAACATCATTGAAGGACAGGGTACCACAGGAATAGAGATAATAGAACAAGTTCCTGATGTGGATGCCGTTTTAGTACCTGTAGGCGGCGGCAGCCTTGTGTGCGGTATTGCTATTGCAGTAAAACATTTAAAACCTGATACCGAAGTTTATGTAAGTTTTTATTTAGTCTAATATTTAGCGTAGCTAGCAGGTGCCGGTGGGGGTAGACAGCCTGATCATCTGATCATCAATGGGGGGTCACACCCGTCTGATCATAAAATACAAACTAAATTGCCTTGCGGGTGCCATCTATTTAAAAGTAACACCAACCAGAAACTTCTATTTTTTTTTAATATTACCTGTTTAAAGATAACGCCCAATCACATTTATTTAATGTATTCCCACTTAAATATTAGAGATTCGATAAAGGAAGAGGTTTTAGATATTAGAGATGTCACCTTCAAAAAACACTTTTTTCAAATAGATTTTTACAAAGCACTTTGGAATCGTCAATTCAATAGAAATTGAAGGCTTTCATCAAGGCATCACTAAATTGGGTACGAATTACGGTTTCGATTATAAAATATATTTTCGGTTAATTTTTAAAAACTTGTATGAAAAAATACAATGATAGTGTATTACTTTGAACCACATAATTGTACGTATAGCGCAAGCGGTCACACATCACACTATATTATTACAATTGACAGCACGATGAATATATTTTAATTAAAGTTATTATCTTTTAGGGTATACAAACAGAAAAAACCTATTGTATGGTAGAGGCTTTAAAGAGAAATGAACGAGTAAAAATAGTTGTAGAGTCTACTATCGCCGATGGTCTTGCAGTTAGTTTGGCTGGAGTTAATACATTTCATAATTTAAAAGCTGGAATTTTGGATAAAATGGTATGCTAAAAATGTCTAATGTTGTAGTCCGAGTTAAAAAGTTAATACTAAATAATTAATAATATGAAATTATTATTATTTCTTATATAAATATTAATAAAATGAATATGTATTATAGTAAAAATAATGTTAATACTATATAATTATGGAACGCGAAAATTTAAAAGGCTATAATGTTAATATGGTTAAATTTATTAAATGAAATGGATTTTTACAATAATGTACTTAATGGGATATTAAATGTTTCAATAAATGAATGTAGGTAATTGTCAAAGAAGATTGGGTAGCCCGCGCTATCATGCATATAGTAGAAGATGAGAGATACGTCGTGGAAGGCGCAGCGGCTGTTACCGTAGCGAGTATAATGGCTGGACTGTTTCCAAATCTTAAGGGCAAAAAGTAAGTTAACTGACACGAAGAATGTTGTTAAACAAAGTCTAATTTGGTACGTCATTAATTGGAGAGTTCAAAGGTAACAGATTTTCATTTTTCACTTTCCATTGGATCACTCTGCCAATTTATAAAGCACATTTAAACCATAAAAACAATTTCGATTCATGCAAAAATGACGAAACCATTAAAAACTTGACAGTAGAATAATAATTTAATAAGCTTAGGAACTTATTTTGAAAAACCTGCTATCAACAGGATTTCACGTTTCGAGGGTTCCTTCCCACCACATAATATTATTAATTGTTAAAATTGTTTCCTCTTGTTTATATCTTTCCGGATCTGCAGCCCTGTTAGCCACTAAACGGTTTTAATGTCTACTCTTGCCATTTGATTCCAGAGTAGTGTGCATAATATCAGGGGGTAACATAGACACGACGATCCTAGCGCGCGCGTTAGAGCGTGGCATGGCGGCGGAGGGGCGGCTGGTGAAGTTCAAAGTGACGGTGAGCGACCGACCCGGCGGCATGGCGGAGCTGTGCGGGCTGCTCGCCGGCCTCGGCGTCACGGTGCGCGACTGCATCCCGGAACGCGCCTGGGTCAAGGGCGACGTGTTCAGTGTCGAGGTATTTTGTTGACTAACCACAAAACGGCATTCTGTTTGGGTCTTTTTGTGTTATATTCAGAGCCTAAAAAAGGAATTTTTGATTTAATGAACAGGTGTCAGATAGTCTCTTACAAAGTTCTAATTAAAATCCACCCCTAATGGCATTATAATTAATTCTTTTAATAAAATTTGAAAGGTGTACTTCTTTAATTAAAAAGAATTTTTGGACAATATATTTTAGTAGGTACTTTTCCTAACGGTAGACATTTTCACCTGATAAGTACATATTGTGTTAATTGTATTGGAGACAATTGTTAACACGTTCGCTCTCCTAAATTTCTACCAAATTATTATTATTACTTATATTTGAATTTTGTTTCAGATGAAAGTTATTGTAGAAACGAGGGGTTGGGAGCATACCAAAGAATTGATCGAGATGATTAAGAAAAAATATAAAGACTGCTTCTTCGCAGAAATGAGTGAACGTTCAGAAAAAGCTCCCGGAGCAAAGCGCGGACCTTGTTTGGCGCCAAATCCAGTGTGTATGCAGAAATAATGTCGATTTATTTAACAGTATTTTTTTCATTAATGGGCCGTTGGTTTATATTACTTTTCAGTTTTCAGTTTAATAAAAACTTGCTTATTAATTTTCACGTGTTTTAATTGTGCCCTCTTGGTATTTGTTGTTGAAAATAACGATAACAGTGCACGTCACTTTATGGATCAAAGTAAGTTCTGCAATTCAGTAGTCAAAGTCTAAGTCAGTCAGTAGTGAATCTGCTTTCTTCAAAAATTATTTGTCGTTTATGCACCGATACCCAGTAACTTCTATATATTTTAAAATTAATAATCTCTGATCTGAACTTTGGCGAATGAAATTCAATTATGTACTTGTGTTCCAATCTATACATAATATAAAACTTAACTTTACAAATGATGTATTTAAGTACGAAACAACAAAAGTTTCAAAAAAGGTAAGGGCCACACTAATGTATATCAACCGAATTTCAAAAAAAATATACATGTATATTGTGTCTATGTAACCGTTTATAAATAAATAAAAATTAACTATTTCTGAGCTCTAATAGTATGCCAATATATCAATATATATTTTTCTTTCGTTAATTGTATATTATTCCTATTAAAAAGCTGGTAAAGTTTGAAATGGCGAATTTACCCAGTATTTTTGCTCTCCTGTAAAATTGAGAAAATGTATATACGTTCATCTGAAGCTCTTACACCGCGTTATAATAAAATTCTAACTAAGCCGAATCTATACATTAAATATTTTTTGGACAATCTTATTGAAATAAACATTATTATCGATACAGAGGCCGAATCTATAGTTTTTAGAATTTTTGTCGTTACCGCATCACAGAAAAACCACTGGGGGGATATTGACGAAATATGGTATGGTGATAGCTGGTTATCCGTGTCAACATATAGGATACTTTTTACCGCGATAAAATGTCTCATTTCTGAGAAAAAATACAAAAACTGCAATGTAAGAGTATACTTATATGTAAAACTTAAGAATTTGGTTATTGGTCATGTGAACGCAGTTGGAGCCGCGGGCAATGCTAGTACATTATAATAAGGAGGTTTTATTCGATAGGTTTTGGTAGTTTTTCGCTTTACACTATGTTGTTACTATGTAGGCACTGCTTAGGTATGCGTTTATGACATTGAGTATGGCCACGGTAATATGCATTACATTACCGCGGTATGGCCATCGAAAACGTGTCCTGGGGTTTTCTTAAAAGTTTTGTTAAGGCAACATTATTAAGCTGTCAAAGGCACGTCAAACTTCAAATTCTCTGGAATCTGGATGCTCTGGTTTTAAGCGTTATTAGTAACTGTATACATTTTTGTGCACAAACTAATGGGTAGTGGGTACATACATATAACCTGAAACGTGTATACTAATATTACATTCGAGTTGTTTACAATGAGTTGATAAAAATGTAACTACATAAACTTAACGATTACTTAGTTTTGAAGCACGGTTCGGACATTTTCTTTCGTGAAGTATGATATTGATATAAATTTGAAAACTTTCAGATTTTCTAAAGATTTGGTGTGTTCCTTAAATTAGAAATTAAGACCGCTAAAAACTATTATATAAATTAATTGTCGTAAATACAAAAACTACTCAACTTACTATTACAGCTTATTATAGTTAGTATTACCATATAAAGATTTTTTGAATTTGCCGCGTTTTCTCAGGTCACGTTTTCGTTGGCCAGACTCTAGTATAGGCTTAATGAGTGGCATTTTGTACAAAATCAGTATCAATAATTCATAAATTCAATCATCTTTAGGTAGATTTCAGAGTAATACCGCATGGGTAAGTGTACAACTACTATTATAATAAAGAGGAAAGATTTGTATTTTTGTATGTTTGTAACGAATAAACTCAAAAACTACTGCATCGATTTAGATGAAATTTAGTAAGATGGTAGTTTGAGAGCCTGGGAAGGACATAGGATATTTTTTATTCCAGAAATCATAAGAGGGTGAAAATGGGGATGAAAGTTTATATGGGGAATCAACATAGGGACAAACCCGAGCGAAGCGAGGGTAAGTCGCTAGTCTTCTATCTTGTATATTATAAAAAGGCAAAGTTTGTAAGTTTGTGTGTTTGTGAGTTTGTGACGTTGTAGTGGGTAATCTCTATGTCTACTGAACCGATTTAGATGAAATTTAGTAAGAAGATAGTTTAAGACCCTGGGAAGGATATAGGATTCTTTTTATCCCGGATATCTCCTTTATATCTCCTTAAGGAGGTGAAAATGGGGATGAAAGTTTGTATTGGGAAGCAATTATACTTCATACAATTGCAAAACCGGTTTTTCCCCGACTCGACTTACAATGTTTAGTCACGCTGTCACGTTTAAAAAAAACCGCACGCCCGGTAGCATAGCAACTAGAGTAATGAAAAATGAAAATGAAATAATAAAAACACGATAAAAATGTACTTTTAATAATGACGGGAAATAATGACATTGTAATCGAATAGATTAAAACAGAGCCAAGAGAAAACAAAATATGAAAACATGATTTAATGTCACCACGACACTACAATTTGTTAGACAAACTTCAAAAATTTATAAAAAATTTCTGTTATATAACAAATTAGTTCACATATAAGTATTTTAAAAAATCCCGTAAAATGACAAGGCGACATGTGAGTATTTATACTATAATTACAATAAAATTATGATTAAATAAGTATATAATTTGTAATTCCTTCTTCTTTAAAAGGAGGACTTTGATGAGTTTAGTGATCCAGGAAATCCAAGAATAATAAAGTATGAAGATGTAGTCGAAGCAGCAAAACGTGTTAAAAATTTCATATCGCCTACACCATGTGTGGTACGTTTCAAGCTAAGTTATCACCCACTGTCCATAACATTATATATAGTTTAGTACCATTATTTATTTTAAACTATTAAATCATTCATATCTTAAATATTTCAGGTATGTTCTTTAAAGTAATTGAACTTAACTTTTTGCGCTACACAGGTATCTCACTATCAACGCGAGAGTGGCATCAATATATTCTACAAACTAGAAACTATCCAAAGAACTGGAAGGTAAAATTAAATGATTATTCTTTATAAATAAAATAGAAAAAAAAAGTTATTCATAATTTCATAAACTGAAGTTTATATTTTAGTTTTAAGGAAAGAGGTGCCATTAACGCATTGGCAATGCTACCAAAAGATAAACAAAAGATCGGTGTAGTAATAGCATCGCTCGGAAACCAAGCGATGGGCATATGTTATTATGGACAAAAGTTAGGCATACCTGTAACTGTCATTATGCCTACTTGCGTACCGGTTATGAAGCTTCAACTTTGCCACAATATGGGCGCAAAAGTCATAGTCCAGGGCAACGCCTACACCGAATCGCAAAAATTCGCTAGAGCCTACGCAAGAGATAAAGGACTCACTTATATTAATGCGTAAGTTTATTACGTACCTACTAAGTTAAGTAAATTACTCCCAGCATTTCAGCTACAGCGGCTAGTGTACCTTATTCTAGCCATCTGCGGCATTCCCAGGCAGAATTTTCTGATAAGTGGTAAGAACTCTCTCATGAATTCGGCAGCATCACTTATGTTAAAAGTTATTTCTTCTTTTTCTCCACATTTTCGCGCAGTTTCATCTATTGACAGCTATTCTTAAAAACATTAAAGTTGGACACTGGACATTCAAACACAGTACAGTCACTTTTTGCGCTACGCAAAGCCAAGTGCCATGACTGTAGTTTCTCAAATATCATCCGAGATCCACATCCATTCAATGATTACCTACATAAGATCATCACAAGCATTCTGACATCTTCACAGAGTTTATTTGTTATTAATATTTGTAGTATAACTCCTTATTTATAATCTAATATGATAATCAAGACACCAATATCAAATATGACATTGGCGAATGGCGTAGCAATCTGTGCTCAACTGGCACGTTTTGAAGCTATTAACAATAGAATTGAATTGTAATAATTCAATGTTTATCCTAATAAACGAGCAGTATTTGTATATATATCTTTATAAACACGTTTTCGAAAACGGCTCTAACGATTTCGATGAAATTTGTAATATAGGAGTTTATGGGGGCGATAAATCGATCTAGCTAGGTTTTATATCTAGGAATATTCGTTTTCTCCGTATTTTCACGAATAAAACGGCCGTGCCGTCTGAATAGCGTGATGGTTAAAGCGTTGGCCTACCACGCCGAATATCAGAAGTTTCTGTTTTTATTTAATTATCTTATTAGATTTTGTATTTAGATAAGGTTTTGCTTTTTAGGTTTATCTACATATATAAATTTCGTTATCGCAATTTTTATATCTTTTCCCAAAAACGCCGACCCGAGCGAGAAGCTCGGCCATCTGGTACTTTATAGTAAAAATACCTAATTAATTATTTTCAATTTCGTGTATTCTGTTTAGCCGTGATTATCCGAACATACTTTCGGGATATGGAACAATAGCCCTGGAGATCCTTGAACAGGTTCCAAGTGTAGATGCGATAATTGTGTCCGTGGGTACGGGCGGACTGGCTGCCGCTGTGTCTACCGTCGTTAAGCACGTCAAACCCGAATGCTTAGTATACGTTAGTATCGATTTGTCTATAAATATGTATTTGATTAATAAATAATTTACTTTATGTAATATATTTTTTTGTTAATATTTCTTAGGTACCTTTAAATATGTATATATGACGTATGTATAGCAAAATTTATATATTTGATTCAGTAAAACTTAAATTAAACAAATTTATAGGTATATTTTTAAGAAGTTAAATATAACAACAAAAAAAATAAAGCAAACTTGTTGTAAATTTTAGGGAGTACAATCAGAAAGGATTCCAACATTTTACAAATCCTTGGAAGCTGGAGAGCCAATAACTCTGCCTTACGAACCTTCCATCGCTGAGGGCATCGCAATGCCGTACGTGGGCATCAATGCATTTAAAAACGCACAAATGCATCTTGATAAATTGGTAAATATTGAAATATTTATATTAGTCGATTACAATCGATTTTTGTCAAAAGCCACTACGCTGAAGCTTGCAAGCTCATTTTCCGCTTAGAATGAATAATAGGTGATACTGGATTTTCTGCCTTTTTACAGCAGACAGATGTGTACGTACATACTCGTATATCTAATGAACAGATACCTTAATTAAATGTAGACTATTTAAACTTGTATAAATTTAAAAATTCATCATCTTCTACATTTAATATCATTTTTTAAGTTATTGGTAAAAGAAGATTGGATAGCTCGTGCCATATTACACTTAGTCGAACAAGAGCGCTTGGTGGTAGAGGGCGCCGGGGCATGTCCTTTAGCTGCGATCATTGGCAATCTGGTGCCGGAATTAAAATCTAAGAAGTACGTACTTATATATGTTATGCTACATATTAAAATACACTAATACTAATTTACATTGCCTATTAAACACAGCTCCTTCGTATTAGATAATCTATAATCTATTAATGTACTAAGTTAGTCTTAAAATTCTAAGATATAAAGAAGACATTATTTATACTTCACTCCGGTTAAATAATCTTTTTTTTGTGTCATTAATCATTATTGTTTGTTGATAAATTCTTGAAACGCCTATTATATAATATATTGTTCACTTTATTTACAGTGTGGTATGCGTTCTTAGTGGAGGAAATATAGATGCTATAATGCTGGGTCGTAGCTTAGATAGAGGACTTGCAGCAGAGGGACGACTTATTAAATTCAAAGTAAAACTATTATTATAACTTCTTACAAAACTAGAAAAAATGCTTTAGTTTTATGACTATTTTGAGTTCAATTTATATACATGTATGTAAAGTACCTACCTAATACCAGTTGCCGGAACAGCTCTTTACGGAGAAAACCTCCTCTAAGTGCTCTAAATAATTTTATTTTGGACCAGTCTTGTCGATAAAGTCGTTGCCAAAATTTTTTTAACTAGCGGCTCACCCTCGCTTCGCTCGGTTTCGTCGCTAGGTAGATACGTTTTAAATAGATATAAATATAGTTATTAGCCAGCGTTAGCCACATAAATTTTATTTATTTTTTGTTAATAATATTGACAAATATTGACATTAATATTTATACGATACTAACGTCACTCAATTGTTTGGCCTTCCCAGAACCTCTCCACTAACACTTAAACTTTATAGTATGGTATTAAAGTTCAAACTGACTTTTAAGTGATATTACGAATCTTTTGTATGGGAGTATAGAAAAGTGTTGTTTTTAGACTTTTTCAGGTATTTTTTCAAATTTTTCTCTCCGTAAGAACCATCGTCGTACTTCAAGGAATATTCTAAAAAAAGAATTAGCGAAATCGGTTCAGCTGCTCTCGAGATTTACGCTTACCAACACATTCAGCGATTCATTTTTATATTATAGAAGATAATCATAATTCTTAAGATAGGTATCAGAATTCACACTAGACTAATTTACTCCTTTTACAGGTTCTCATTTCAGATTTCGCAAGTTCGTATGAGCAGTTAGCGAGGCTCCTTGCCGAAGGTGGTTACAATTTAATCCGCCAGTTTCAGGACCGTATTTGGGTCGAAAATGAAATATATAGAGTTGAGGTAAAATTTAAATAACTAGTTCTTAACCAAAAAATCAAAAAGTCAAAAACCTTAGGAACCCCTACAGGATATATTAAAGTTGGTTAAAATTAATATTTTTTTAATGTTATCTATCTATACTTATTATAAAAATAAGTCCCCCGGCCGCGTCTTTCTGTCCTCCTGTCTGTCTGAACGCGATAAACTCGAAAACTACTGAACGGATTTTTATACGGTTTTCAACAATAGAAAGAGTAATTCTTGAGGAAGGTTTAGGTATATAATTTATTATGCTTTTATGTAAATTAGCTGAAATACGGCGACAAATGTTGAAGAGGTCGCAAAAAATCTCGCCAAATGGAAACTTTCCACGCGAACGCCGCGTAAACTAGCAAAGATACAGTTAAGTAATGTACTAGAGAATTCAAAATCTATAAAAATGCTACAAAAAAGTCCGCGATAGCATATCTCTATCTCTTACGGTTGACTTACAATAACCACTTTTATGTTAACATTTTTAATTAAAAACATTACGTTATTTTCAAAGTTATTTTCTTTAGTTCGGTATTAATCCTTATCCAAATGAATATTTTAGTTAGCTTAGTCATTTAATGCAGATTAAAATTGCTCTTTACACTAAATCAATCAGATGAATAGTTTTTGAGATATCGTTGTTAGAAGTAATTAGTAGCGAAACATTTTTAATGCTTGGCGAGCATTGAGATGCCTACGGCGAGTCCATCCCCTCTGCCCCGCATCGCTCGACCGCCTGCTCAAGCTATATAAACCGGGCGATGTAGCGCGCGATCCTAGGATACTTTTTACCGCGGGAAAATATCTTATTTCTGAGGAAAAATACAAAAACTGCAATGTAAGAGTATACTAATATGTAACACCTAAGAATTTAGTTTTTGGTCATCTGAACGCGGGCGGAGCCGCGGGCAATGCTAGTACTTATTATAAAAATAAGTCCCCCGGCCGCGTCTTTCTGTCCTCCTGTCTGTCTGAACGCGATAAACTCGAAAACTACTGAACGGATTTTTATACGGTTTTCAACAATAGAAAGAGTAATTCTTGAGGAAGGTTTAGGTATATAATTTATTATGCTTTTATGTAAATTAGCTGAAATACGGCGACAAATGTTGAAGAGGTCGCAAAAAATCTCGCCAAATGGGAACTTTCCACGCGAACGCCGCGTAAACTAGCAAAGATACAGTTAAGTAATGTACTAGAGAATTCAAAATCTATAAAAATGCTACAAAAAAGTCCGCGATAGCATATCTCTATCTCTTACGGTTGACTTACAATAACCACTTTTATGTTAACATTTTTAATTAAAAACATTACGTTATTTTCAAAGTTATTTTCTTTAGTTCGGTATTAATCCTTATCCAAATGAATATTTTAGTTAGCTTAGTCATTTAATGCAGATTAAAATTGCTCTTTACACTAAATCAATCAGATGAATAGTTTTTGAGATATCGTTGTTAGAAGTAATTAGTAGCGAAACATTTTTAATGCTTGGCGAGCATTGAGATGCCTACGGCGAGTCCATCCCCTCTGCCCCGCATCGCTCGACCGCCTGCTCAAGCTATATAAACCGGGCGATGTAGCGCGCGATCCTAGGATACTTTTTACCGCGGGAAAATATCTTATTTCTGAGGAAAAATACAAAAACTGCAATGTAAGAGTATACTAATATGTAACACCTAAGAATTTAGTTTTTGGTCATCTGAACGCGGGCGGAGCCGCGGGCAATGCTAGTAGTAGATAAAAATAATTGTGTGTGTGTATGAAATTCACACATGGTAGAAGTGAAACTTCAGAAAAGTAACCTACGAGAGAATGAGATGAATATAGAGTATCAGGAGTGGGATAATTATGACGTTTGTTTTTTTTTATAATATTTTTATCAAGATTAAAAGTTATTTTACGTTTTATTTGACATCAATATACATTACATATTATTCAGTAATTAATTTTTATTATTTTTCACACCTGTGTAATGTACTCTATCTCGAATAATTTAATAAGGCATATTAGGTATATTACAATCATATATTTATAGAATATCATATACGGAAAGAATATAGTATTACATATTTGTCAGACAATCACGATTACCATGGCAACATGCCAATGTATTCTATCTCATTCTTACGCCGGCTTAATCTATACATATAATAAAATTGTAACTAAGCCGAATCTGTACATGAAATATTTTTTGGAAATTCTTATTGAAATAAACATTATTATCGATACAGAGGCCATATCTATAGTTTTTAGAATTTTTGTCTGTCTGTCTGTCTGTCTATCTGTCTGTCTGTTATCGCATCAGAGAAAAACCACTGGAGGGATTTTAATGAGATTTGGTATGGTGATAGCTGGTTATCCGGGTCAACATATAGGATACTTTTTACCACGGGAAAATATCTCATTTTTAAAAAAAATACAAAAACTGCAATGTAAGAGTATACTAATATGTAAAACCTAAGAATTTGGTTTTTGGTCATCTGAACGCGGGTGGAGCCGCGGCCAATGCTAGTCCCATATATTTGTGTTTCTCTCTTTTTGGTGTCGTATTTTCGTTACCTCGAGCTTCAAATCACAACGATTCTAAAGAAGTTTCACTTCAAAAATAAGCAAAAGATTTTCTCATCCATTGGTAGAACTTTTGACAAACAATAAGACTGGGTTCTCACGTTATTTATTAATACATATCAAGCATTTACAGTTGATAATTCGGCTGTATCTACTTGCGAAGCAATCTAAAATCTAGTTTACTCTATTTATTTTTTAAAATGCAATAACTTTGGAACCCCTTAAATCTCTAATTTATGTATATAGCGGTTAAATTAATAGGTATAGAGATCCTTGACACCGTGTATAAGCTACATATAATTACATAAATATACCTTTGTTTTATCAGGTAAAAATAGTCTGCGAAACTAAAGGATTAGATCACGCTTTAGCATTGAAGAGATTGATCGAAAAAGCTTACCCAGGTGCATCAGCCTTCGAAACTGAGCCATTCAGTGATGACAGAACATGCCCATGTTATGCTAAATGTTCTAAATAACAAAATTAGACATATCATTATTCATAACTGCTTATAAATGGATGGATTTGAATGAAATATGAATATTTTGTATAAATCAAATGCAAAATAATCTAATTATTTTATTATGCACAACACTCATAGATATTACGTATTGTCATTTTTATTCATATTTAACATTATACAAAAAATAATCTAACAAGTAACAATAAAAGAAAATTTGAAAAATTAACAATGAGATATTTATTTCTTTCCAAACATGATGATATAGGTATTATATATTTGTAAACTAAATGTTGACATGAAATTTAGCGGTGTATATGATAATTACAAGATTTTTATATATTTATGTTTATTTTTACTGCATTATTATATTTTTATCTAAAAAATTAAGGAAAGTTGCTGTCCATAAATGATGCCATTTTTATATCCCTCTTGCTTAAGCCATTTACATCATGAGAAGACAATGTCACCTGAAGAAAAAAAAAACAATTATAAAAATTGTATTTTTGTGTAGATAATAAATTACAAATATTGTAAGAATTGTTTTATTTAATGTTATAAGTTTATACCTGTAATTTATTGTAGACATTAAACCATTCTGGGTGATGATCCATTTTTTCAGCGAGTAAAGCAACTTGTGTCATGAAACCAAAAGCTTCATTGAAGTTTTTGAACTGAAATTCCTTTTCTAAAGCATCTCTGTTGCTCTGAACTTTCCAGCCAGACTGGAGAAGTGGTTTAAGCAAGCTATCTCTCTCTTCTTGACTTAGTTTATCAGCCTAGAACATAAATTTATTCACTAAGTTAATATCAGCCAAATACCTATATCCCAACAATATTTAATAAAATCATTGAAAATACAAACCATAGTTTTGTAAGGTTGTTAACTATATTTTTTGTTAAGAATATTAAAAACAAACATATTTGCGCTAACAAAACTAGTTAACTATGACAGATAAAAAAAAACCTCGTCTAAATGAATAACTTACCATTTTCCTCTTACTAGATGTAGACACGCAGGCAAATCCTATAACTCGACCGGCGCAACTGGCTGTGGCATTGATCGCGGGAGCGCTTTGAGCGATTCTATCGGGGTGAAAGTGTATCGCTATCAAACATCCAACGTTGTATAATCTCCGACCGCGTAACATTATTTAAAATCTAAATAGCATATTTGATTTAAGAATTTGCGTTATTTTGCCTTTAGTTCATTGTAGGTAATTCTTTGTTTTTTGGTATGTAATTTATAGACTATGGTTTGTTTTTTTTATTTTTTAGTACTTGTATTCGAAAGTGTGATTAAATTTTTTTGTTGTTCTTTATCACTTTGCGTTTTGTTATTAATAGGTGTAGTTGAATGTGCATTTATAATTTACTTTCCTATGAATTCATAGATGATAGATCGTATCGTATACAAATTAGAATTACAATAACGCAGGTGAGACTGACTACTGACTAGGCTGAGAAAATATTATGACTTTAATTGTCATCCAAATTCCAAGGGTTACATATTCTGTAGTGTTGCCCATTAATTTAACTGCCTCGGTGGTGTAGTGGTTACTGGCTAGCATGTACGGCTGCACACCCGGAGGTCCTGGGTTCGAAACTTCGAGTCCCCCGGGTCGGGCCAAGTTTAGTTATTGAGTCTTTCTGTATAGTAATATTCAGTAGCAGCCCAGAGTTGGGAAGTTGGCAGTGTTTCACCCCCATGCCTCGGAGAGCACGTAAAGCCGTTGGTTCTGCGCCTCTCGGTCGTGTCGAGTACGAGTAGTCGTCCCACCGGAGTATGAGAGTGACAGGAATAGAGAGTGCACTTGTGTCTGCGCGTACACGCGCTGCACAATGATATCTCCTGCGCAGTTGGCTAGTCTGAATGAGATTGCCCGCCGTGGCCGGAATCGGTCAGAAGAACATATTATTATTATATTAGTGTTGCCCATCGATAGTTGACTATCGATAGCATATCGATAATTAATCGATAGTGACCTATAGTTCGAATATTGGTAGTTCTATCGATATTATCGATACGATGAATAGTATCGATACTATCGATAGATGGAAATGTGTCAATACTATTGACAGACCACAATACTATCGATACTGTCGATAGTATTGGTGCTCACAAATCGTAAACTATTGATAGTATCGATACTATTAATGATTCGAAATAAAATAATATTGATGGTATCAATGCTATCGAAACTATCGATAGTTTCAGCTATCGATAGTAACTTATTTTTCGATAGTATTGTACACAGTTCGCAGGTGGCACAAATCGAATTATTATATTTATACTGACTTTCGTCTAATTACATTGCTTTTAAAACTTACCTAATACTATCGAAAAATTAACAACTATCAATGGTCCAAAACTCAATAGTATCGATTAGTATCGATTCTATTGATAGTATTGTTTTTCAGAAGTTTGATAGTATACATTCTATCGATACTATTGTTAATATATAATTCATTAGCAGCAATACTATCGTTAGTATCGATGTCATTTGATCAGCCAGAGCAGTATTTGATATCGATATTATCGATATATTTATCGATAGTAGGGCTGTTTTAGATGAAAATTATCAATAGTGAACCTATCGATACTTCGGCAACACTAATACTATGTCCAAATAGAATATAGCCACTACGCTGTCCATGATTGACTTTTATTTGACATTTTTGTTTCAATTATATAAAAAAATCTTATTTACTTTTATATAAATTAATTATTATAGAAAAAAGTATGTCTAATATCTTTCATTTTAATTATCTTATTAATTTTATACTCTTGTTTTCATATATAAGTAGATGCTCAGCTGATTGGAAAATGAAAATAGCTTGATGTCAGTGTAGTTATGCCAAAAACTTTTTAAATATTTCTCTTCTTTGAAATAACATGTAACGGAACGTAATTGTTCAAAATAAATAAAACAACAAGCATCCAGAGCCTCATAAATTATAAAACGCTATACTCCATGATTTTAAAGATTATAGACGATTACTGTATAACATTATTTGCTGTCCAAAAAAACAGGCAAAGAACATACAGAGACCGCAAAAATAATTTTATGGGTTCAAATTTTTTTCAAAAGGTTTTGTACCTCTGGTACATAATATTCAGGTTAGATTTACTATGTTTATTTCTTATTACATTACATAGGTATTAAAAAATACAAAATGTAAGTCACGATCAAAAAATTGTACCTACAAGAAGAACAAGTTCCTGACGATGAAGAATATTAACTAATTTGTAGATATTTTTTGTCTTTTTATGTAACTTTTAATTAAAAATAATTATAATTACCAAATTTTTTAATTGTTTTTATAATTATGCGCTTTTTTTCGAAAAATGTCCAAATCTAGCACTTTATTGAAGTCAATTTAGCGCGTTTTCTTTAAGGAATGTTGGCAGCACACTGCACAGTGTCAGTGTTAAATGTCAATGTGCCGCTGAAGTTTTAAGTTTCAAATTCTTTAACAACACTTTACGAGAGTAATTTAATTTTAAACTAGAATTTATATTGATTTGATGTTATGACAAAGTTCTCTAACGTTTAATTCTTTACATCAATTTAAAGGTTTTTTTTAAAGTTTCAATGTTTATATCTAGATTTTACATATTTTATTAAATTTCGTAAAACTTAAAACAAGAAACATGAATATATTAAAGGATATTTTACCTGCAAGATTTTTTGAAGTGTTAGAAAAAGCCGGCATTTGTACACCAAAACAGATTATCGTACTATCACATTGGGATATTAAAAAGGCAACTAATTTATTATATGACGATATACTATTACTTAAAAGCATCGTTAGTAATTATTATAGCCCAATTTGTGTAACATGCGACAAATTCCAAAAAAAAACTTGTAGGATTAAAACTGGTTGCTCAGCAATTGATAACTTGCTGAGAGGAGGTTTTCGAAAAGGGACCATTACAGAAATTTATGGAGAAAGTGGTACGGGCAAAACACAAATTGCTTTGCAGGTTGCTGCTTATTGTGGAGATAAAGGAAGTGTAATTATTTCTACTGAAGATATATTTCCTGTTAAAAGATTCAATCAAATAAATAAGGCCATCATAAATAGATCAGAAAATGCAGATAGTGGGAAAAGCACATTCATTGAACATTTGACGGATTCACACGAACTGTTATCCTGTGTAAGGGTACGTTTGCCAATATTATTAAGCAAAAACAGAATATCATCTGTTATTATAGATTCTGTAGCTGCTCCATTTAGAAGTGAACACACCAACTATGTGCAAAGAGCAGAAGAACTTAGGGAGTTTGCAGTTACATTACTTAATTTAGCTCAAGAATATAATATGGCTGTAATTTGCATAAATCAAGTGACAGCATCTTTTGATGGCTCTGATGATGTATTACCTACTTTAGGACTTGTATGGTCTAACATGATGTCTTATAGGTTTAAACTTAGAAAAATATCTGAAACTATTCAGAATAAAGATTCTAGCCATCACATCAATCTCAGAGAGTTAACTGTTATCCATGCACCAGATTTGCCAAGTGGTATAAGTGCAAAACTGTTAATAACAGCTAGTGGTGTGGAAAATGTAATTTATCATTGATTCTTAAAATTAACATAATATTTTAATTATTTATAGATAAATACAGCAGATACTAGTAAACATATCTTCTGAAGAAAATTAAAAGTAAATCCAATTTAATAAAACATGCATTTCTTATTAAGGAAATCCTTCACCTAAAACTACTTTAAACCAAATAGCCCATGCTATATAACATGTGGAGTTTTGTTCCTGATAAGGTTCCATAACTTTATCAGGGACAAAAAAGCATGTTAAATTAATAAAAAAAAAATATTCTAAGGTACTTTGGTGCCATTAAAATTTAAAGGTTTTATTTTTGACAAATACAAAGGATCTTAATTTATACTACTATGGTTATACAAAATATTCGAGTAGTACAACGTGGTACAACACTAGCTCTTAATGAGGGAAAGTATGAAGCGGGGGGTGCGGAAGCACGTGATGTGTTGACCCGCCCGCACGCCTCCCGCAACACCTGCTCACACCTGTGTAATTTTGTTAAAATCAGCGTTTTCTGATTAAAATATTATTTACTGATGAAAAGAAATATCTTTGTTCGTTTTAGTTTCCTTTCGTGAATCATTTTTACAGCTTGGAAATGCACGTTTCACCATGATTACATAAATTCATATAAATACCGACAGCCGATTACCGACGAGAGAAACAGTCAGCGCGATTGACTTTTCATGACTAATAGCGTCGGCCTTGCTATTTCGAGACTGTTCATACCCGTGCTTACAGTTCATACTTGCTAGCGCGCGCTCTTTAGCTTATGTCTGTATACCTACTCTAAAGTGTTAGTTAAACCGATTTCTTGATATGCGTACGATTTTTTAGGGTCTTGTACCATAGTATATATATATATTATACATAGTATTAGTATAGTATTATATATAGTAGAAATTGAGCTGGTATGCATACTAACTAATATAATACTAACGTTCTACATTGATCAGACATTGAAAGTTTTTTCTTTTATTTAAAAATATATTAGTTCTTACTGTAAGTCTTGGTTACAACAATTATTATTGTAAAAATTTACATAAATACCGTTCATATGGATATTTATTTTTGATCCATCGACTATCGAGTAACTTCATTAACTTTTTTTTTAATAATGGCTTATAGTTGCGTTAACAGACGCAATCCATTCTGATTTCTGCCAGTGTCACGTTTTGTGAGCAAGACACGAATGAGATTGAGCGGTAATTTTGAAATTTGGTATCTATATTGTGGAAATAAAACTATAGATGAATGATCGGTCTACAGGAGTAACCTACAACGATAGAAAAATAATTACGTAATACAAAATTCAAAAATGACACATTGAGAATGAAAATGTATACATAATGAGAACTTCATTATAATTTAATTTTATTATCTACTATAAATTTAACTAGTATTTTTATAAATGGGCTAAATACAAGAGCTAATAAACATTTGGTGTTAACTGGGCGGTGAATTTGAGGAGGGATTATATCATGTAGAGAATATTTCAATTTGGGACAATTAAAGAGAATATGATCAGTGGAACCCTCATCTAAGCCACATCGACAAATAGAGCTATTTCTAATTTTTAATTTTGCTAAATGAACCGGAGTACACGCATTTCATTAACTTTAGCAATCAAGAAATATTAAAGTGACGAGTTTATGAAACAGATTAAAAATTTGAAGATAATTAAAAAAAATAAAAAATAGATGACATAAAGTTAAAAAAATATCTTAATAAATCTGACTTGCGTAGTAGGTAGTCTATCTATAATTTATATAAATGTCGTGATGACCACGATCGTACGTCATCCATGGATCGTACGTTTACGTACGATCAAAATTCACCTACCCTACCCCAGCCTGCAAATTTATGATATTTGCAATGAAAAAAATACTAATCGATAGATTTTCAATAGCTCAATTTAACTACGTAGCCCTTTCAAATTGCTCACCTTTAATTATTTAATTAAAAATCAATAAAGTCTTTGAAAAAAAAAAATTATCTGTATATTCAAACTCCTATATCTTTTGATGTATACAATATTTCAAATTGCTCAAAGTTTTAAAACACTGCTCAAGTTGCATTTGTAATTGCTCAAGTAGAGTTTTTACCAGCTCCACTTTCGCTGATTATTAAATAATTAAAAGTATAGTTGTAATAAATGTAACGTAGGTTAAGTGAGCGTGCGCATGCGCACCGCGCATTGTCGGTCGGCCTCGGCGGGCTTGGACAATCGTTCCAATTCAACGTCTTAATTCTGTTTCTTGGTGGATTTCTTTAAATTTATTGAATTTATGAATTGTTCACATTACGTGATTCCACTTCAGATATTATAACATAAAGAACTTAAATTTATTCAAACTATTTATATTTATTTAATAATTAAGGAAAGTGGAGCTGGTGAGAACTCTACTTGAGCAATTACAAATGCAACTTGAGCAGTATTTTAGAACTTTGAGCAATTTAAAATATTGTATATTTCAAAAGATATAGAAATTTGAATATACGGATAAATTAATTTTTTTCAAGGACTTTATTGATTTTTAATTTTATAATTAATGGTGAGCAATTTGGAAGGGCTACGTAGTTGAATTGAGCTATTAAAAATCTATCGATTAGTATTTTTTTCATTGCGAATATCATAAATTTGCAGGCTGGGGTAGGGTACCTTCAAAATTCGTGTCCAAAGTGCGCGCGGCCTAAGGGGCCACTACATGAAACAATAAACATCCCTGCTAATATTTGTCAATTGTCATCCATGTCTGTGACAGACATGGCAAGTGGCAACACTTGGAGGCTTCTTTGACCATGGATGACAAATAAAATAGATGAATTAGTTCCATACAAGCTCTTGGTGCATCTATCTATCCCTTTCATTTGCTTGGTAACTAGCATGCTATCTCTACATTTGGCGACAACGAGTGGGACAACAACTTATTTCTGTCGCAGTTACATACGTCACTACTGTGACGTCACTGCAATATTTTGTCATTTTTGAAATATTCAAGTTTTAACCGTCGTTATTACTCGCCCCTGGGGACTAGGGTGTGAGGGCTTGCCGTTTTTTATATTATTTTACACTTAAAATTTACATTTTATCAATTTGTAGATTAGTATTAATTAATGTGGATAAGTGCTGATTAATGTAGATCAGTGATATAGTTAAGATTTGTGCTTGGATACAAAATTTGTTATTTCTTCATTAGTGTTTCTCTTCCTTTTTTTGGTTTTTTATTAATGTTGTGTAATCATGGGAAAGCATTGTAATTCCGAATTGTCAGGAAGGAACAGAAGGTTTTTCATGTCATAGAATGCCTTATAAAGATGCACTTCAATTTTATAACGTATACTTATAGAAATTCTTATAAACGGTTTATTTCTAGAGTAACTCTATCTGACCAGGTTTCTGCCAATGTAGCTGCAATAAATTCATTAATTTCTGATACTAAGGTAAATATACTTTGTAGTGCCAATGATGCATCAAGTGCTATCCATTATGAAGTTAATGGGAAGTGGGAACAAAACCTATCATAAGTATGATGTACCTCATTTACTGAAATGTTTCAGTAATAATTTTCAGAAAAAGAATTTGCTCCTTGGCAGTCAGCATGCTCAATGGGATTATGTTTATATGTTGTATAAAGTAGATGACCATAAAGGTGCTGCAAGGCTAACAAACTTACTGACAGGCATATTTATCCAAACTCTTTTGTTAAGATGAAGGTAACTATATTGTTAAGTTTAGTAAATTAAGATATTATTATATTACTTTAGATCTTGGATATTATCTTTAATATGAAATTGTTTTTAAGAAGGAAACTTCTTGAAGCTATTGATATTATTATACTATTTATTATTATACTATTCTATTCTAATATGTAAAATTGAATAGTTTGTTTATTGTTTGAATGCACTTATCCATGTAATGCTCAGTCCATTAAAAACAATTTATCAACTCTATAGCCTATCTATTGTATAATGTTAACAGCTATTTAAGGGCCTAATTGGCTTATCTACCTAGACCCTAATAATACTAAACTATTACTATATTTAAATAAGCTACTATTCATCTACAGTAGTTACTAGTTCATATACTATATAGTTATGGTGACTATTTGTTGTATTACATTAATTTATTATAATAATATATTTACAGGTGAAGTATATGCTGCGCAGGTGTTTCAGCAGTTGAAGTGTTTCAACATCTATAAGTCTCCTGATAAAGGCTTTTAGTTTCCAGGAAGAACACAATTATTGTAATACATTAAATGTAAATATTGAGAATGGCTTATTCACAGCTGAGATTATTTTATTCATTAATAATAAAATACATGATCCTTCTAAGAATCTGTCATCTCTAGTATGGTATGCAATTTACATAATTAAAAGACAATTACCAAAGATTTGTAAAGTTTACATATTTCCCAATTTAATAAAAGCATTTGAAAGTCTTGATACCTCTTGGTACACTTGTGTAGATCATAGAGAAATATTTTTAAGAGCATTCTCATTATTTATGATATGTATAAAAGTTAGACACAGGTGTATAAATTTTAATTGAAGAATGCATAAAGTGGATTCGAGAAAAAAGGGTCTGGAAATAGAAAATTTGCTTAATATGAAAGTTTCAGAAGGGCCTAGCTATGGTTGAACTCATCTAGTCTTCAGAGTAGTGAATGATTTTCCAATATTTTTTCATTAATTAACTTTTAATATTTATTACTCTTGTTTGTTTCATTTCTTGGTTATTTAAAAGATAATCACTTGGAATTTTCCATTTTCATTATGTTTCTATTAAGTATAAAAATAATGTATGAATATTTCAATTGATTTCTGTGAAATAATATTATAATTTCTTAAAATATACTACTATAGCAGTATATAATTTTAATATATTAATTATAATTGTTACATTTGATAGAACTATGCATTTAGAAATTTTATTTTAGAGTATGTTTAGCTGTTATTTCTTTTTACACCAAATTTTTACTATTACTATGTACATATTGATTTTAAATTTCTTAAGCTTTTATGAAAATTAATTTTATTATTCATTTTTTACTGAAATTTGCATTTTTTTTTAATTTATATAAGATTAAAATGTTTGTTTTTTCAAATGCGCTAATCTCGAATCTTTGCATTTTATAAACTGAAGATGAAGGTGGTTCTAGAGCTAAAACTTCAAACAAAAGCTAGATTTTAATTTATACCTACAATTAAACCTACTACTCGCTTAATATGATATTGTTATTAACAAAAACTATTGTTCTATGTTACTTCTAATTTTATTGCATTGTAATATTTTATACCAAATCGTTGTATTAGTCTTTGTCTCATTGTTATTATCTTTTGTATTTTGTATTCAATTGATAAAATTCTTTAAAAATGTCCTTTTATTGTAATAACAATGTATTATAAATGTTAGAAAAAAAAGGTTATCCCGTCAAGGACCTCAGTCCTTGCTAATTCTTCTCAGGTCTGAGGCATTTTTCCGAACTAGTGGTAGCATTAAAATAGTAAAATAAAAAAACTAGAAACCTATCTTTGTATTTTATTTCTAATTATAATTAATATCATAAAAATGAAAACCTTACTATAAAACCGATAACAGTTGTTGAATACCGATAACATTACGATAAAATACATCCCTACTTAATCGTAATCGTAATGAATACCGATTTTTCATCACTACGAACTAAATTCTCCCAGATTCGCATATGACGTCATACCCTTAGAAAGAGATGCGTGGCGACTCAAAAGAAATACAATAGCCGTGAAAGTGACAGCATTTATGCCATAACTGTCCCCATATTAAGGCAAATTCATGACACAGCTCTAAAATATAAATTAATTTTTATAACATAAAAACCTATATTAATAGATATTTTATGTTTGATATGAAATATAATTAAAATATAAGATATTCGATAATAGTTAAAATCATTTAGAATATAATTATATAAATCAATATATAGCACATATGATTTATAAAAAAAAAACATTTTAAGCATATTTAACTTAAGTATATTTTATAATATAATAAGATATTAATTAACATATCCCATGTAGCTATTTTTAATTTATAATGGTTAAATCGGGAAAAATCTTTCCTTGACTATCTTGACCCCCCAGGCCCCCGCTTCGTCTTATTCGCCTTCGGTTTTATGAATATGCGCTTGTATGGAGCTCGGCCGGGGCTGTCTTTGACTTGGATAATTCATAATTTTCAAAATTTAATTTTTAACACAAAAATCAGTTCATTTGTTTTTATTGGTATCAAATTATTTTGTATAGAACCAGTTTAGTTTCCTCTGTGCATAGAACAATTAATTACTAAATACTAATCTTGTAATTCTATGTTGTAAACATATTTATTGGTACTCATATGATGGTTTAATTTTACAACCTTACATTTTAAATTAAAGTAATTCTTACATACTAATGTCGTTATTGTCCAATGGGAATGAATTATAATTTGACCAGGTTGATTTCTCCTTTAATATTGAGAGTAAGTAAAATGTGAAATGCAATTGTATTTATCTAGTACATTCTCACGATTGCAACATATTATTCCCTTGTGAGGTAACAGACCTAAACTCTGGATAGTCCATTAACTTCCGTGAGGATTCGAACTTGCATTCACCGATGCAATAGGCAAAACATTGATCAACCTTTAAATGCTTTTTTAATTAGTATTTCTTTTAGAATTATAGTAAAGCAAATATCCTCAGACCTAAAAGAGTGAGAACAAAAAAAGATATGGAGGCAAAATGTAGAGAAGATCCTGTTGTAATCAAACTCAACACTCCTGAATTTCATAATATTTTCTCACAAGAAGTACTTGATTTAAAAAAGCTTTTTGATAAATATCAGTATGAAATAAGGATTGCTGGAGGGGCCGTAAGGTATTTCAAAATATTGAAATACAATCATAATTATGTAATGTAAATAATTAAAAACTATGCAATAGATAACAAATTTATATATTCTGTTCTTTTTTTAGAGATTTGTTGCTAGGTCAACCAGCGAAAGACTTAGATTTTGCTACTACTGCTACCCCAGAGCAAATGAAAGAAATGTTTACTGTTGAGAATGTCCGAATGATTAACATGAGTGGAGAGAAGCATGGAACAATCACACCTAGGATCAATGATAAGGAAAACTTTGAAGTCACTACACTTAGGATAGACATGGTTACAGATGGAAGGCATGCTGAAGTAGAATTCACTAAAGATTGGAAATTGGATGCTAATAGACGAGATCTTACAATTAATTCAATGTTTCTTGGTAAATTATATTGTATATTTTTTTATATTTCTTTACTTAACTCCTAATTTAACAAAATATTTTTTTTGCAGGATTTGATGGATCAGTGTATGATTATTTTTATGGGTATGACGATCTGCAAAAGAGAAGGGTTGCGTTTGTTGGTGACCCAGATGTTCGAATCAAAGAAGATTATTTAAGAATTATGAGATATTTTAGATTTTATGGAAGGATTGCAGAAAATCCTAATAATCATGATCAAAATACACTCAATATTATAAAAAAAAATATAGATGGCTTACAAAATGTGTCTGGAGAAAGAATTTGGATGGAATTAAAAAAGACATTAGAAGGAAACTTTGCTGGTGACTTGTTAAAAACTATGTTGAGTTTAGGTATTGGACAATATATAGGTTAGTATTGATGTCAAGATATTTGTGGTAAAAACAAAGTATAATTGTATTAAATAAAAGTATTATGCTAATTTTAGGTATACCAAATCCTAATTTAGAAGAACTGAAGAAGTTATTAAAAAGAAGTCAACATTTAGGTTTATATCCAATGACTTATTTAGCTGCACTCTTACAAAATATAGATGATGTGACAGTACTGCACAGTAGGCTAAAATTTTCCAGCTATGATAGAGACATGGCGTACTTCATTGTAGAAAATAGAGATGACAAGACAGGCTCTAGACCGTTATTGTGAGTTAATAGTTCATCCCTGTTAAGAAAATAGTGAGTCTTCGGTATCCACCGGCCTAGCCACGCCCCCCGACAAATTATAAAAGTCAAGTTGCTTAAAATTATAAAAGTCAAGTTCACAGTGACCAGTTAAATTAAAGCCAAACTTAAATATATTATTATTAATGACTTAATTTTGATTTGAGATAATTATGTTGATTAATTATCATTTGTATACGCCTTTACCTGCCATTACACTTGATGACTCAATATTTTCTTAACGCGAATGGACTATAGTTTATTAAACAAAATAATTTTTGAATTATATGCATTGCACACTGAATAATTATTTACCTGGCTGTTACAGACCATATGAGAAATTAGTATTAAACACTAAAATCAAACAAAAAGAAGCTGTTGAATATGTGAGAGAGGTTCTGAAATATAAAGGAGATGAAAAGCTTTTAGAGGAATTTAATAATTGGGAAATACCGAAATTTCCAGTGACTGGTAAAATTTTAAAGGAGAGTGGAGTCCCTCCAGGCAAAATGTATGGACCAATTATGAATAAATTGAAAGATCTTTGGATTGAAAATGAGTATAAACATACCACAGAAGACTTAGCTAAAATAATACCAAGTATTATTGAAGAATTTCAAAGAAAATAAATATATAAACATAATTTTATTTAACTTAATTTGTAATTCATTTAATACCCTATGCTTCATATAAATATAATAACATAGTTGTAGGGTCAAAATACATATATTTATTACTATTATCTGCTAATTGTTGTTATATTGAGTATAATTATTTTTTTCATATTAAATATACATCATTATCTCAAATAGTATAATTAATTTATAAAATAAATATGAAATCATTTCAATTCTTTGGAGCAGAATAAGGCTCATATCTATCACAGCCATCATCATCTTTATGTTCATTAAAACATATTTTACAGAAGAGGTATTTGCATCCAAGACAACGCATTTTTGCATCCTCATTACATATCTCACAAAATGGCAACTCGTCCACAACAGTGTCACATATTTCACTTTCTTCAAATTTTACTTTTGCTTTAGCCTGTAACAGTTATTTTAATTAGAATGAAAAATTCAAAAAAATATTATTTAAATGGTCTTTAGGTCTTAAATCTTACTTCCTCAATTATTTTCTGTAGCAAATTTTCTTCATTATCTGACTGATCATCAGTGTCGGATGCTGTGGTAACTTTTTCTTGTTCACCAGCAGAAGTAGATTTTAGCTTCTGCAACCTATTCTCTATATCACTAACTAAACCTTCAAATTCATCTTTATATTTGGTATCAATGTTGGCTTTTTCCATGTATTGTTTCATGAGATCATCTGCTTGTTCTTGTTCGGATCTTAAATCAGGTGTTGGCAATATTGCCTAAAAATTTGTATACAACAATAAACCACAATCACATAATAAAACTGTACAATGTAATCATTCTGTAAAAACTATACCATTCATTAAATCATAAATGATTTTAAATAACCATATAAAAAACATATGTTTTTAAATGAAAATATCACCTTACTCTGAACTGCACTTATAGGCACTCCTTTCAAATTTGCTAATTTAGCAGTTAATTCTGCATCTGATGTTGAAGGTACTTCACCTTTTAAATTTTTTAAGCGAGTGGTGATATCATGGTTTTTTTCAATCTGCTTATCCTCTTTTAACTTTTGTAATCTATTATATATTTCTCTTTCTGAACTATTCATGAAGTTTAAATCTTTGTTTATGGTGGTATCGACAACACCTATCCTTCTATAAAACAAAATGTGTTAGTAGTAAAAAAATAACTTTAGACATATTTTAATAAACTCTTTCATACTTATAATAAGCATCAGGAGGAACAATTTTTGTAGGTTCATTTGAATTTGCTGTTTGTGAACATTTTGAGCAGACCTGAAATAAAGAGCAATGTATTATAAGAAATAAATTTACAGCAAGTAGTAAGTAATCTATACATACTCATATAATAAAATTCTAACTAAGTCTGTACATTAAATATTTTTTTGGAAAATCTTATTAAAATAGACATTATTTTTGATACAGAGGCCGAATTAATAGTATTTAGAATTTTTGTCTGTCTGTTACCGCATCACGGAAAATCCACTGGAGGGATTTTAATGAAACTTGGTATGGTGATAGCTGATTATCCGGGTCAACATATAGGATACTTTTTACTGCGGGAAAATATCTCATTTCTGAGAAAAAATACAAAAACTGCAATGTAAGATATTTAATAGAAAACACCCACCTTAGATTCAGAATTAATCTTGTGTAAAAATATTTTGTGGTTCAGGCATTTTGAACAATAACTAAAACCACAGCCAGGACATCCTTTCTAAAAATTTAATTAAACAATTTAAAAATATCAACCTTACAAAAATAAACTTTAAGTAAATATTATTTATTACTTCAGGACGGAGCAAAGAAAATGATTTGGAGCACGTATTACAAGCCATAGATATAGATTAAGTAGATTTATAGAAAACTGAATCAACTATAATAAAATGGAAGTAGGTTTTAAAACAAATTCTGATCACTATCCGTATCTGAAATAAGTATAATAAAATGGTTTATTTATTTATTTATTATTTTATAAACTAAAATACAGACTACAGAGATAAATCCAGTGACATTTTTGTCATGTCATTTGAATGTCAAATGTCAATCTCACGATGTGCCAACTCGATATAATAACTCGAGTTGGGCTTAACTCGAGTTGAATTCTCTCTGACTTGAATTTGGATTGGCGTGGTAAATGAACGAATCAAGTGAGTACGCGATTTACGCGCTCTCATTCTTACGCAAGCGCGTCTATTCGTTCGTTGTGTGCATGCTTGGTACAGTCGTTAGCTCTTCAGACTATACTTTTAAGTTGCAAAATCGCTCCTAATACAACCGAATAAGATGCCACAGTGCTTAACTTAAATAGCTGTCGTCCGTACTTCCACCATAGTGTATCAACCGAATGACAGTGTTATAATATCCATACTAATATTATAAATGTGAAAGTGTGTTTGTCCTTCTTTCACGTTGAAATGGTGTGATGGATTGGGGTAATTTTTTGGGTGAAGATAGTTGGGAGGACTGGATAGTGATATAGGCAACTGTTTACCGCAGAAGATTATCTCATTCCCACGGGAAAACACGTTATAATACTACCCAAAAAAATATTTATGATCAGAATTACTTGAAACCTGGTTTTAACGCTCTTCAATACAATTAAATAAATACATGTTTTAACATTCCACGAAATTTATCCCGTAAGGGGGTAAAATAGGGGATGAAAGTTTGTATGAAACCTACCTTTTTAGTGTCTTTTTTGTAATTTTAGCGCGAGCGAAGGTGCGGGTTCTGCTAGTAATAATATAAATAAATAAATATAAAAAAATATAAACACTTATAATTGTCCCAATAAATAGATTTTATTACGAATCTGTACCATTTTTTTTATATTGTTGCGAAGCAGAGTAAAGTCTATATGTGCGTGAATAAATGGTTATGTTCAATAGTTTATGTTAATATGCTTCTTAGTTAATTAAATTCTAAAAGTTTTACTAGGCGCATCACTATTCAACCGCTTTATCTACAAGTATGTAATCAAAAGGTGTGTCATCAGCTTACATTTCGAATAATGGACAATGAGCGATACGCGCGCTCTATAGCATATGTATAATCTAAGCATATTACATAGAGTATATTGCTACGTAATAGTTATATCTTTTTCTTTCAACCATGGATGACAACTTTCAACACTGAACATAGTGCCCTCTGCTGGTGCACTTGAAAACTCATTCACGTTCCAGTTAAGCGTTGGCATACTTCGGCATTGTGCGCCAAAGTACGGCATTATGCTCTGTAATTAGAAAACAGGGAAAAGTGCTATCCTGCACTACGAATTTTCGTAAATCGCGCACACTCCTTATTGAATTTCGTTCAATTTGAATTTCACATTTTTTATCGAAACGAAGTCACAAAGCATAATGCCGCACTTTGGCGCAGAAACACGAACAACGTGAAAAAACTTCTTCTATTTCCTGCTTCTGAGTTAATTGGTCAAAAGCGCCAAAGCAATACTTTCAAAGTGCTCGATTATGCCGAGCGTCGCTGTAGTTGAAAAATTCGAAGTTGAACATTATGCCGCATAATGCGCTAAATCTTATATCTTTAATCGAGCAATTCTTGTATATATATAATCTGAATCTCAGAAACGGCTCCAACGAATTTGAGGGCGATAAATCGATCTAGATTAGTCTTATGTCTGAGAAAACGCGTGTTTTCGAGTTTTCATGCAATTTTCTTTTGCATTATTCCATGCAAAATATGGTCGGTAATTTGCACACTAGGGCGTAAGCATCGTGGTCAAGCGGCCAACTGCCATTTGGCCATTCACACGTGTCCAGGATCGAATCAAGCAAAAATTTTACTTTTGTTTTTTAAATATTTATTCAAGTTATTAGTTTAAAAAAAATGTACTTTAGGCCCAAAAACTCCAAGCGAAGTTCGGTAGCCCAGGTACTTAGTGCTGAAATTGGAAACCAGGGTCCTTAACTTTAGCCGAAAAAGTCATTACTACAAACAAAGCATTTAATTTGTTATTTGCGAATAGTTTTATTTTCGTCATATTTAATAATTACGTATAGTTTTAGTAAATCTTTGAAATACTGTCTAACAATAACTTTCCTAAAGATCAGCGCCACAATTTAGCTAATGTTATTACTAACAGTATCCAACTCATTTATTTGCCGTACGCGTTTGCCATATCTGAGGCATTGACGTAGCTATGCCCATGCTATCTATGGCTATGCCAACGTAACCCATGCGGTCACATGGGGCCCCTAATTGAAGGGGGCCTTAGCGGGCCACAAATGATTTATTTCAAAACGTTTTTTCTAGAACTGCCCTCCTAAAAAAAATCGCAAGAAAAAAAGCAAAAGCGACGCTATTAGTCACGTGCGTTGTTTTTCTTGTTGGTATTTATTTGGATTTATGTAAGTATACTCTAAGCTGAAACTACTTCAACTTAAAAGACAGGATAGTTTTTAAATTTGCAAAATTAAAGATTTTCAATATTTGTGTCAAATATGCAACGCATGGCCGGGTCTACTAGTTCATACATAAAATTGTAACTAAGCCGAATCTGTACATTAAATATTTTTTTGAAAATCTTATTGAAATAAACATTCTTTTTGATATTGAAGCCAAATCCATAGTTTGTAGAATTTTTGTCTGTCTGTTACCGCATCACAGAAAAACCACTAGACAGATTTTGATGAAATTTGGTATGAAGATAGCTGGTTATCCGGGTCAACATATAGGATGCTTTTTACTGCGGGAAAATATTTCATATTTGAGAAATCTATAGAAAACGTTAAAACGTAAGTAGGGACGAACCCGAGCGGAACGAGGGTGAGTCGCTAGTTAGTTCTATAAAACGATGAATGGCCCTCTAAGCTCAGCTTTTTTACTAAATTTTACTCTACCCGTTTTTCCGTGGGAGTGTGTTGAAAAAAATGTCTGTCTGTGAATCACATTCGTTTTCAAAATCGACAAAGGGGCCTCCCTTCCACTTGTTTTCCTTCCACACCTGGCCCAAAAAGCCCAGTTACGCCACTGATCTGGTGTAACATTTTATGACATTTTTGGTCCATTTATTTAGCCAATAATATGACTGGTCACTGGTATTATACCAGTGTCAATTTTTTTTAATTGACATGCTCATTGCTCATCTCCTTGGACTTTTTACACTAACCAGAACTTTTCCATCCGTTCGCGTTTACAGATTTTTCCAAGGTATCTCATATTTTCTGCCATTTGAGACTAAAACTCCCTAGCTTGTGATAATAAAAAAAAAAATTGACCAAATTTTTATTTATTAATATGAGCTTTGAATTACATTTTATGTATATATTTATTTCGGTGGTTACCATAAGACTCATCTAAGGTCATTTTCCACCCATTAAGCTGTTCATACCACTTGAACCTTGTTGTAACTGTCGCATCATGTTGTGAAGTCCAGACATACCACCCATTTGTTGTAAAATCCGAGGATCCATCATCTTAGCCATCTGTTGATTGAGTTTGGCCATTTGAGTTTGATTAACATTTTTGGCCATGTCTCCAGCTTTAAATAATCCTTTAATGCCTCCCATTTTTTTTACTACTGCTGCAAATTTTGTGTATTGAGCAATTAGATCTTTTACATCGCGCTCAGTAACACCTGCGCCTTGCGCGACTCGAGTTACACGTGTAGGTTGCTTTGAGAATAGTTTTGCACCATCACGATGATCAAGCTCTCCTTCATTCATAGAATCCATTATGGTCATAAGCCGCTTCAATTTCGCCATTGATTCTTGTTCACTGCCTTTTGACATTAGATCTTGGGAAAAACCTGGTATCATGCCCTGCCGATTAAAGAATATCAAATAAATTATTAAACATTAAAGAATATTTTTCTAATCCTATATTAATGAGGTAAACAAGTATAATAATTTTTTTTTTAAATATGTTTTACATATATTTTGAAATTTTCACAAGCCTTTTGACACAGCATAACTAAACATACGTTTTGATTCAATTTATAAATAAAGATAAAGATAATTGTATGTGGTATTTTTTGTAATTTTTTTTATTCTATAGGTCTGACAAGCAAGGGATGGCTGATAAAGTTTTGAGGTTTATTATATGTTGACTTTAAAAAAATAACACTTATAAATAGTAATAGAATATTTTGAAAAATATTACCATAATTTGTGAAAATGGTCCCATCTTCATAATGTTTTGAAATTGCTCATACATAGCTCTAAGTGTAAACTGTCCATGCTTAAGTTTTTCTAATAGTTCATCATTATCATCCAGCTTCAACTCATTCACTTTATCCAATAAACCTTCAATATCTCCCATACCCAGCAACTTATTGATAAAGGGTTTTGTTTTGAATGGCTCGAGGTCATCAATGTGTTCTCCAGTGCCAATAAAAATTATAGGACTTTGTGTTGCTGCTACACTGTAATTTCAGTTATATTAGTAAATACTAGCGGCTCACCCTCGCTTCGCTCGGGTTCACCTCTAGAAAAGCACAAATAGATCTATCCCACGGGAACCGTTCATTTTTACGGAATAAAAATAAGTAACCTGTTGTTTAACCTGCAATATAAGGTATCAGCATGCCAAATTTTACTAAATTAGGTGCATAAGTTGTTGTGTACCGAGCTGTATAAGTTACCATAATTTTTTAACTATCCCACGGGAACTCTTTAATTTTCCGGAATGAAAAGTATCGAATTTCATTTAAATAGGTTCAATAGTATCGGAGATTAGCCCGTACGAACAGACAAACAGACAGAGAAAGAAAAAAATTGAAAAAAAACTGGATTTGTTCTATTTCTCTCCTTACGGGATGTAAGAAGAGAACTGACTCGTTTTTTAGCAATTTTTTCTACCATCTATGTACAGACATTCGACCTCTACAGTTTTATTATTCATATATTATGTACCTATACTCAGATAGAATAAATAACGTATAATAAAAAATAATTATATAATAATGAAAATAGTTATAGCGAGTGTACCTTAGGAGATAGACATATACTATGTAGAACTTTTCTATAACCTTTTTAAGACTTACAATTTTCTTGTACAATGTTTTGATCTATCTCTTAAGGTTGAGCCAACGTTAGCCGTATAAATTTCTAAGGACAATTCGATAGAACCAGTTATTGTATTTTCCCGTGGGAAAGAAAGATTTTCTTTAAGTAAAACGTATCTAGGCAGTGGTATCCCAATGGTAACGCGCTCGCTTGGGAAACCGAGTGAAGCAAGTTCAAATCCCGGGTCTAGCACCTCTGATATTGGCCAGCGTGGTGGACTATGGCCTGATCCACCTCGTACTGAAGGGAGGCCCGTGCGTGTGTTAAAAAGGGCTGAATACAACATACATACATACATACATACATACATACAAAAGGTACCCTAAATGTTGACTCGAGTAATAAGTTATCACTTCACCAAATTTCGTTGAAATTGGTACATTACTTTTCGCGTGAAATGCGCACACTAAAACAGACAAAGAAACATACAGGCAAATAGACAAACAGACAATTTTTTTAATAACTTGTTTTGGGGTCTATGTTGTGTACATAATACGTTACAAATAAACAAAAACATCTATCACACGGGAAAAGTACATTTTTCCGGGATAAAAAGTTACCTATTTGTTATTCTCATGTATGAACTATATTATTGTAAAGTTCATCAAAATCCAATCAGTGGTTTTTGTGTACTAAGCTGTATAATTTACTATAGTTTTTTGACTATCCCACGGAAACTCTTTAATTTTCCGGGATGAAAAGTAGCTGATTTGTTTTTGGTATGTATGAACTATATTATTGTAAAGTTTCATTAAAATCCAATCAGTAGTTTTTGTGTACTAAGATGTATAAGTTGTTATAGTTTTTTAACTATCCCACGGGAACCCTTTAATTTTCTAGGATGAAAAGTATTTAAGATGTTGCCCGGGGATATAAGGTACCACCATGCAAAATTTCATTTAAATAGGTCCAATAGATCCGGAGATTAGCCCGTACAAAGAGTGAAACAGATAAACAGCTCGCTCGGGTTCGTCTATACATACGAATATGTTGTATTATCTCTTTAACCATTTGTCCAAATTATATGCAGTAAAAGGGAAAAGTCTTATATTTTAAACATTTTAGACGATAAATTTACTTATTTTGATAAGAATTCATAACTGTTGATAATATGACCAATAAACATGACCTACCGATTTAAATTATTTTTTTAATATAAAACACTACTTTTTGTGACTTAAAAATATAAAAGTAAGACATATGCTGTCGCTGACTTTTTTGTAGGCATTATTTAGCTCTACAACTTTCCTCTAGAACATAATCATATATCTCTCATCGTTAAGGCAGCGTTCGTAAGAAACGTTTTAGTTTGACCGTGTTTTCTACGACTTACTTTGCAAATGCGACTACCACGAAAAAACCTTTTCATTTTTCGGGTTAATATATAGCCTATGACACTCAGAAAGAACGTGGCTTTCTATTGGTAAAAGAATTTTGAAAATCGGTTCAGTAGATCCAGAGATTACCCCCTACAACGTCACAAACTCACAAGATCACAAACTTTACCTCTTTATAATATTAGTATAGATAAACAACATAAAAAATATTTTACAATAAACTCTTGTATAAATTATAACTTACGCTGATAAAGCACCACCTCCTTTTGCATGTCCATCCAATTTGGTAATAATAACAGAACCAATATCTACTTTCTCTTTGAAAGCTCTAGCTTGTCCTTCGCAAGCCTGTCCAATTGTTGCATCCATCACAAAAATAATGTTGTCTGGTTTCTAAAGGACCATATATTTTGTACATTATTAAAAAAAATGAATTTAATTAAATGTAACAAATAACAATACAACAACAACAAAAATATTGCTATTTTATTCTTCACATACTACTAGAAGAACAACAGAGCAAGCAAATATATATACTTACAATGGCATTAGCAACTGCCAACATCTCCTCGAATAATGACTCTTCTTGCTTGTGGCGACCACTAGTGTCTACAATAATCATTTCAAAACCTTCTTTCTTAAACATCTCTACACCTGTTGATGCTATAACTACTGGATCTACTTCTGTGTAACTGTGAGCCGATATGAATAGTAATAAATTAAATTAATAAGTAATAACTAATTAATTAATTTTATTTATATAATAATCTATACAAAATTACTTAAAACGTAAACAGGCAAAATATTTTTTTTTATATTATACACTAGGTATATAAAATAAATATAAAAATTATCAAAAAATAGATATATAGTTTAAAAGTGTATAATCATACCTTCCATAAAATGGTATTCTGGCTTTTGTACAATTCTGTTTGACCTGATCATAAGCACCAGCTCTGAAAGTATCGGCACAAACAAGACAAGATTTCCAATTCTTTCTTAAATAATGATAAGCAAGCTTTGTACATGTTGTTGTTTTACCAGATCCCTGAAGACCAACAAACATGATAACATTTGGTTTTCCTTTCATTGGTTGATATGGTTTTACTCCAGGATCAACTAGCTGAAAAATAACATTAATTCACATATTACCCATTATTTATTTGACAATACATTTGTATCAGTTTGTAGTGACCCTACTTGCTGTACTAAAGGTCATGGGTTCAAGTCCCGCTGAGGGCATTCATTTGTATGAAGAGCACAATTATGTATACTCCAGTAATGAGTTGTTATATTTATATGTATATATTTAAAGTTATATATGTGTAGTGTTTTTATCCAAAAGGTATACTAAGCTACCATGGAACTAGATGTGGTTAGGTGCTGTGTGTTAATGTCAGAAAATATTTATTTATTATTTAATCTAAATTATAAAATTATTGCCTTTTTACTATATGTATTTTTAATATTACTAACATTTATGATTTACCTTTACAAGCTCTTTAAAAACTGCTGATTGTATCATCCTCCTTTTATTAAGCCCTCCAGCCATTTCATCAAAATCAATGACAGCACGCACATTTTCACGAAGATTTTTTACCAAACGGATATTCACGTCTGCTTCTAATAAAGCTGCACATATTTGCTTCAGCATAGAATTTAAAACCTGAAAGTAACAATTTTATGCTCAAAATCCAATTTCTCATAAACAGTGGTCACTGCAATTGAATTTGAATTCAGGTATTTACCTCTTCATTTATTATGGTAGCACGACTTAACGACTGCAAAGCAGTCGTTATTTTTCGACCCAAATCTGCTAAAACCATTTTGAATAACTATGCCACTACACACTTTTACTCTTAAGTCAGCTGTTTCCCTTAACAAAGAACTATATCGTTTCAAAATAGATATTAATATCATATAAGTTTTGTGACATTTTAAATTGGAATATATTTATATGTAATAGAAATGAAACTAGAAAGTCACATCAAAATCACATATTCAACCATACCACGACGAACAATTTCCACAATCCACAATTTCGATTCCATTCATCGACACGTCAAACGTCAACGTCAAGACTTGCTTTTTTAATAATTGGAAAATGGAAAAGGATGAAATTTATGAAGTCTATATGACCTATATATATATAAATAATAGTTATTGGGTAACCTTATAAAAGTAATTTTAAAATAGCAAATACATGATAATGAATTATTTATTATTTATTTCATAAATAAATTGTATTTGTTTAAAAGTACGATTGAAGTAAAATGTAAATCTAGATTTGTGTGTGTCATCACTAATACAGACTATACAATTTTGTAAAAACAATTTTCGCTTTGTAATCCACCGCTCCATTTAGTGTAGTAACATAAATTTTAATAAGTTTCTGTGATTAGTTGAAAGAGTAATAATGGTATTAATATAGCGTTGGTCTTTTAAATGATTATCTCTCTTGTTGGTAATTTAAATGTTTTCTTATTATGTTCTATGTTTTAGGGCCAAAATCAATCTGGTGGAGGCAGTGGTGGTGACAAGAAAGATGACAAAGATAAAAAGAAGAAATACGAGCCTCCAATTCCTACTAGGGTTGGCAAGAAAAAGCGTAAGGCAAAGGGTCCTGATGCTGCCCTAAAGCTTCCACAAGTGACGCCTCATACAAGATGTAGATTGAAGTTGTTGAAACTAGAAAGAATCAAGGATTACCTACTTATGGAAGAAGAATTCATACGCAACCAGGAAAGACTGAAACCCCAGGAAGAGAAAATTGAAGAAGAAAGATCAAAGGTAATTTATTAAAATTAATTTACTGTTTCTAAAATAGATACTGTCAATATACTCTCTTGCATTAAAAGTATTAGTATTATTATTACATTAAAAGTATTATATTTTATAACAGGTTGATGACCTCAGAGGGACACCAATGTCAGTGGGCACTCTTGAAGAGATCATTGACGATAATCATGCCATAGTGTCAACATCAGTAGGTAGTGAGCATTATGTTAGCATTTTGTCCTTTGTTGACAAGGATCAATTGGAGCCTGGCTGCTCAGTATTGTTAAACCATAAGGTAAACATTTTTAAAGATTTCTTTATATTATTCAACAGATTTTATTGATTTTTGAATAGCAAAAGTATAAAACTGTTTCCTCAAAGTGACACTTGAAAAATAAGATAAGATATTTTATAAATAGTAATACTTTTATTTCCCTAAATTTAATTTTTATCAGGTTCATGCAGTTGTTGGAGTACTGGGTGATGATACAGACCCAATGGTATCTGTCATGAAGTTGGAAAAGGCTCCACAAGAAACCTATGCTGATATAGGTGGCTTGGATACTCAGATACAGGAAATAAAGGTAATGTATAATTAGTAATTACATTATACACTACTAATATAAATGCAAAAGTTTGTATGTGTATATGTGTGTGTTTGATTGTTGGTTATACCTTCACTCTGTGAGGTATGAAAATTAGTACATAAGCAACTGCTAATAATAAATATTTGCCAAAAGTTGGTGATACATGTGTACATAATATTGTAAACTAGCAACTCACCCTCCGATTGCTTGGGTTCATCCCTAGGTATGTTTTAACAGTTAGTACGGAATAGATAGACATACAACATAAACAGTTCTGAACTTTTCAATTTTCCAACTGCTATTTTTTATTTTCCCCTTTTTTATATTTAAACCATCCTTGATGCACTCCCAACAAAACAAAAAAAGAATTATTCAAATCGGTCCAGCCATTTTTTGAGTTTTAATAAGAATAACTAGTGGCAATCAAACTCATTAATAGTTAAAATATAGTATTAATACATTAACTTTTATATAAAAAAAATAACTAAATAATACCAAAGAATGGTAAGTATTGGTGAAAATAGAGATAAGTCTCCAAAATTCTGCTATTTGCTGTTATTTTTTCATGAAGTTAAACATTAAACCAAATTAAATTAATTAATAAATTGTAATTTGATATTAGCACAAACTCATATACCATAACAATAAACAAAGTTAACAGTAACTCTTAGTCACATATGTCTATTGTTTATATTAATTTATTTTACAAAAAGTAATAACTAATGAATTTCTTAATTAATTATATCAGGAATCTGTTGAACTGCCACTTACTCATCCTGAATACTATGAAGAGATGGGGATCAAACCTCCAAAGGGTGTAATCTTATATGGCCCACCTGGTACAGGTAAAACTTTGCTGGCCAAAGCCGTTGCCAATCAAACTTCAGCGACATTCCTTAGAGTTGTTGGATCTGAATTGATTCAGAAATATTTGGTAAGATATTATTATCATTTGAATCCTCAAAATTTTGCTAAGTGTTAAGCACTTACAAAAGTACAAATTGATTAAAACAGTTCTGCATTTAAAAATACGCTTTTTTCAATTATTGTTATACTAAAATTGTTTGTCCACTAGTAAAACTATGTTCATAACATTGTTTTACGTATTTAATTATTATTCTCATATGTTTAAAAACTGATGTTTCATAAATTAACATTTATATTTACAGGGTGATGGACCAAAACTTGTTCGGGAATTGTTCCGAGTGGCAGAAGAACATGCTCCTTCAATTGTATTTATTGATGAAATTGATGCTGTAGGCACTAAGCGGTGAGAGATTTTTTTTTGAGTTATTCTTCTTTTGGCATTTTTACGATGCGCGTGCACACCGACAACAAAAAAGTGACATGATAAAGTTAGCTGAAAACTGCCTCTGGTTCTCGTAACAACTCATAACTATATTTAAATTAGTTTTTCAAAAATTCATAAATCTATAATACATATTTTATATCAGTTGAGATAAAAAAAAATTATATTTATCTTAATTAATTTATCATTCCTTTTACAAACAGAGTTGTGACATATGGGATGAAATCTTTAGTTATTTTTGTTCTGTTAATCCAAAGAAGTATAACATGCGTACATAAGTACACACGTTTTTTATTTTTCTTGGTGTACAATAAAGAGTTGATCATTATTATTACATTAAAGACAAGAAGTAGTAAAGTAGGTGATATTCTTTAAATTAATTTTATGATCTGGCTTTCAGTTATGATTCTAATTCTGGTGGTGAAAGAGAAATTCAAAGAACTATGTTGGAGTTACTTAATCAGCTAGATGGGTTTGACTCCCGAGGAGATGTCAAAGTGAGTAAAAGTATTTTTAGTACAAATTGATATTGTTTTCATCGTAATAATTATGAAAATGATGTATTAATGTAAGAAAATATGTTATGAAGGAAATTTTATACATATATGTGTTCAACCTATAAATATAACTTCTAAGGTGATCATGGCCACAAATAGAATAGAGACACTCGATCCAGCCCTCATTCGTCCAGGTCGTATTGATAGAAAAATTGAATTCCCATTGCCTGATGAAAAGACCAAACGGAGGATCTTCACCATCCACACATCAAGGATGACCCTGGCTGCTGATGTGAATTTATCTGAACTTATTATGTCTAAGGATGACTTATCTGGTGCTGATATTAAGGTATAAAAGATAGATTGGTAACTTATGGTCTCATTATTAAAACCCAATTGATTATCACCTATTGAATGACCAATGTTTTGATTATGTTTTTTTTTAATTATATGTTACAATAAATAATAGTTAATTTAAAAATTAATGTTTGAAACTATTTCTTAATGCTTATCATGTTTTTAGGCAATTTGCACAGAAGCAGGTCTCATGGCTTTAAGAGAGCGAAGAATGAAGGTCACCAATGAAGACTTTAAAAAGTCCAAAGAGAGTGTTCTATATAGGAAGAAAGAAGGCACTCCTGAAGGGCTTTATCTTTAAATATTCATTTGCAATAGTTCTTCTTACACCACATTTGTTGTGTTAAATGTAGGCAATTTATGCTAAATAACAAGATTTAAATGTATTGTAATGCTTGAAATATAATCATAAAATAATAAATGTTGTTTATATTTTTAAGTGAAATCCAAAGTTTTTTCTAAAGAAAGGAACATGAATTATTGGTGATTGGACGGACCGTCAATGAAACCAAATCGGCGATATATCTTGGCTAAGTAAGACTACAAACTTAGGCAAGATGACATTCTTCTATTGTTTTGTTTTTTAAAAATTTAATGCTAAATGAATTTGATATTGAACATTTTCTCTCAGTTTAATACACAGATCACATAATACTATATTAGTACAAATGCCTTATCCCATACAAAGAAATTGAACAGCGCGAATTCGGGCTATTTTTGTTTGCTTGAATAGATAATAGACGTTGATTAATAATAGTTAAACTGTTTTATTTTATAAATATGGGCAAACTAACGAATGGTAAATATTGTAAAATTCATCATGCATTCTATTAAAAATCATCAAAATCATTTTTAACCGTGATAAACAATAAAAAGTAAAAGCGTAGTCTGTGAATATATACTACAAAACCTATATTCTGATCGCTGATATTTCAAAAATCAGTAAAATTACCTAAATTTGATTTACAGGCGCATTATTTATTGTCAGTTCACTTAGAACATTTTTTAATACAATAATACACCTTTTAGAGATCTATTTTTTATATTTAACACAACAAATCGATACATGTAACGTCATCTATTGACATTTATTTGAACTAATTTTTCTTTGTAATGAAGGCTAATCCATCCGCGGTAGAAAGTGCGTAATTTTTTTATTACTGACAAACGAACTTGCCCTCGTTTATTATTTAGAAAGTATAAAAATAGAGATGCAGTTTTATGTACCTTGTTTGAGAAATGATTGATTCCCAATACAAACTATTCTATGTCCTCCCCAGAGTCTAAAACTAACTTTATACCAAATTTCATCTAAATCGGTTTACCGGGTTTTTAGTTTATTCATTACAAACTCACAAAATTTACCTCTTTATAATATTAGTGTAGAGTGTAGACATATTAAAGTATATACGGTACATATAAGTTATAAGAAAAAAAAAACAATTATTTTTTGTCTGTCTGTTTGTTTCGGCTTATCTCCGAAACAGCTGAGCGATTTTAACGGGACTTTATAAAGGAGTAACTTAGGCTATTTTTATTTAAGAAAAAGAATTCGGGTTCCGCACAAAAAAATCGGGCAAAGCGAAGGTAAGTCGCTAGTATATTATACATTGTGTAGAATAACAGTAATACAGTTTCGATTTTACTACATCGAATATTTATTTTTATTTAATTAGGTACCTACATCAGTGCAAATTCTAATGTGAGCACTTTACTAAACAAGTAAGGATACAATGCTCAACATATTTTAAAATATTACATATACTTAACCTAAGTTCAAATAAAATTAAGCAATAATGATAGATTTTAAATGTAATTAGGCCTGCAGGTAAAATCACCATAATGTACACGATGTAAAAAAACGTGTAAATACAAGTGTAAAAAGTAAGCAAATGCTTATTTGCATAAGTTGCATAATAAAAAATATTTCTATCAAGACTTTGAGATAAATTCAAAATAACTATATCATACTCGTAGAAGACCCACACGAATGTTTACTTTGGAAATAAAAAAATATATATACATGAGCATGATACATTATAGGTATTCTATGAACAATGACGCTGTCAAGTGTCATATTCAGCGCTGCCAATTGGCGGGTAAATTACCCAACAAGTGTGTAATTTTAGGCGATTTTTTATGGCGAGTAATTTTGACGGTTATTTGCATTGAGCGGGATCAAAGCAGGTATTTTAGTTTAGCTGATTAATTTGATATTTTAAGTTTTTTTATGTTTGATTGAATAATTTAAAACTGTTTAATTGATAACTGATTGTGGTGACTTCTTTTTCTAACATTTGTACTTTCTTTTATTCTATATAAAGCATGAATAAATTAAAATACGGGTATAATTCTGCTAATGGTTGGCACCGGCGGGATAAACCGGGGATTTTGAAATTTGAGGTTAATTGGTCGGGTAAATCAAAGACTGTTATCTGGCAGCCCTAGTCATATTGTCATTGTCAATGTCTTATGTCATTGACATAGAGTATATTGCTACATAATTGATATTTTGTATCTCTTCTCCAGAGTTTGTGGTAAACGTAATCAATTATTTACGCATAAATTACTATTGTTTTGATATAAAAATTAAAATTAACAGCAGTTTATAACATGATATCAGGAGCTTTAACATCACATGAATGAGTGACACCGGTAGCGACACAGAAGCGACCGAGCATACTGCACTAATGGATGGCCACATAGCCGAGGCTCGTCCCGATAGGGAGGTCGCTGATCGGATTGCGAGGAAGCGAAAAACTAAGTCTGAAACACAGCGAAATTATGGTGTAAGTAGTCAACATTATTCAAAAATAGTACTTGTATAACATTTTTGCCTTTTACGGATATCAATGACTAATCTAAATTGTCACTTTGAGGTATTCTCATTATATTTAACAAAAACAATCAGTTTTTCAAAAAAGAATAAGAAATACAAAAAACAGCTGGTGTAGTTATGACACTGCATAACATAATTTAAAGGATGTAAGAGCAATGTCACAAAGCTATCTTCTTTTGAAGGGAATAGAAATCAGTTTTACTTAAACACAACACTTACTTCTTCATAATAAAGACTCTTTCTGACATCCGTTAATATTTTTTAATAAACTTATGTATAATTATCTTCCTGATAATTCATAGTTTCATAAATATATTACAGAGTGTGGAAACAGCAGAAAGTAGCCAATCTGGTGCAGTGGGTGGCTCAGGTCAAGATCCTCCTCACTGTGCATGTGAACCTGCACTCGAAGAATTGGAACTGAAATATGGAGCAAGACATGTTATCAAATTGTTTGTGCCTGTCACTCTATGCATGATCGTTGTAGTTGCAACTATAACATCAATAAGCTTTTATTCTGTCAAAGATGTATATTTGTGAGTATTATTTAAATTGCATTAGGAATAAAAATTATTTATTGTACAAAAATTGAAATAAAGATAATAATAGAATAAATTACTACTTATTGCTCATAGCTTACCATGGAACTAGAACATATAAAAAAAATATATATTAAATATATACTTGTACTACTTTTACAGAGCTTATACTCCATTTCATGAAGAGAGTCCGTATGCTGTGACCAAAGTATGGAATGCACTTGCCAACTCCATGATCCTATTGAGTGTGATAGCTCTCATGACTGTATTGTTAATTGTTCTGTATAAAAAGAGATGTTACAAAGTGATCCATGGCTGGCTAATCTTATCCTCTCTGATGCTGCTGTTCTTATTCTCATATCTTTATATAGAGTAAGTTCTTATCTAGTCAAACTAATATTTTTACATTATAATACCAGCTGCTGTTATTTCTTAAAAAACAGTATGTATGTATGTATGTATGTATGTATGTATGTATGTATGTATGTATGTATGTATGTATTCGGCCCCTTTTTTTTTAACGTCCCACTGCTGCTGGGCACGGGCCTCCCTTCAATATGAGGGGATCAGGCCATAGTCCACCACGCTGGCCAAGTGCGGGTTGGAGGACTTCACATGTCTTTTGAAAACTTGCTAGGTTCTCTCAAACATGCAGGTTTCCTCACGATGTTTTCCTTCACCGTTAAGACAAGTGGTAATCATGTTAGAAATGATTCGCACATGAAAATATCAGAGGTGCGAGACCCGGGATTTGAACCCACTTCACTCGGTTTCCCAAGTGAGCGCGTTACCACTGGGCTACCACTGCCTAATAAAAACAATAAAAAACAGTATATTACATGAAAATCATAAAAAATTTGAGTAAGTAGAGGATTTCAATAGTTGACCTCTTTCTTGTTATTAAAAATTTTACTATGTATGATGAGACATCATAACAAACTTCATCAAAATCTGTCCAGTGGCTTTTCGTGATGCATTCCCAGACAGACAGACAAAAATTCTGAAAACTATAGATTCAGCCTCTGTATTGATAATAATGACTATTTCAATAAGATTTTAAAAAAATATTTAATGTACAGATTTAACTCGGTTAGAATTTTATTATATGTATAGATTTTCTTCCTTTTCTACGTTTGACTTTTTTTAGGGAAGCCTTGAGAGCTTATAATATACCAATGGATTACATAACCTTGACATTTGCTATGTGGAACTTTGGTGTAGTGGGAATGATAGTTATTCACTGGAAGGGTCCTCTGCGGTTACAACAAGCATACTTGATATTCATAGCTGCATTAATGGCTTTGGTATTCATAAAGTATTTACCTGAGTGGACGACTTGGGTTGTTCTTGCTGTTATTTCTGTTTGGGGTAAGTTTGTGAATTATTATGTGTTTTTATATAAATAAAATTGTTTCATTTTATTAGGTGATTTTTATGTATTATAATTAGCAAGAAAAACATTAATATTTTTGTAAAAGGTTATAAAAATAAATCTGTTTCCTATACAATGTATTTTTTTCAGATCTCATAGCAGTGCTGTCACCCAAAGGGCCTCTTAGAATATTAGTAGAGACGGCACAGGAAAGAAATGAATCAATTTTTCCTGCTTTAATTTATTCATGTAAGTATTTTTTTAAAATATAATGACTTAGTTACTTAAATGATATCTTTAAAAATCAATTGATGTAACATTAATATGAAATAACAAAGTGCCTTACAATATACATACCTATATGTATTGATGAATTATTTTTTACTTGTTATTAAAATTTTTATTATGTACTGTATTTTTGAGCCAGTGGTAGCGCAGTGGTAACGCGCTCGATTGGGAAACCAAGTGAAGCTAGTTCAAATCCCGGGTCTCGCACCTCCGATATTTTCATGTGCAAATCATTTTCAACATGATTACCACTTGTCTTAACGGTGAAGGAAAACATCGTGAGGAAACCTGCATGTTTGAGAGAACCTAGCAAGTTTTCATAAGACATGTGAAGTCCGCCAACCCGCACTTGGCCAGCGTGGTGGACTATGGCCTGATTCCCCCTCATACTGAAGGGAGGCCCACCACCAGCAGTGGGACATTAAAATAAGAATGAATACCTACAAGTATTTTTTATATGTAGTATGTACTATTTTAAACTTGCTATACCCAAGTTATTGTTACTGCATAGTAATACCACATTTTTTTAAATGTCTGTACATTATTATAAAATTAAACTGTAAAACACTCCTGAAAAAGTACTGTAACATCATTAAAATAATATAATATATCTTTTTCAAGGTTTAATAATTATTATACTTATATTTCTATACTAGCGAGTTACCCTCGCTTTGCTCGGGATCACGTCCCTATATACGTTTTAACTTTTTTAGAGCGGAACCCTAATTCTTTTCCTAAAATAAAAGTAGCTTAAGTTGATGATGATGTTCTCCTGACCGATTTCGGCCACGGCGGCCAATCTCATTGAGACTAGCCAACTGCGCAGGAGATATTATAGTGCACAAGTGTACGCGCAGACACAAGTGCACTCTCTATTCCTGCCACTCTCATACTCCGGTGGGACGACCACTCGACACGACCGGTGAGAGTTAAGGCGCAGGACCGACGGCTTTACGTGCTCTCCGAGGCACGGGGGTGAAACACCGCCAACTTCCCAACTCCGGGCTGCTACTGAGACTTACTATACAGAAAGACTCAATAACTAAACTTTGGCCCGACCCGGGACTCGAACCCAGGACCTCCGGGTGTGCAGCCGTACATGCTAGCCACTACACCACCAAGGCAGTTAAGCTTAGTTACTCACCTATCTGCCACCGAGAGTCCTGTCAAAATCAGTCTATCCGACATACAAAAAGTTGTATCTATTTGTTTTTCGTATAAGTATTGTGTTTTTCTTATAATTAATGTACTTATATGATTTCATATTTGTTATATACATACATATTTAGTGTTTGTATCTTGCATTTGTTGCTAGTGTGTATCTGTTAGATTATAAATTATTCATACAGCAACAGTAAAATGTATTGACATCATTATTTGATAAAGAAAAATTATGGGTCAGAGGGGGATTACGGGGACTACGGGGGATTTTACTCCGGAACATCAAGTTTCTGTAACATCGACACGACATCGCTCATGTATGTGAAAGTTTTTATGTGTGTATATGTTTGTTACTCCATCACTCTTAAACGGCTGAATGAATATTAATGAAATTAAATACATCTTGACTTGAAGAACACATAAACTACTTACTATCAACACTTAAAGACACACAAGTATTAATACATTCAATTCAATTCTTTAGTTTCGTTGCTTCTAGGCGTGCCGTTTGGGCACAATTTATTTTGCCAATGTCGTGTAGAATAGAGAAGGCATGTTATTTTTAGAAAGACCTGTAAAAAAGGAGGAAAAAAAAACTCATTGCATGTAGAAACACAGCGATTCATTATAGAATCAGGACCTACAACAGACAACACAATATATACAAAAACAATGAGATTAAATATTAATAACCTACATTATGAAAAAACAGTGACAGTGTTAGTTTTGAGTAAAAATTATAAATCGAATATTTTGTGTGTACTTTAAAAAAAGTGATATCTAATGTATACATACTTCGAATATTATTCTAAGAATTTAATAATATACATATTATAAATAAAACTATCTTTCCGAATTTTTTTGCGAATTTATTTTGATTTTTGTTTCCCGAAATTTCGATTGCTTTACATCAATCATGGTCACTGGAGAGACTAAGGTTTAAGATGTCTCAAAAGCAGAAATAATCCGAAAAGATAGTTTTATTTAAAATGTCAAATATTCGTGTAAATCTAAGAAAGTATTACAATAATAATTTAATTACAGCAACGGTGACGTACTGCCTGGCGGCGGTGGGCGTGGGCGAAGGTGAGCCGGCCCCTCGCGAACTGCGCCCTCTCAACGCCGACGGTCCGTGTCTAACCCCCGGCTTTACACGTTACACGTTGTGTGCTAAGCTACATGTGTCTGTCTCTCTTTGTGTTGCCATATTAAAAAACTAGCATTTTTAAGTTATATCTCTTTTGGCACGTTTGGAAAAAATATGAGAGTAAATTTTTTACTATGCGCGCGCACACCGACAGCCAAAAAGCGACATGATGAAGTTAGCTGTATTCCTTTTAAAAACAGAGAGTTGTCACATACGGGATGAAATCTTTAGCTATTTTTGTTCTGTTACGCCAAAAACGTATAACTTTTTACGTGCGTACATAAGTACACACACTTTTTTTTATAATTTATTAATAAAAGAAATGACTTGTTTGTGTGTGACTAATTTAGTTAAAAGTCAGTTGTAGCCGTTAATTTCCATCTCAAAGAAATATAAAAAAATAGTTTCAATTGATTAATTCAATAGTGTGTAGATATTTTACATTATTTTACAGCACAAATCAAAATTTATTAGATAATAGCATGTAAAACAAAATCATTATTATATGTTCAATATGTGCGGTCTATGGGTATATTTTCATTATTTTTAAAGTTAGATGCAAAAATATTGAAATTAATATTAATTCAATTAAATAAAAAAAAACTTGCCTAGGAAAATATTTTATTATTATTGTAATTTCACTAAGTGTAGTTAATTAAAAAAAACAAACTTGTATACTTGTACGTGTAAAGTCGGCGCAGCGCCTTCTATTTAAATATTCACGCTACTAACTGCATGTTTTTATCCATATTAATTTTAAATATATACAGTTTTAACTGCATTATAACACTTGATGGATTATATATGTTTATATTATTTTTACAATACAATCTTTTCTTTGCGTTTTCATAAATGTATATTCTATTTTGAATAAGTTGTGCTATAATTTCGGTTACATATTAATTAAAACAATTTATTAATTACTAGCAGTTCCCGCGACTTCGATTACGTTTTACCTTCCGATATAAACATCAGTTTTACAGTAATGTCTGCCCGATTTGTTGACATTTATAATTACTGTTCCGCTCCCTTTGGTAGTGACATGATGATATATAGCCTATATAGTCTTTCTCAATAAACAGGCTATTTAAAGCAAAAAGATTTTTTCAAATCGGATTAGTAGTTCCTGAGATTAGCGCATTCAATGAAACGAACGAGCGAACAAACTCTCAAACAAATTCTCAAACGAACAAACTCTGTCTCTTTATAATATTAAGTATAGGTTTCATGTGGATTCATATGATATATCATGTAAAATATTTTATTTATATATTTGTTTTAAGTCTTGGCTATTGGCTTGGGTGGCTTATTCCCTACTTGCATGTTTCTTGTATCATTTATTATATATGGTAAAATACGTTAATATAGTAAAAACCTCAAGGTTTTTATACTAATTGGTAAACAATTAATAATTCACTTAACGAGGAACATACCAAAAAAAAGTGTACTTCCTCCTTTTTAAAGTCTGTCAAAAAATTACATTGTTGGTAATCACTACGCACCTTGTGTCAATATTAACAGCAATGTTTTTTATTAACTCGCAAACACCAAAGCTTTTAAATGAAAGGAATGATAAAAAAAAAAGAATTTTTAGAAAATAAAGATTATAAAGATGGACACGTATAAATACCAATTCATCGCGTCGTTCATCAAGCTATAGACATTGGCTGTATATGTACCTTTTATATGTGCCCATTAATTTTATTTAAAAAACCAAACATAGTTTTTGATTTTACGTGTACTTTAATGATTTTTAATGTATGCGTCACCAAACACTGTTCTAAAGAGAATATTTAGATTTGGATCGAAGTTCCGGGCCGGGTGTCCCACGTCATTGAACGACTTTTTTACATAAAAAAGCACACGCTGTAAAAATATTCTTCTAAAATGTGCGGTCATTGTAATGATGTGTGCAGGATCGGGTGAGGATCGCGAAGGCGGGGGCGCGGGCGAGGGCGGGTTCGACGCGGCGTGGCAGGCGCGTGCAGGCGGGGGCGCGGCGCCGCGGCGGCTGCGCGTGGACGGCACGGCGCCCGCGCAGTACGTCACGCGCGTGGAGCGCCCCGCGCCGACGACGGACGACGATGAGAGTCAGTACTGCATTATATTCTAATTTATACTATCAATACTTAATATTATAAATGTGAAAGTGTATGTTTGTTTGTTTGTTTGTTTGTTTGTCTTTCTTTCACGTTGAAATCGATTGACGGATTAGCGTGATTTTTGGTGTGGAGATAGTTGGAGGGATGGAGAGTGACGTTTGTGACGATGTTTTTATCGGGAGATTACCTCATTACCACGGGAAAACACACACACACACACATATATATATATATATATATATATATATACTAGCAACTCACCCTCGCTCCGCTCGGGTTCGTCCCTAATGTGGGCCACCCTTGTCACTTAAGGGTATGGAAAATAGATAGTAGCCGATTCTGAGACCTACTGAATACGCATATAAAATTTGGTAAAAATCGGTAAAGCCGTTTCGGAGGAGTACGGTAACTAACATTGTGACATGGAAATTTTATATATTATATATATACATATAGTTTATATTTCATACTAACCGTTAAAAGGTCTCCAGGGACGAAACCGAGCACCCGACGTTGAGTCGGCTAATATAAAATAAATATAAAACTAAAAAACACGCTTTTGCCGAATTCAAATGTATGGGACTCGTCAAAATGAGTTATATGATCCCAAAACTCAAAGAGTTTACTCATCGACACTGAAGAGATTCACTAACATCTCTTTCTGGCTCCATCATCACATCAGTGCCAAGATTTCAAAATATAGTACTGTCATTCGAACTACATATTATACATACAATTTCATATCGATACGACAGTTAGAAGGCTAATATTGACTTCCAACAAGTAAAGCTAATAAAAGTATGTTATTTATGCATTATACAATATACATATTATAATTCTATTCACTAAATTGTCAAATAAAGTTATTTTTATATTAGGCATACATTAATCTTTAATTATTTAATAAATATTCAAAATTGGTATGATCATTTTTGTGTAAGTAATGTAGTTTTCTTTTTTTATTTATATGCATTAATGTGTCGAGATAAAATATTAAAATAGTAATGAAAAATAGTTATTACTTCCACAGAGGGCGTAAAGCTTGGTCTCGGAGACTTCATCTTCTACAGCGTGCTGGTCGGTAAGGCGAGCTCGTACGGCGACTGGAACACCACGCTAGCATGCTTCGTAGCTATTCTCATTGTAAGTATTTTTTTTGTCCTTTTTATAAACTTTATATGTGTATAATTTTTTTTTAAGCCATTTAAAACACTTTCCATCCATATGGATCATTTTCTACTGGAATATAAGATTCCAGTAACACAGGTGCAGGCATATGAATGAAGAACAGCCTTATTTTCTTGTTTAAAAAACTAAGTCAAGAATAGTCTTGTTTAAAAAATATACTTCAATATAAAGTTGCTTTCATTTTTTGTGACCATATTTTAAATTGTATAGTTAAACTAGTATTCAAATATTATGTGTAATACTACATACTTATTAATTAATTTTTTATTTGGGAATTTGGCTTTGTTACACCCGCGTGCTGAAGCACAGTATTTGAAGCACCAGTCTCACTTTGAGTCGAAGTTCGTCCCATTGGACTTAACGTGCCAGGGGAATAGAGAGTGCACTAGTGTTTGTATGTACACTTGGTCACTAAAATATGTAACTATTCTGTTCAGTGCATGGACAGGAGGTTCGTCCTGTCTCAGAAAAGAAATGTCTGTGTAAGAAGAGAAATAGAACAAATCCAGATTTTTTTCATTTTTTTGTTTCTCTGTCTATTTGTCTGTTTCTACGGGCTAATCTCCGAAACTATTGGACCGATGTAAATAAAATGTTGCATGGTTACTACCATACTTATATCCCCGGTCAACATCTAAGATACTTTTCATTCCGGAAAATTAAAGAGTTCTAGTGGGATACTTCAAAAAAACTATAGTAACTTATACAGCTTAGTACACAACAACTTATGCACCTAATTTAGTAAAACTTAGCATGCCTTATATTGCCGATCAAACAACAGGTTACTTTTTATCGCGGAAAAATAAACAGTTCCCGTGGGATAGATCTGTTTGTGCTTTTCTAGAGGCGAACCCGAGCGAAGCGAGGATGAGCCGCTAGTATAATATAAAAATACAATATATTTTGTAAACCAGGGTCTCTGCCTAACCCTGCTGCTGTTGGCCATATTCAAGACGGCACTCCCGGCGCTGCCCATTTCTATCACATTCGGCCTCATTTTCTACTTCGCAACGCGCTCCGTCGTCAAGCCATTCGCGGACGCGCTCGCCGCTGACCAAGTGTTTATTTAACTTTAATTATACTCAAATACCTACTTATATATCGCACATGGCATGAATAAATTGATAAATCGACTTGATATGAAATTCTTATTTTATTTAAATTGCCTAGACTTTCTATTTAATTATATAAACAAAAATAATATAATCGAGTTTTTTTTAAATGATTACATAAATGTTTTCTACGTGAAATCTTTTGAATAACTGAAGTTTAATATTTTTTATTTTTAAAATTTATAAATATGTATATTTTTCTTATCCATGCCATGTTCGCACATTCACGTATATTATTATGCTTTAATAAGGAGGTTTTGTTCACTTGAAAAAAATATTTATTTAAAAGAAAGTGTCAGAAAATCATATTCCAAGTTGTACAAGTCAACTTTTAATAATAATAATGTTAAATAAATACTAACTTAAGTACAGTATTAACCTATTCTACTTTTGCGTAGAAAAAATTCATATTGTCAATAAAAGTCTATATTTTACTCTATTGAATTTAAAAGACGATTTTATTGTTCATTGTGTTTGGCTTAGTTTGAGTTTTTCTCATCGGAGTTAGTCACATACTGCAACTCATTTTTTAAAACACTTACAATTCTTGCCTATGTTTAAAATGCTAAATTTATTTTTACATGTATGTAATTTAAAAGCAATTTAGATATAAAATAATAAAGAACATCTTTAAACTTATAAGATATGAATAATAATTAATGAATGACGAATCAACACTGGTATAAATGCATTTCTGGTATATGTTACTGTAAAAGTCCGTATATTTCTAAATCTTAGGTAAACCTAGTTAAAACTAGTATATCTTAGGATTCACACCGTGAGTTGGTAAATGTAAAGATTCTATAAAATAGATACAACCTTTCAGGATTTTACCATCAAATGGTTAAAACCTAACATGTAACAAACACTGAAGGCGAAAACCCCAAATATCGTCTACTTTACAACTCATGTTGGCAAATCTTAAGATTTACTAGATAAACGTAAGATTCACCAATATACGGGTTTTTACATTAACATATAAACATAATAATTATAATTTGTTTGGACTGAATTATGAGTTTGGTTAGTTAACCATAAACTTGATAAAAGTTAATATAAATATTAATATAACACATAATAAGTATTTGATGTCCAACATTTAATATCTAATACATAAATTATAGTGGACACCGGTAGTTTAATGTTTGCTTATGTACATAGTGAATATTATGTTTATAGTCTGCAATCGTAGGGAATGCTCAGCTATTGTCCAGAGTCAGTGGAATTTAAAAAAAAGTTGGTCGTCACGGGACACCCGGCAGATGTGAAACATCTATTTTAATATTGGAATTCTTAATTAATAAAAACCTATAACGAAATGTGGAGTAAGATATAAATAGTTTCGTTTAACTGTCAGCGACTGCCGAGCCACAGGTGGCTCGGTTATCGGTTGATTTCTTAGAAATTAACCGCGAGGTGTTAATAAAATCAATTTATTTTTCTTATTATTTTAATTATAATAATAATTACAGAATATATATTCATAAATAGAATAGAAATATATGTACTTGTTTTACAATGGAGCGGTCATAGGATACGCGCGCGCGCACACACACAAGGGAGTCGAGAGCGGTGGCGTAGTAGTAGAAGAGCGTGATGCCGTTTGCCGTCACGGCATACGAGTCGGATTTACTGCAAAGGCGCGCCAATAGATGTTTCACATCAAAAATAAGTGACTCCGGATAATAACTTTTAAGCGACAGTCCACGGATTATTATCGTCACATATATAAAGTAGTTAGATAAAATTTTACATCTCTATTTTAAAAATAAAATATATCTATGTAATATGTAGCGTAAATTATAAGGAGTGATGGAAATAAATGAGGGCTAGCACGCTTGAATTTGAATTCGCCGCGAGAGACGCTAGTGTAGAGTGAGGTCTCTAGAAATGTAACATCACATTGAATGCTTACGAACTTTTCATTGCGGATTTTCAACAATACCTGTTTATGATTATTACGAAGATTGTACCTTTTGATTAATTACAATGACACGGTACGGCTCAATAAATGTTATTGCTTTAACACCTCCAGGTAAATTTCTAAGAAATTAATTAAAATACTAAGAAATCTATTGTTAACTGTAACGCCGGCGTGTCCGCGATCATCGACGGATTAAAAGAAAAGTTAAGAGAAAGGTAAAATTTTATTTATTTGGTTATTATTATTTAAAATTCTAATAAAACTATTTTCCTGCTAACAATTATGAATATTATATTAAATTTATCGACCTGCCGCAAAAAGAAATGCTTGACAGGACTTTACTCGCCAGTGGCGCCAACTGGTGCCAGCAGCAAATCCTATGATATATTATAATTTTATAAAATTATAATATATCATAGGATCTGGTATGATTGTATGCTATTCCTATTTAACATATAAATATGCTAGTTTATCAGGCAAGTCATTTTAGTTACTAGAAATGGTTAGTACCATATTAAGATCTTGTGTTTTCTTTTAACTTCTATTTCACATTCCACTAAGACTTATAATTTTGAACTCATCAGCTTTCAAACTTATTTAAAATATAATTGTTTTAATTGTAATTTGTTTAAGAAATAAAAATTAACATTTATAAACTAATTTATTGCCAAAACAATAATAGAATATTCGAAGTAACGTCGACCTTCACTAGTCTTACCGAGGTATTATAGATAGTTAAATACAAAATACATAATAACCAAAGCTACATAGTATTATTTATCCATTAACTTATCTAATTAATTTGGTATTAATTGAAAGTGCAAAGTACAAGATACATGCATTGTTTGTGAAAAAGCGTTAATAAATTAGAGTTGCCTTATTATTATTAATTAGAATTTTAAAAATTTATAATTTTCATTGCACGTACGATTTGATTTTACATAGGAACTTGGAAATGCAGCTAATAGTAGTAATGAAACAAAGACAAATATTTATAACATTATCTTTAATAGTATTTCGTAAATGGCCCATTTGCCCACATTTCATCCAAACTTATTGTGAATGTGTTATATTTATTACAAATTATTCTGCAATCGGTAAGAAGATAAGTAAAGATACTAAAGATCTGTCTAGAAAATCTCAATAACAGCCCGGAGTTGGGATGTTGCCGGTATTTTATTCTCGTGCCTCGAAGAGCACGTAAAGCCGTCGGTCTTGCGCCTTCTCTCACTGGTCGTGTCGAATAATCGCCCCACCGGAATAAGAGAGTAATGGGATTAGTGCGCATGGTGTCTGCGCGCACACTTATGCACTATAATATCTACTGCGCAGATGGCTCGTCTCAATGAGATTGGCCGGCGAGGCCGATATCGCTCGGGAGGATTTTTTTTTTATGTTGGGACATTAACACACAACACCATCTATTTCCATGGTAAGCTACGAGGCTGTGTTATGGATACCAGATAGTTGATACACTACACATATATAATTTGAGTTCGCTTCCGTTTGTTGTGGTTGACACACGTGTAGTGAGATTTTCGGCCTTTCCAAGGATTCTTGTAATATAAAGTATTGAAATAGTTGGTTTTGTGCGTATTTGTGCGTTGTAGGTGGCGGTAAGTAGTTTTATTGTGTGTGTTGTGTGTATTTTAAATTAAGTTGTAGATTTAGTTTAGTATAATGGACGGTGACCCTCCTCCGGATCCACCGGACACTGGAGGTGGTCATGTTAGTTTGGTGGCAAGGCCTGTTACGCGTAAGAGGCCAGGTGAAATTAATGAGATTATAGAGAATACAAAAAAAACAATTACTGATCCTACTTCAGCCACTCCTTCCATACAAAATGTTTATGTCCACCCTAGTATGTCTGATGGTCTTAAATCCTATTCCAACGAAGACAAAGGTCCTTACATTGTTCATGTCTCACGGGAAGTTGCAGACCCAGCAGCAGGAACTACTATACGGGCTATTAAATTTGGTCAATTTTTACACCACAACAAAATCCAATCTATAGTTAATGATGGTGTTAAAAATGTTGGCCGGAATAAAATCTCTGTCCAATTTTCCTCTGCTCAGGCAGCAAATGAGTTTATAAGCAACCCTTTTTTATCTATGGCAAAATATGTAGCAATTATCCCAACATATAATGTCACAAGAATGGGTCTTATTAAAGGTGTCCCAGTAGACTGGTCAATGGACGAACTGGTGGAGTCGTTAGAACTTCCTACTGGTTGTGGAGCAGTGATGAAAGCGCGACGCCTGAACCGAAAGAATGTCAATGAGGGTGTGATTACATGGGTTCCAACTCAATCTATTGTTATAACATTCCGTGGGCAAATGTTGCCTGAAAAAGTATATTGCTACCACACATCCTTACCTGTTGAAACTTACAAGCTTCCTACCATTCAATGTCTTAACTGCTGTCGCTTTGGTCACATTAAATCCCAGTGTCGATCAAGGCCTAGATGTTACAGGTGTGCCCAACCACATACTGGGGATGCATGTGATATCTCCAGAGATACCTCGACATGTTTATATTGTTCAGGCAAACATTTTGCCATAGATAAGGATTGTCCTGAGTTTTCTAGACAGCAATCTATCAAAATTATAATGTCGCAAGATAATGTTTCCTATATGGAAGCCTCTGCTCGCTTTCCTCCTGTCCAAAGATCCTACTCTGATGTAGCTAAGGAAATGTTTACCCCTCCTGCATATTCCATTACTCAAAGTTACTCACCTGTTACTTCTCCTTCACAAACTAAATCATACCGCCAAACTGTTGTCCGTCAATCACGTCCCAGGGCTCCTTTGGGCAAGGGATATGATAAAGAAGCACACCAAGCCATTACTGGCAATTGTTCTTCCTCTTTATCCAATGGTTGTGCTCTTAACAATAATGTTAATACCCCTTCAGATACCAAATCCCTCTTAGTTTCTCTTACAGAAACTTTAATTGGTATTATCTCAATGTGCGATGAACTCCCTTTACCGTCCAACGTTGCCCAAAAATTATTACACCTTTTCCAAATTATTAATAATGGCCCCACTCCACTTTCTGCAATGGAACAGTAAAAGTATTAAAAATAAGAAACATGAACTATTTTCAATTATCAACCTGCATAAGCCTGTCATTATTGCCATCTCGGAGACATGGTTGTTGCCTAGTTCTCGGTTTCGAGTTACAGGTTTCACCTGTTTGAGGGATGACAGAAGTGATGGGTATGCAGGAAGTGCCATCCTTATACGGCACTCTACTCCTTTTTCCTCTATTCCTCTCCCCCCTCACAGCCAGCACATTAATGCTATTGCTGTGAGAGCCTTTGATATTTCATTCCTCTCACTCTATATTCCCCATCCTTCCCCTGCCCTTATTCCTGAGCTATATTCTATACTTACTGCCTTTCCCAGTCCATGTCTGGTAATGGGAGATTTTAACACTCATCATACCTTGTGGGGGTGCTATTACTGTGATGGAGTCTCTCCTTTGTTGGTTAATATGTTTGATGACCTGAACATGTGCATCCTAAATGATGGTTCTCCGACCAGAAGAGTTCACCCTAACCAAAACCCTAAGACCGCTGTGGACTTATCTTTATCCTCTCCCTCTCTTGCTTCCCAATTATCATGGACCACACTTCCATCCACCCATGGTAGTGACCACTTTCCTATCCTTATATCTATACATAATAGAAATATATCGCTTCCAAACACCAAACCCTTACTTCACATAACCTAAAGAAAGCAAATTGGGCAGATTTCGCCTGTTCAGTTGATTGTATGATTGAATCGCTTCCTGAGCTTGTTAATGGTGAGAATATCATTTTTTGTTACAACCAATTTGTTTTAGCTATTTTATTCTCTGCAGACCTTCATATTCCTAAAAAAGTCTCTTCACAGAATCAATTGCTTTCCAATCCATGGTGGGATCAGGAATGCACTGATGCTGTCAATAGTAGAATTTCTGCTGAAGTGTCATATGAGGCCTCTATGACAGGGGAGAATTTTATAAACTACCAGCAGAGTGATGCTAAGTTTAGGAGACTAGTTTCAAAAAAGAAAAGGTCAGGATGGATTAATTTCTGTGAGTCCCTGAATCCCCGTTGCCCATCCTCAACAGTTTGGACAAATGTTAAGAGATTTCGCAGGTCTCTTAATGATGTTAAACTTAATTCCAATAATCCATCCGATTGGCTTAATGACTTTGCAGATAAATTAGCTCCTCCTTTTGTCCCTAATTATGATTCCTTTCTGAATTTTCCACCATCTCCCGCTTCTGGTGAACTGGACGCCTCTTTTTCCTTCGACGAACTCAATAACGTCTTAACGGGTTTAAAAGATTCGTGTCCAGGAGAAGATGGCATTCCCTATTCCTTTATATCCAAACTTAATGATAGGGCTAAAAAATATTTTTTAAATTTAATCAATGCATCTTTTGATTCAGGAATAATTCCTGAAGCATGGAAATCTCAGCTTATTATCCCAATTTTAAAACCAGGAAAATGTCCTTCTGATCCCAACTCCTATAGACCAATTGCATTAGCGTCCACTCTTGTCAAAATTTTTGAACATCTTCTTAGAAATCGCTTGGAATGGTTAGTGGAAAGCAGGAAAATCTTGGCGCCCTCTCAGTTTGGCTTCAGGAAGGGCCTGAGCACAATAGATAGTCTCAGCATTTTTACGACAGACATTCGACTAGCCTTTGCTAAGGGTGAATACTTGGTTGGGGTCTTCTTGGATATTGCTTCTGCATATGATAATGTTCTTCTTCCGTTACTCAGGCAAAAAATGCAACAGCTGAGTATTCCTGCGAAGTTGACTCATTTTATATGTAATCTGCTGGCCAGTAGAACTATATCTATTAGACACCGCTTGCTAACTATTCCTCCCAGGCAGGTCTGGAAAGGCCTCCCTCAAGGCTCGGTTCTCAGCCCTTTGCTGTACAGCATCTATACCCATGACCTCGAACTGTCTGTCAACAATTTTTGCAGTATATTACAGTATGCTGATGACATCGTCCTTTATTTTAGTTCAAAGTCTATAGAGGACATTCAGTTTCGTATAAATACTGCTTTGCACTATCTAAACCAGTGGCTTTCTGATCATGGCTTATCGTTGTCAGTGGCTAAATGCCAGACAGTAATATTTTGTAAAAAGAGATCTATTCCAAGGTTCAATTTTTGTGTTGAGGATCAACCAATTAAAGTGGCTGATAAAGTTAAATTTCTAGGCATAGTACTTGATAACAGATTGAACGGAGTTGCTCATACTGAATATATTAGTAAAAAGTGCGAGAAAGGCATTAACGTTTTAAGAGCGTTGTCTGGTGTGTGGTGGGGTGCACACCCATATTCTCAAAAACTGCTGTATAACGCTTTAATTCGGAGCCATATTGACTATGGTATCTTTATCTTAGACCCCTTTAATAAGGCAGCTTCAGAAAAACTCAATAAATTACAATTTAAAAGTCTTAGAATTATAATTGGTGCGATGAGGTCTACTCCAACTAATGCTCTTCAGATAGAGTGTGTGGATCCTCCATTTCCGTTTCGGCGTCAGTTCCTGTCTGACCGATTTGTTTGTAAATCATTACAGCTTTCATCCCATCCTTTGTGGCCTCGTTTAATTGAATTGTCCGAACTTAACGCTCCACATAGGCCTGTATCCTACCTTTTAGATAGTTATCGTAGATTTACCAACCTCCCTCATCCTATTAATTCTTTTAACTCTAATCCACTTTTCTCTACCTCCTATCTTGCCTTGACGTATGCTCCCCCTGTAATAACAGATATGGGTCTAGTAAAGGGTGCCGTTGACATCAATACAAAGTTTCAAGCGTTTTTGCATCAAAATTGGTTGAACCACGTACATATATACACAGATGCATCTAAATTATCTAATGATGGCTGTGTTGGGGCAGCGTGTTGGATACCTAAATTTAAAATTGTTCTCCAATTCAAATGTCCTCCCCAATCGTCGGTGTTTACAGGCGAGGCTGTTGCTTTACTAGAAGCAATCCTGTTCGCCCATTCCCATAACATAAAACACTGTTATTTTGACTGACTCCTTAAGTTGTTTATTGGCTATTAAAGAAAATCCTTTTCGTAGCAAATCAAGGTATTCCATTATTTTAAAGATCCGTGAAGCTTTGCTCTCATGCCTCCAAAATGGGTTGATCATCCAGTTAGTATGGATCCCAGCTCATTCTGGTATTATTGGCAATGAGTCCGCTGACTCTTGCGCTAAAGTTGCTACTCAGTGTGGATCTCTTGAACATTTTACCAACTCTTCTCAAGATTTATTATCACTGGCAAAAACTCATCTGGACAAATCCTGGATCAGCTACTGGAACTCATCAAAATCTTCTAAGGGAAAGCATTATGCTTCTATTCAGGCGGAGATACCAAAGCGACCATGGTTTTATCGTCAGAAACATGCAGAACGGTGGGTTATTACTACTATTAGTCGCCTACGCTTTGGACATGCAAGCACTCCTGTTCATCTGGCTAAGATCAGGGTCAGGGACCACTCATTATGCGAATGCGGTTTGGATAAAGGTTCAGCTTCCCACATCCTTTTCAACTGCCCCAAACTTCTTCGTCCCCTTTACGATGTTCTTCCTTTTAAAGTCCCCCGTCCCCTTAATGTTCAATGTTTATTGATGTTTGTGTTTAGTCCCCTATGTAGATTTTTGTGTAAATATATTAAATTTAATAAAATTAAGCTTTAGAACTAACATCTCTTTAAGTTAACCTACTAACATAATATTATTTTTACATAGTATAATTTAATTAATTTTTTGTGTTGTTTTTTCTATTTTTTAGGTGGAGGTATAACATTAAAATCCTTCTATTTAATACTGTTAATCCATTCTCTTAGTGGAATAACTCAAAATATCACCGGCCAATCTCGAACGTGACTCCTCCATTCAACGTGACATTGGCGAAATAATTTGTGCTCAACTGGCACGCATTAAAGCCATTAAAGCAAAGAACTGAACATATATAATTTTAAATAGATACATATTATAAATATAAACGTCCATGACTGGAGTACAGATATTTGTGCTATCACACAAATGAATGCCTCGAGCGGGACTCGAACCCGCGACCGCTGGCACAGCAAGTAGTGTCATTACAAACTGAGCTAAAATATACTATTATTATTATAGTAGGTAGGTATCAAATATAGTAATAATAAATTGACAGCTTTTAGTGGTATATGACCCAAATGTATGTCAGTTAAAATGTTGCTAATGCTTATACCATGAATATAATGTATTTTTATAGAATTTTTGGGTTTTTGTTTCATATACAAAGATTTTTAGCTTTCCTTTTAAGATATTATTTGGTTAGGTCAGATAGGTTGATAGAAGAAAAAAGTAATAAAAAATAAGAGGCTGTATTTAAAAAGTTATTGCTACTTATAGATATAACATTTCTAAAATCATAATTGTTAACAAGATATAAATTCACTATAGGTATATTTTAAATGAATATAAATGTAATCTACAAATATATTTTGAAGGTATAAAATTAAAAAAAACGTGTTAAACAACGGTTCGCAATATTGCACAAATGAATTGGTAACAAACAAATAAAAATAGAAACATAGTATAAAAATAGTTAAAATGAGATACTTGAGATACTTGTTAAAAAGATTAAAGAAATATAAATTTATAAAAAATATACACCCATAATCATGATAGTCATCTTTTGTATAAAGTATAATCATAATTAAAATATCAATTTTGAGATCGAAAATAATACAACATTTTTAAAATATGTATTTCTAAAATCAAATTATTAAAAATAACAAAATGTAACATAGGAATGCTTTATGGGAATGCTAAAGGTGAAAAACTATTGATATCGACCCTTGATCAACATTACCTAATAAAATTATAATTATATAAATTAAATATGTAGAAAAAATATTTAAATAAAAATTAATTTACCACAACCATTTACAAATGAGGGTTAGGGATCTCCTGAGGACCACTCTTCTTAATTACTTTTAACTTTTCCTTGCTCGGCTTTGCTGTGTCTGATGGTATTACTTCTTTTACAGGTATTTGTTTCTTCGGCTTCTCATTTTCAACATTTGGTTTTTCAGCCTTCTTAACTTTTTCTTTACTTCCATCAACATTCGTATTTTTGGACTCCTTAGATTCTTTAGGTGTTTTAGGTTTTACTTCAGCCTCCTTTGGTTTTGCTTTTGGTTCTGCTTCTTTGGAAACTGGTTTAATTTTTGATGGTTCATCTGTTTTTTTAGCTGCACTTGGTTTCGTATCTACTTTTGGTGCATTAGGTTTCGCATCTACTTTTGGTGCATTAGGTTTCGCATCTATTTTTGGTGCATTAGGTTTCGCATCTACTTTTGGTGCATTAGGTTTCTCATCTACTTTTATTTTTTGTTGTACTTCGGGTGCAGTTTTAGGCTTGAGTTCTGGTTCTTTTAGTTTTTCTTGTGAATTTGGCACAACTTTTGATTTGGTTTCTGGTTCTTTTGATGCAGGTTGTGCTTTAGCTACTGGTTCTTTTTGTTTTTGTGCTTCTTTCTCGATTGTTTTTGCTTTTACGTGTGACGCTTTTGGGATTTCATTTTGCTTAATTTCAGCCTCCTTAGACGCAACCTTTGGTTTCTCTTTGGGTACTGCATTTTGTTTAACTTGCGGTTCTTTTTGTACTTTCTCTGGTTGCTTAGCAACAGGTGGTGGGGTTTGTTGAGGAGCTTGTTTAGGTTTTTCGTTTACTTTAAGTTCTGGTTTCTTTTGCACAACAGGCTTATTAACTTTGGGTACATCTATCTTTTCTTCTGGCTTTTGCTGTTTTTTAACTGGCACTTGATTTGAGGAAAATGCTTTTTTCAACAATGGTGGTGCGGGTACAGCACCAATAAAATTTTGTATGTGCGGACAGCCAGTGAATAACTTGTCATTAAACACTATAGCATCACTTAAATGACTTATACTACCATCTGTATTATAATAAGCAGCAATAATGTTTCCATTCCAATCGAGTTGAACTAACCCCGACATGCCTGAGCTTAACTTTGTAAGGCTGCCGAAACTGCCAATCTGTCAATTTACGAAAGAAAGTTATCTCGTATATATTTATAGATTATGTTAAAAATAAAATATAGTTTGAACGAAAAACTTACATAGTGCACTATTTCTTCAAAAATATAATGTGGAACCTGAGTATTGAGAAGTTCAAATGGAATCTCAATGAGGCGTGCTAATCGAGCCAAAAACTTTCTTACTAAAGGCGTGGCGGCCATGGTTTTTGTTAGCAGAGGGTGGTCATCGTCAAACACGTTGTACAGATATACTAGCACTCCAGAACCGTCAGGTAGAGAGCGTATATTATCTGGTAAGCCTGTAAGTATTATTATATATTATAATATAGTAATTTATCGTATGTAAATGTATGTATTATTAATGTTTACGTAATATATAATATTAATAGGTAATGTTATATTTCTGGGCAATAACTTCACACTCTACGCTTTACATTATTATGTCAGATACAAAGCTATCAATCCATTAAAAATAATAAAATATAAAAATAATATTTATTAGTTTAATATTTTATATTCCAGGTACTTTCTAGTTGACGTCGATTTCTTAGGCAAAACCTACTGAATCGCGTACCGTACATTTTGTTTGAAATAATTACTCACACACTTACATCATACAATTCATAATTTATATATTTCTGTTTAGTAAAAATTTGTCTTAATAAATGGAATACCATACTAAAAACACTTAACATCTGTGTAAACACCTTCAATAACCTTTTCATCGACTCTTTCATGCCACATATTTTTAAATCCTCACACTTAGAGCAACATTCATGTATAACATGATAAGTTATTTATTGTTAGCCACTTTATGCCAATTTGTGGCCACCAATCAGTACTATGAGACTGATGTCAACTTTAGAGTGGAAGCGGGAACAAGGACGTGTTTCTTTGAAAAGGGTAAAGCTGGACAGATGTTGGAATTCTACTACCAAGTGCTTGACGGCCAACACGGGGATTTAGATATATCGGTCGATGTAATAGACCCCAGAGGTGTGAAACTCATCTCCGATTATAAGCACTCGCAAAATTCCATAATAATGGATTTAGCATATGAAGGCGACTATGTATTTTGTTTGGACAATACGCACAGTGTAATAAATTCGAAACTTGTATTCGTGTATGTAGTGATCGACGATAAACGAGAGACTACAGAAGTTGAAGGGAATTTAAGTGTTGCCGATGATGAAGGAAAAGAGCAACCAGAAGAGGATATTATTGAATGGATAGGTATCGACGAAAACGGTACTACATATGCCATTGAAGTAACTCGAATTATAGATTCTTTAATGCGTACATTGAACTTTGTGGTAAATGCTCGCCATATGCTAGATAAGTATAGTGCATCCAAATCACGCGACAGCTACTCAGCGTTAGAAGACACATTTATAGTTGATATATGGTCTGCTTTTCAAATAGTTTTTATGACATGTGTGGGTATGTTACAAGTGTATATGATTAAAAAGTTGTTTGAGAGACCTTGTTCTACTTCTGTATCATATTAAATGTAAATAAACTTGAATATTTATTTATTTATAAAATAAATAAGTATATTGGGACATTAACACTTAGACAAATACTTACATAAAATAGTGCAAATAGTAACAGTGTTTAACTTACAAATTGATAACAAAGGGTTATTATTTGAGTTTATTTTACTATTTCTATTTTTAACTTTATCTTTTAAAAATTATCTAACTAGTTTGCTGCTACATTTTTATGTTATGTAGTATGTACTTGAGTAGTACATCTAAAATATGTCATATATTTTTTAAAATATGTATTGTAATTGCAATAAATATAATATTTTTTTATTGAAGAAATGTATAATCTTTTTAAATAATTAATTATTTAAACCTGCAAATTCCTATTATAAAATAAAATCAATACATTACATTTCCTTATCATTAAATGATTAATGAATGGAGAAGTTTCTTGATGTTGTCAATATCATAAGTAATGCAATTAAAAATTATAATATAAATCAAAAATAATAAATCAGTGAAAACATTTTTTAAATCTATACATAAAATAAAATCGTAACATTATTATCAATACAGAGGTGGAATCTATAGTTTTTAGAATTTTTGTCTGTCTGTCTGTTACCACATTACAGAAAAATCACTGGAGGGATTTTGATGAAATTTGGTATGATGATAGCTGATTATCCGGGTCAACTTAAACAGTATTTTTTACTGCGGGAAAATGTCTCATTTCTGAAAAAAATACAAAAACTGCAATGTAAGAATATACTAATATGCAAAACCTAAGAATTTGGTTTTTGGTCATCTGCTAGTCAGGCAATGCTAGTCTATCAATAAATGAGTGAGAAATTAATTTAAGTTTCGACCGATCAGGCCATGTTACGTCACATTCGTTCGTTTGTTGAGATATTTTAATAATTATTTCATATTTTTGTTATATTTTGTTTAATTTTTTATAATTAATAAGAAAAATGGGAAACTTCTCCATTATGTATAATCATTACTTTTATTTAAAGTAAAAATAAAAAGCTACAAAGTTTTTTTTTAATCTTGCAATCAGTTTTCTTGACTATGAGCAGATGTGATGTAAGAATGTCAGTGCAAGTAAGCTACAAAGTTAACAATAACTTATGAGTCAATTAAACTGTAAAATAATCATAAAATAATTAAATGGTAATAAATCAAATGTGAAAGATTGTGGGCCGGTTTCTTGGTTCCTGATAAAGTCCATGATAGCTTATTAGAAACTTATCTGCCAGATAAACTAAAACTTTTGGCTTCACAGGTCCCTGATACAGATATCTGACAGATAAAATCGCTCATAATTTATCAGCCGAAATAAATAGCTGTTAATGAATTTATTTAGCAGATAATGGCACTTGAAATAATTTCTTAATTATTTTAAGTGGCGGGTCCGAAAATAGTTTCAATACAGGCAATAACATTTGAAACAAAAACATGTAATAATTTCATATAATTATATATATATATATATATATATATATATATATATATATATATATATATATATATTAAATGATACTTCAATATACCTCATAAGTAAATTTATATAATTTTAAATATAAAATAATAATGTACAAGTTTTCAAAATAGATCATAAATAACAAAACTTGGTATATCGAAACATAAAAAAGCGATGTCGCCACTCTGACCATTTAAGTGGCAGGTAAATTATCTACTAGTTAGTTTAACAGAAAGAATGATGATGAAACAGAAAAAAATATCAGAAACCTTTTTCTTTTACTTATATTGCATTATCTATAAATAAAGAAGTCAAAACAAGCCTTGATTTGATTTAGTAGTATAATATATTCACCCACCTGGTAATCCTGCTACAAATACTTCTGAAGTTCCCTTCTTAGATCCATTAATATAATATTTGACAACTCTGTACCTACTTGTCTCAGACACTATTACAAATTGGTTATCAGGAGATACCACCAGGCCATTAGCAAACCATAAGTCATCAAGAAGCACTTTACTTTCATTTTTGGCTGCATTGTAATAGAATAATCTGTTAAAATTTATAATAATTTATAGATTTATACAGGTAGCAATAAACACAAATCATATTAATTAATATTGTTAGTACAGCTTTTTTTTATCAAGTGTTGTTTATCATTAAAAAAAAAAACTTAAATGTACATAAAAGTTAAATTATCAAACCTTCCACTTGGATCTGCCAATAAAGTTAAAAGTCCATCTCTTAAAGAAAAATCACTACTAGAGTCTGTCCAAAACAAATCTCCATTTTTGTGTAAAGCCACAGAATTAAAAATTTTTGGTGTCCTACCATCTATAGGGACTTTAGGTGACACTAGTAATTGCTTCTTGTCTGTTACTAAATTAACTTTCCAAATTCCATAATAGGCATCAGCTACATACAGTAATTTATTCTTTTCATCAATAACAAATCCCAGAGGTCGCCCACATATGTGCTCCTGAACTAAGCCAGCTACAATTTTGAAAAAAATACTTTATGCTTAAAAAGATAAATGATAAATTAATCTACTTATTATTCAATTTCACAAATAAATTAACCAAAAATAATTATTTCTTAAACGATAAATTTGAGAATTTTAAATTAACGCTATTAAATGAATTTTTGTTATGAAAAACAGTATTAAAACTTTGTGGGTATACACTACTTACTGCAAGGCTGTCCAATTTTCGTAACAAAAGTCACATGTCCACCTGGCGATACTTTTACTATTTCGCCGGTCGCAAGTCCAGTATATACTTCACCGTTCCATATTTGAAATGCTTCAGGTCCTAGTAATTTATCTTCATACAAGCGTTGAGCATTATTTAAATCTGTGTTGGGGGCTAAAGGTCCAATCCATTGTTGAGTTGGCTCGATCCTAAGATAAATTAAACATTAACCGTGACTAACATAACGGTAATTATCATAGGTTACTTCAAGTTCAAAACTTACTCAATATTCGTAAACTTCGTATATGGTGGTAAATTCGGAATAAGGAGGATAATCGCAACGAAGATAGCAAAAAATAATATTAATTTTAATAATCGTTTAATTATTCCAACAAGAAATCCCATATTGCCGACGAAACTAAGTACGAAAGTTACTTTAAAAACTTGAACTTGACAAAAAAAACAAAAAACTCGTACTTCACGTATCAATCACATATTTTTTGTGAATTTTCAATCTAGTTGACGCTCAGTGTTGCCAACACTCTTTGAAGAAAACGCGCTAAATTGACTTCAAAAAAGCCCTAGATTTGGACATTTTTCGAAAAAAAGCGCTAAATTATAAAAACGATTAAAAAATTTGGTAATTATAATTATTTTTAATTAAAAGCTACATAAAAAGACAAAAATTATCTACAAATTTATTAGATAATATTCTTCATTGTCAGAAACTTGTTCTTCTTGTACAATTTGGTGGTACCTACATAGATATACATGATTCATGACTTACGTTTCGTATTTTTTATTATGTTATGTATAATAAGAAATTACAATAGGAAATCTAACCTGAACCAGACCTACCAGAGGTACAAAACCTTTTGAAAAAAAATTGAACCCATAAAATTGTGTTTGCGGTCTCTGTATATTCTTTGGCTGTGTTTTTGGGCAGCAAATAAGGTTATTTTTCGTTTATAATCTTTAAGAAAACGGAGTATAGTGTTTTTTTTTATTTATGAGGTTCTGGATGCTTGTTGTTTTGTTTATTTTACGTTCCGTTACATGTTATTTCAAATAAGAGAAATATTATTTAAGAAACACTAGCTTGGGCACTAAGCGCTATATTTTTTAGTTGGGCGCTGACAGAGCCAAAAAAGCGTTAAATCTAGCGCCGAAAGCGCTAAGTTGGCATCACTGTTGACGCTAAAGCGGCTTGACTGATAACAAGCAATCAGCGCTACACAGAGCACATCTAGGCCGACATCAAAAATATCTGATTAGGTATTATCAATTGTAAATGAAAACATCTTTCAGTTAATTTTTACTTATTAGTATTTAGAATCCAGTTTAAATTTTTTTTTAATGTCTGGAAGAAGTTTTTTTAGTGTTTAAAATTGTAAATGCTTAAAAATGTGATATAAATCACACTCTGTTTTCCAATTACCGAGAATAATGCTGCACTTTGACATACAAACACGAACAACGTGAAAAAACACTTCCTACATTTTTTGCTACTAAGTTGGTTGGTTACACCAAAGCAGTACTTTTCAAAGTGCTTGATTGTGCGTTGCTGTAGTTGAAAAATTCGAAGTTGAGCATTCTGCCGCATAATGTGCTTTTTATTGTAATTGGAAAACGTCCACATTGTTTTCTTATGCGTATGTTAGAATTTGTGTTAACAGAATCAAAACTTATTTTTGGGTATTTTGGGTTTTATTCTTTGGTTTGACATAACGTCACTAACAAACCCACTTTTTTAAGAGATATTTGTTAGGATTTAGGAATTGTGCATCTAGGGTTTTATTATGTTCATCTGGAATGTTCTTAATATTGCCTCTAGTGAGAGTTGCGTTATAATTGGCTTTGTCCTAGCTTATGGCCGGTTTACACGTGTTAAGTAGTTTAGTAGTTAACTAAATTTTAACTTAATTTTAAGTAATTAATTGCGTGTTAACAGATAATTTAGTAGCAAGTTGCAAGTTAAAATTAAGTTAACTACATTACTACTAAATTAGAATGTTTTCTATATTTTCGCTTTAGTTAGTGGGCGGGGCTTGTCACTTGACACCTTTGGACACTTGGAAAGTACGATTTAGTTATAAACGCATAAGTAGTTTAGTTAAACGTATAAGTAGTGGCGCACTAAGTTTAATTTTTTCTCGTTATTTTTTGTTAAGAAGCATATTTAAAAAAAGAATGCTTATGGAACGTAAAAAGCATGAAGTATCTCGCTTAAAACAAATTTAAGCACAGAATTTACGATTTCATTACGTTGTTGATTTTCCATCTTGAATGAAATAAAGAACTTCAATTCAATTCTTTAATTGAGCACAGATTACTTCGCGAATGTCACGTAGAATGGAGAAGACAACTAAAGAGCATAACTACTTAACTACTAAACACGTTTGGTCAGTCAGCTACTAAAATATAAGACACTTAAAATTAAGTTAAAATTTAGTTAAGTACTAAACTACTTAACACGTGTAAACCGGCCATTAGTAGCTTTGTAGTTGATCTGTGGCTTGACGTTTTAAATTTGACAGTTTCAAACAATTGTCTTTTTCGTTCTTTCAACCACCATTTTGGACGTATTTTATACGTTTTCACGGTGAAAACTAATATTAAATATGGGTCACGCTAATATTTGGTATTCCCACCCCCGTAAATACGGACAGGGATCCCGGTCATGGTATGTATAAATCACGAAATAGCATTCCTAGACCTTACAAGATACTTGGTTTGGTTAGAACACGTGTTTCATACAATTATATCTTTCAGCCGCGCCTGCTCCAACAGACACGGCCTTATTCGTAAATATGGCCTTAACATCTGCAGACAGTGCTTCAGGGAGTACGCCCACGACATTGGCTTCAAAAAGGTTATAAATGTTTTTTTTATATTTTTTTAGAAATTACTACAATTATTCTAGCACCCCCAGGTAAATTTCTAAAAATCAATTAAATTTCTCAGAAATTTATTGTTAACTGTGACGCCGGCGTGTCCTCAGTCGTTGAGGGACTAGTAATCTCGGAATTTCTATAGTAGTGTGGTTAAACAAACCATGAATCTATGGTACTCTAGTTAAATATTATTTTTGCTGATCATTTAGGAGGATTCATGGTGACGTATTGTTCATAAAGACTACAAACAAGTTACATACATAACTAGAATTCAATAATATTATTTATTTCTTAAGTACAGCTCATACATATTCTGTAGGATATTTGAATAGTATAGTAATGGTATTGGGTTCATCATAGTTTTTGTTTCCTATTTTGATACGTTTTTTTATAATATAGTTAAAAGATTGATCAGCTAAAATGCACAGCTAATATAGGAAATAAGTGGGGGGAACAATATACAGAAAGAAATGTTCATGTTTAAAATTTTTGTATAAATTTGTTTGCATAATTTTAACCATTCATAGTTAAATTGGAGTATCTAAAAATATTAATTTTAGATTGACTACTAGCAAATAAACTGATATATTTAGTCTAAGAAATATTTAAAAATTAAATCATGTTCAGCAGTTATCCCATAATCCCATTAATGTTTAAAATAAGAAAGTTTGAATGGATGGATTTTTCTTAATCATGCCAGAATGGCTGAACGGATCTGGACAAAATATGATAGATTATAGTCTGAAATAGCACATAGGTTAGTTTTATCCCAGAAAAATGTAAGGTTCTTTCGGGACAGATTTGTGTTTGATTTCAGTTCAGTTTTGTTGTAGGGACGAACCCTAGCAAAGTGAGGGCGAGTCACTAGTATTTGATAAACAAGTCATAATTATTATCCATTTTTTTTTGTTTCAGCTGGACTAATGAGTGCTGGAGCATTTAGGTTAATAAAGTTTTAAACCCATTGTTATCTTTTATTTCTACCTTTTTGGAACTTTTAATTTACATTTGAGTTAGTGGAAAATCATTAATTGAGGAATGGAATAAAAACAAAAGAATATACATTATACATTTATTATAAAATTAAAAATATTTATAAAATACTTTATTAAATTACATTTGCATATTTTTATTTATTTACACAATATAGTTTAGGATTAAATATTTATCTGCCAAGCGATAGTTGCTCAACCCAATCTCTGAAAGGAAATATATAAGATAATTAGAATAGAATTTTTAATATCAATATCACTTATCTTATATTCCATTGTAGCTGTAGCCGGTAATAACATACTTCATGTTGTAATCACAAAATTCTAATAAAATCAAGAATTTAATATAAACTGGTCCTAACCTATGGCGCGGGTTCCATGCCAGCATTTTGTTAACCGTCTTCCAATAAGGAGGAGGTTATCAATTCGTCGGATTTTTTTTTATGTTTGTTCACCGATTACACAAAGATGCCTGAACTGATTTGGATTTTTTTTGTTTCAAAGGGTATACTTTCCAGGTGGTCCCATATAAATTTTATCGTAATCGGTCGAGCGGCTCTTAAAAATCGACAATAAATTATTTTTTTAAATAAATGTTTTTATCGAATATGTTATTAAAAAACTTTCTTCTTACAAATTACCTGCTTATTACGTCTACACTAAAAATGGAAAAATAAATACTTAAAAAAACCGACTTCCAGGCACTAAAATGTAAAAAATAACTAAACGGGAGTTTTCATTTAGAATAGATACCTAATCAGAAATTTTCGAAGTCGGTGCCAGCCGATAATATTTTAAGATATTAATATCTAATAGGTAAAGAGGGTAATTCGTTCATGGTAAATATGTATTTACGTATCGAAATATATTAGATTTGCTTTGCATTGGCTCATCGGATGATTTTGGGTGAAATTTACAGTACCTACATAAATAGATTATGCACCAAAGCCAGGGTATCTAAGCCGCTATATAGCCCAGAAAACAGTGAGTCATAATTAGTGCAACTGCAGGATAAAGGTGTTACATATTGGAGTAAAAATTCAATTCAAGTGATATATTTCAAAAGATTAAGTTTAATGGATAAAAATCAACTTAATTATCTCAAAAAAAAATAGTCATTAATAATGTATTTAATCAGTATCACTAGAATATTCGTTTGTATTTATTATAAAAGAATCAAAATCGTTTAAATCGTTCAGTTTAAAGTACTTAAAAACATTGTAAATTACTCGTCTTTCTCCGCTATGATTTATCGATCCACTTTTATTTTTACGATTAGGTGAGGTATTCATTTTTAAAATTTATTGTACGAACGCACAAAGGACAACTGTTTCGACTGACTGTACGAAAATCTGCTTTCAACTGGTCATTGTAAACGTGACTTTATAATTTTATGCGACTTTATTGGTCGGGGGGCGTTGGATAGGTCGATGGACAACGATGACTCACTATTTTCTTATGTGAATGAACTATAGTTACTATAAACTTGCACACTTACCGCTGCGGCGCCAGCAAGGAGCGCAAAGAGGCTGCGCTGTGGGGGCCGACAGTGCCTCTTGCCGCCCTCCGCGCAGCACAGGTTGGGGAAGCAGTCTACGCTAGAGCTGCAGCGCTGAGGGAACGCGTCGAACTGTGGCGGCGCCGTACATTGCAGGTAGGATTCTAACATGCGCACCGCTTTAATACAATATTTTGGTTAGTTGCGGTTTGAAATGAAAAAATATTATCCTACAAATATCATATTGGTCCATGGTCTTTATGAATGGACGTATTTTCTATAGGTGCCTATAATGTACTCTATTATAAAAGTCCTTTGGTATTCGTACATTTCAAGCACTGCTATCGGTGAAAACTACGACGTTGGATAAAAGTTCAAGTTTTAGGATGTACCTACCTACCTATTTGATTATTTTAAGTCTAACAATTTAGAACTGAAGTTGCTAAAATTAATATTGGAAGCTATGGTTCATAATTATAATTTGTGAGGTGATTCAGAAGTGAAAATATTTTTTTTATTGAAATTTTCTAATTTAAATATAATTTAAACCTGTATAAAAATGTTTTCTGGCTAGTAGAGAATTTATTTTATTTTTTAGTTGGTAGCAAACTATTAATAATTCGAAACAAAATCTTAAAAAATCAGTTTAGAGACGTACCTGCCTGAAAAAATAATTCTGCATAATTTTGAAGCAAGATAATAAGTATCTATTAAGATTAAATTGATTAAGTATTTACTTATATCATTAAAAAAACGTGTGTGTAAGTACTTATGTACGCACGTAAGAAGTTATACTTCTTTGACGTAACAGAACAAAAAAAGCTAAAGATCTCATCCCTTATGTGACAACTCTGTTTGTAAAAGAAATGCAGCTAATTCATCATGTCGCTTCTTGGCTGTCGGTGTGCGCGCGCATCGTAAAAATTTTACTCTCATATTTTTTTCCAAACATGCCAAGAGAAGTATAACTTCAAAAAGTCGGTTGATATCATGGGACGCTGTCCGCCCTTGGCTCACACACATTGTCACGAGTTGGTAGTTGGTATTGGTGTGTAGCACAGACATCAAGCAACGTAATTACATTGTACATGTTGAACTTGAAGCTCATCAAAGAAAGAAGTTCAAAAATATTTTAAATATTTCTAATAAGTAGTAGACACCTAATTACCAAATAATTATATTGTTGTATTTTGTTACGGTCAGATGAATTAAAATAGTTAAAACGTTTAAGTCCATGACATTAATTTCACAATATTTTAAATAACCTAGACTAAGTTTTACAAAAATTTCGCAACTGCTTGTTAGTTATTTCAACGCATTACTGCAGCTTTTCTCAAAAACTTCTAAATTGAAATGTTGTATTAAATGTATGCCAACTAACAAATATCTTTTCTCACTGCTTATTAATGTTAGAAGAATATATTAATATAATTTTTTATTGAATTTATAACTCACGTGCTTCAATCCTATTAGCTACTGGTACCAAATCCAGACGAGCGCGTGCGGTGCGGCAGTAGGAGCGCGTGCCGTCCGGACAGCACACTCGCGGCCAGCAGTCAGCGTCGGTTTTACACGTCTGTACCTCAAACAGGAGCTCGCCTAGCGGAGTCGAGGGACATTCACGAGGAATTACCCCGAGTATGGCTATAGAGAAAGCAGAAAGGCGTAGTGCTTAAAAAATATTGATATTATGATCACCTTAATCTCTCGATTTTGCCAGTTTTAATTTAAGTTTTATTACGAATAAGGAAGAATAAGGAAGTCAAGCTTACTAAGCTTAGACCTAGTGAGATAATCGGAGGCAATCCAATCCCATTTTCCTTTTTGTCCGTCATCGATGTTGGGACAGTGGTAGGTGGTTTCTAATATTGCTCTTTATTATAACTACATCTTAATACACTTTCACTTTGCGAAAAGTTCAAATCCATGAACTTGTTTATTTCACGATAAGGCACGGCGCTAGGACCGTTATAAGTGGCGGTTGTTACAAGTTATCAAATATGTTACTATCGCTCCTTTCTCTTACGAATTTAATCTGTTTTACTGCGTATAAATGCGTCTGTCTGTTACCTTTTCATGCTTAATCCTGAGCTGAACTGATTCAGATTAAATTTAGTATGAAGGTACTCGTAGTTTGAGATCCTAGGAAAGACATAAAATACTTTTTATCTCGGAAATCATTCCTTAAGAGGTCGAATTTTGTGCTTACCTACCTACTTTTCTATACCTATTATCATGAACGAATTAACCACTTCATTCATGCCTATTATATATTGTCTGTCAATTCCATAGTAACCGTTGTATAATGAAGGCTTAACACCTCCAAGTAAATTTTTAAGAAATTAATTTAATTTCTAAGAAATCTATTGTCATACGCCGGCGTGTCCGCGGTCGTGGAGGGATTAAGGAAGCCTATGCACTATTTTCACTATAGGTATCTTTCACGTAAGCTATTAGGTAGGTACATGTTTCCTATATAAAAATAGATGATTAACACCTCTAGGTAAAATTCTAAGAAATTAATTAAATTTCTAAGAAATATATTGTTAACTGTAACGCCGGCGTGTCCGCGGTCGTTGAGGGATTAAGAAACAAAGTAGGTAATATTTATTATAATAATAAAATGAACAATAAATCGCTTGCGCTTGCAATAAATTTAAAGAGGCAGAATACACATCAGGCTTCTACGACATACACGCTGGAGTACCTCAGGGCTCAGTCCTTGGCCCAGTCTTGTACACTATCTTCACTGCAGATCTTCCACAAACACCGGGAGTCTCCATTGCAACGTATGCTGATGACACGGCCATACTAGCCTCTAGTAAATGTCCAGTGGAAGCCTCGAATATACTGCAGAAAAGCTTGAATGACATAAACAAATGGTTTGACAAGTGGAGAATCAAAGTGAGCGCAAATAAATCAGTCCAAGTTACCTTCACACTACGAAGAGAAACTTGTCCTCCTGTGAACCTGGGTGGCAAAGAGCTTCCTCACAAAGACGCAGTCAAATACCTAGGACTCCACTTGGATCGCCGATTGACATGGTGCAAACATATTGAGACTAAACGAAATGAGATCAACTTAAAATATAGAGGCTTATACTGGCTGCTAGGCAGAAACTCTAAACTATCCATTGACAACAAGCTGTTAATTTACAAGGCCATAATAAAACCGATCTGGACCTATGGCTCGGAGTTGTGGGGAGCTACATGTAATTCCAACATAAATAAAATTCAAAGAACTCAGAACTTCATACTTAAACAAATTGGCAACACACCCTGGTTCATAAGAAACACAGAGGTTCATGAACACCTAAACATGCTGACAGTCAAAGAGGAGATCAAGGCACGTCTAAAGAAATACAAAATCAGATTGGAAAACCATCCTAACCAGCTGGCAGTCCAGCTCACATTACCTGATTGCATAAACCGGTTGAAACGACGCAGAATCCTTGAACTCGGCAAAACGAACTAAGCCATTGAAACTAAAGAAGGCAAAAATTCCTAATGAGGAATACCTTTTCCTGTCACTGATATTCTTACATCACATCTGCTCATAGCCAAGAAGACTGATTGCAAGATAAAAAAAAAAAATAAAAAAAAAAAAATAAATAAATCGCTTGCGCTATTATGTCACACTACACATTGGACTTTTTATTAATAAATACTTATCTTATAACTGTTTTTATTTCGAAATAGTGAATGTTTCAGAAAACCACAACTAATTATTATTTTTATTTTAACATCGAGAACGTTACGTTGCATTAATCAATTTAACTTGACATATGAATGAGGAAAATATCATGTTTTACCAATTCCAAATTTGTCAATATGTAACCGTAAGCTTTTTCTAATTCATTCATTGACACTAATTATAAATACCGTGTGTGTGATAACCAACCACACAGGAAACACTCCGCTACTCGTTTTATTTATATAGGATTTGATAGTTGTATGTAATCTCCCGAAACTACCTACTTATACAATAAAGTGCCAAAATATTATCTCCTATTATCCTAGGATATGATGCTAATTGCTATACATTTACAATAATTTGTGTTACAGACCCGCACAAATTCTTAAAATTATTCAATGTCTTCTGATCACATTTTTATTTTATGTTATTATTAATCTATTCTATGTATCGCTTATATCGGATATCGAGTCCAAGTCATAGAATATAACTTGTTACCGTAAGCACCAATGAATTTAAGTGTGTGCTATGCCTTACTTTTCATTAATTATATAATCTATGATTCTATACTCATTATATTATAAAGAGGCAGAGTTGGTTTGTCTGTTTGTTTGTTTTAAAGCGCTAATCTTAGGAACTACTAATCCAGTTTGAAAAATTCTTTTTGTATTACATTAGCCCGTTTATTGAGGTAGGCTATAGACTATATAACATCATACCACTACCCAAGGAGCCGATAGTTATAGTTAATACTTACGTTGGTGTGATTGTTCTGACACAGTAGGTCGCGGCGCGGGCACTCCTTTCACACACTGTCCTTGACAGCACACTTGTCCGGGCCCGCTACTGGCGCGGCACTGCGAGTTGCTCTCACAGGGAATTCGAAACAGCACAACTGGTACGCTCTTCGGGCATATCAGCTTCTGGTTTTTTCCTTAATAAAGAATATTTATTTATCTGTTTAAATACTATGTTATAAAATCCCATAGTTTACTTCACTACTATAAGTGGAGTTTAATATCGAAGATGTTGTTTAATGGATGTTTGTTATTCAATTTCGCTAGAACGGTTGAAAGGATCTGGATGAAATTTGGCACAGAGATAAATTATAGTCTAGAATAGCACATAGGCTACTTTTTAGCCCGGAAAAATCTACGGTTCCCGTGGGATAGATTGGTTTTTGTTTTAATATTATAAAACTAAAAATGTCGTTTGTTTTTTTTGTTTGTTTGAATGCAGTTATCTCTGGAATTACCTAGTCCGTTGAAAAAAACTATTTCATTTTATGGCTTATTTATTGAGGAAGGTAAGTTAGCATCACGATATATATGTACATGAGCGGAGCAATAAAACATAAATAAACTATTTAGTAGTCGAACGGATCCGAGGACAAAAGCTAGTTCGATATAATATGTATGTAGTAACGTTATGCTAGAGTGCTTACGTATTAACCCTGAGTCTCACATTTAGAACTCACGTAATTGCTGCTTGTAAAATCTAAAGTTGCCAATGGTTTATTTCTTTTTTATTTGATGTTAATTAATTGCCTGCAATACTTCTTATATTATATAATTTTTATTTAATACGTAATTTTTCAAATTTATTATATGTTACAAATATCTACTACCTAGTAGAATATACTATATAATATATTTAGTATTAGAAATACATTTCTGTAATATTTTTACGTGCGTATGCATCTGTGCATTGACTTTTTAAGCACCTAAGTACACACTACAAGTATTAGGTACATTATAGGTGCAAATATATGATTTCTTAACGAGTAAGAATTTAGCTTTAATTAATAGCTTTGGGTATACGTATATCCATAATAGGTAAGTATGGTAAGACTATATAGATTCGTTTAACTAACCTACCTGCCTAAAGTAAATGCTTACAGCTTAAGTATTCTAAGGTTACCCGTATTCAGGACGATATCCGAATAACGTTATTAAGGTATACGTATAGGTATACTATGAGTATTTTCTCTGTTCTTGTATTGTATTCTCTCTGTCTCGTAGAGCATAGATCTATAGACTTACAAACCTTATACCTGTACATATATATAGTTTAAAAAAATATTGCTTTTAAAGTTATTACCTATTTTAGCCGGAGCTGCTTTTGGTGTCGTCTGTATGGGTAGCAGTTGCAGGAATGGGCGCGGAGGCTCCGTAGTAGTGGTGGTGGTTGGCTTAGGAGTAGTTGTGGTCGTCGTCGTGGTGGTCAAACTGGTGGTACTCGGGGTTGTTGTAGTTGTTGTTGTAGTTGTGGTTGTGGTGGGACTGGTGGTCGTGCTAGTGCTTGTGCTTGTGCTAGTACTCGTACTTGTACTTGTACTTGAACTACTGGTAGCGACTACACTACTCGCCTCGTTGATTCTAGAATGTTTAGAATGGAATCTAATGATATTTAGTCACTAAAGCTTTTAAGCGTGCGTGAATTTAAGTCTTGATAAAAGCATCATTATAACTCAATTTTAAATAGCAATAAGAACTTCTTAGTATAACAGTTAGGTACTTTATACCGACATTATTTTATATAAGTCTTAGGACTGAATATACGATGTTAACCTTGCTCGTTAACATTTACTATGCTTACTCTATATTATTTTAAGGAACATAATTATAGTTATCAAATAATGTACATTGTCCATAAGTTAGAATATAGTCGATAACTTCTAATAATAAATTAGCTATGATTTTGTGTACATAGGTATATAAAGTAAAGTAGGTACTTTAATATTTAATACTTTATTTATATACCTATTATGTACCTTCTAATGCAATTCAGGAAGAAATACGAAACAAGATAAAACTTAATTAATTTAAATATAGGTAAATAACAAATCAATATTGTAGGTAATGAATGTTAAAAAAATTTTATAGTCATTATTACCTACTTAGATTTATATGACGTCCACGTTACAAATGTCGTTTTAAATTATGCAACAAAAATGAAAAACATTTCTTTCAATATAAAAGACATCAACGAGCTTTACAGTTGTTAAATTAATTAGGTATCTGTAATAGTTCTTAAATAGATAGATATTTTGGGGAAAAATCACGAAATAGGAATTATGTTTATTTTTATAGAAGTTAGTTTCACTATAGTACTAAAGTACAATTTTATAATAAATATATTTAATAAAATTCTAACAGAGTCGAATCTGTACATTAAATATTTTTTGGAAAATCTTATTGAAATAGTCATTATTATCGGTACAGAGGCCTGTATACTTTATAGAATTTTTGTTTGTCTGTCGGTCTGTATATGACCGCATCACGGAAAAACCACTGGAGGGATTTTGATAAATTTTGTATGATGATAGCTGGCTACTCGGGTCAACATATAGGATACTTTTTACTGCGGGAAAACATATCATCTCTGAGAAATCTATACTAAACGTAACACGTAAGTACGATTGACGAACCCGTGTGGAGCGAGGTTGAGTCGCTAGTATAATATAATACCTATAAAATTTTCAACTAATTTATTACTTATATATTTTTATCTATGTATATAAAATTACTTGTCCTGAGTAGGGACTCCTGACAGATTCATCAACACAAAGCCTAAGCCACATGGTTTAAAAACTTTAAATTTTTGCAATTGATTCATTCGAAGACCAATTGTCTCAGTTTGTAGTGACCCTATTTGCTGTGCCAACGGTCGCGGGTTCGAGTCCCGCTGGGGGCATTCATTTGTGTGATGAGCACGAATGCTTGTACTCCAGTCAAGGGTATTTATATTTATAATATTTATGTATTTAATATACATATGTGTTGTGTATTGACTATCAAACGGGAAAGACATCAAGTTTATTAATATTTTTTGGAGTAAAAATTCTTTAGGCGGACTAAGGGGTAGGTCAATACACTGAAAAAATGAGTGTAGCGGAAGTGTGTCGCGGAAATGAGAGTAAAATTAATTATCAATAATTAAAAAATATATTATATTTATATTTTTATAATAATTATGTGCAATAAAGAATATATATAATTATTATGTATAAGAATACATATTTATTATTAATAAATTTATAATAATTATCTAATATATAAGTATCTCGTGTCACGGTCTTTGTGGTAGAACTCCTACGAAACGGCTCGACCAATTTTAATGATTTTTTTTAACTATTTTTTGTATATTTGGTAGGTATGGGAATAGATCGTAAAGTTTTTCACTCTCCTACCCCAGCTCCCCTGAAAATCCTACCCCAGAAAATTGTCTGCTTATAATGTGATTTTTAGTTACAAGTAATTATAATTAATTAAAAAAGTGTAGTAAAATAGTGCGCCACCATAAATGGAACTAAAACGAAAAAAAGCATAAAACTATAGGAAACTATATTTACGAAAGCAACATTGAGGTTAAACTGCTCATATAATTATATTATTGTATTAATATAAATATAATATATTAAAATCCAAGACACAATAAACAAAAGTTATGACATAACCTTACTTTAACATCAAATTGTTAAACTCATTGAAAAATTATTATTACTTTTTGTTAATACTTGTAGACTTTTAATGTGGGAAGTATATTTATTACTAGGCGTTGAATAAGATTTGGTCTAAATTCAATTTGATAAAATTAATAAAAATTGATATTTTCATAAAATTATAAAGCTATATTAAGCTGGGCTTGAGAGATACATTACTTACCGCAATTGAGCTGCTTTCACTCCTTTAGTACAGAATCCCTTGCAGCAGAGATGTTGAGTACCCATCACACTGCAGTCTGTGCTCTTTCGACAGGGGATTGGAAACAAATCCAACCATCCACTGGTCGTGCGCACCTTTGGACATTGTAAAGATTGGCAACCACCTGCAAAATAGTAAAAAAAATGATTTTAATGAATAAGTAATAATAATCATAATTTACTAATTGAAATACATAATATGTTTCTGCGGTAAAGGTTTTATAATAATTTATGACGTTATAGGTTGGTAATATACATATCTGTCTGTAAATAAATAAAAAAGTGTATGTCGGACGACTGACAACTATAATTATTATAGTTTTGCTCCATAATTATATAAGAAATATAAAATATCTATAATTATAAAAGAGTGAAGACTATCAAGTAACTTCAAGTATGGTTTTGACAAACGAGGTGGATTTACCAGAGTTTTCCACATTAACGGTAGAAGAAGTTAATCTATCTACAGCCACGTTAATATCCGCAGCACCATACTTCGGCAAGCATTGTGAGGCTATCAATAACGAGTTTATGCTATGTAGATGCGAGTCAAATGATCCGCGGCCCTGCATTGAATTAGGAAAGCAAGTCACAGCTTGCACGATGCAATTTTTTAGAAATATTAAAAATAATTGCCTCGAAGAATTCAATCAGTATGCGAATTGTGTAGATAAGAGTTCAGGAAATTATTCCTTTGCAAATTGTCGCAGAACACAAGCAGTTTTCGACGAGTGTATGAATGATAAGTTGTGTATGTCTCGGCCTAGTTTCGGTTACTTTTGCCGCACGAGAGTCCACAGCAGTCCTAGCGCACCGCCTGATCCTGAGCCGTGCCCTTGTCTACAGAAGTTTCCGGACGCAACACCTTCCTTACCCGATTGTAAGCCGCGTCCTCCAGCTCGATTTGGCGGTCGCTACTATTGGATAACTGAGTAGTGAATAGTAGAGAGCTCTAAAAACTCATTTGCAATTTAAAAAAGTGGACATAGGTAAGATTACCAAATTAGGTTGGTAGTCGATTTTGGGATGATTTTGTTTTATTATTTAAAAACAAACCTATCCCGTTAACGTATTATATTTTGGTGCTTTTATGTTTAGTTACCCTTTTAAATTTTAATTCGATTTAGTTTTTATAATTACTTTTTTTTTGTTTAAAAATGTCAAAGACTTATAAGCATCTACTTTCTCGTGCATACAAATTACATTATATAAAAATATAAGTAGGTAATACATTTCAGTTTTGTAAGAAATTTTATCTAGTTTCCGCAATGTTGACAACAAACTGACAGAATCCAACGCAATAGCCTATAAAGTGTATGTGCTTTAATATATAATACCTAGGTCATTGTAAATGCACTTTTAGTAGGTCACTCAAACTGAGTAAGTGTTGAAATTTGAAGTAGATTCCGGTAATTATCTCTCTTATATTATGAACATAATCGATCGTATCGAAATTATCTTAAAGTGCACGAAAATTTTTTGTAATTTGTAGCACCCGAGAATTCAATGGCTTAATGTATTTTTTTATATTATAAGTCCATTATCAAATTATAGGTCCTGATGTAAAGGTTAATTACAATAAAATTTTGAGTAAAATATATTGCTATTTTATTATTATTTTAATGATTAGGTCGTAATTATACAATTGTTGGATTTAACAAAAACTTTTCAAGTTTCAAGTCGATATAAAAAACAATTTTATTCAGACGAAGTAGGTATATTTAATATTTTTTTATATCTGAAACTATATGCATTTTAGTAAAAAATCGCGTCACTTCATATCCGTAAAACGAAAACGGCTTAGTTTTTTGAAATTAGCGTGGAAAAATTATTATTCAGAATCATGTACAAAACTTCATGCAACACATAATATGCTGTTTTCCTATGTAGGTAATAAGACTGTGGTTCGAATCAGAATCCATTCGGCCAAACGCATGAAATGGAAAATATCTCATATCTCAAACTAATTTTCGTTGAAATCTCAATTCTTTTTGAATTTTGCACCTAATACTTCAAAAGCTATAAGGGATTATCGAGTAGTAATATGTACTTGTACGTATATCCTAAACAAAGACCTATCCACACGCTTGGTGGTAAGTTGGAGTAAAATAAAAAAATAGAGGTGACTATTATATATTAATATACTATATATTTGTTATTTTTGGTAATTTGACTACAAATTGTTTTTATATGATACTGATGATGAATTTCAATAATGTAGTTATACAGGGTAGAACAAATGGATGGGACATGGAAGAAAACTAGGTACTTACCTTAAATATTGAAGATATCTACTATTCACTATTTTATTGAACTAACTGATAGAGTCTATGGGTGTGGTAAAGATAATCCCATCAAAAACATACTGTAAAAATATTGCAAGTCTCGCAACGCATCTCTCTACCGCAAAAAGCTATGAGATATAATGTAAAACCAAGTCGGTTAATTTATTCATTACCTATCTATGGAAGCATCTATCCGACAACTTTGTCATAAATCGTTACCGAATTAGTTAAGTTACAACATTTTATAGTGACCGTATTAATATTAGATATATTTATTTCTTTAATTAATAGAGTGACTTGGCCATCGCACGGAAACATAATCACATAAGAGTCTACTACTTTAAATAGTCCTAATTAAAAATATCATGACCAAGGTGGACGGACGACTTGGTCAAAGTCGCTGGAGCCCACTGGATGCGGATGGCACAAGACTGGTTGTCGTGGAAATTTTTGGGGGAGGCCTATGCCCAGCTGTGGACGTGTTTGGGCTGAAATGAACGGAACATAGTACTAGCGGGTCAAATTGATGCATACACTAACAATACATAAATAATGCACTCAGAACGTTAATATTAGGTAAATTTTGTTATTTGTAGGTTCTGTTCTCATGTGCGATGGCCAAGTCATTCTATTAATTAAAGAAATAAATATATCTAATATTAATACGGTCACTATAAAATGTTGTAACTTAACTAATTCGGTAACGATTTATGACAAAGTTGTCGGATAGATGCTTCCATAGATAGGTAATGAATAAATTAACCGACTTGGTTTTACATTATATCTCATAGCTTTTTGCGGTAGAGAGATGCGTTGCGAGACTTGCAATATTTTTACAGTATGTTTTTGATGGGATCTCATTTCTTTTTGTAAATATTTCTTCTTTTTCCCTTTTCTTGTACTATTTCTTGTGTGTCAGCTAAGGACTTCTTAAAAGCCCACTCCCTGTCTCTGTAGGCTTTTTTCAGAGGCTTTGATATAACAAATTTTGACAAGTGTGGATGAGAAAAAATCTAAGTCTATTGTATTCGGAAATTGCGGATTCCTGGGCTTCATTACTACTATCTTATGCATTAAGTATAAATATGTATAGTTAATTTAATGAATATTTTAATTTCATTGTTGACCCTAAATACCTACCCCGATACTGATATTGAACTTACGTAAGTTTAATAAAACGTGTAGATTTATGTGTCTATCTGCGGCATCGTAGGTAAATCCCGAAGATTGTTATACTTACTTATTATTGCTTGTTCAGTCAATTTTGATGCAGTTTAATAGAAAAGTGAGGTTGCCAACTCACTTCATTCACTGATTCCATTGGCCATTTTAAAAGTAATTTTCGAAGAGATTGATATTTCATGACCTCTATATTCCATGTTCTATTAGGTTTGTACAGTTACGAGCAATGAAATGTTAACAAGTTTTCTAATTCAAATCAACATCATACTTTATAAAAGAAAATATACGAGCTTTGTTTCAAAATATGTTGGGACAGTAACACACAGAACCATCTAGTTCCATGCTACGAGGCTTGTGTTATGGATACTAGATAGTTGATACACTACTCATATATAACTTTAAAACATACATATTATAAATATAAACACCCATGACTGGACTACAAACTTTAGTCATCACACAAATGAATGCCCCCAGCGGGACTCGAACCCGCGACCGCCGGCACAGGAAGTAGGGCCGGGCCACTACAAACTGAGCCAAACGTGTCGTCAAAAATTAAGTAATCGTCAAGTTTTGTCGTAATTAGGTATATATTTTAATAAATTCATTATAAATAACAGGTAATCGAATATTAGTTGGTAATACACTATACACGCTTCACGTTGTATTTATGTACCCATTTGTATATGCATAAAAATGTATACAGCTACTGAAAACGCTTGAATTAATATTTTCACATTTGAATAATATTTTTCTAATGTATACAATAGTTGCAATATCAACATTAATAAATAAATAGACGAATCGTGATTAGGTTAGTAATTACGAGGGAACATAGGATCGAACATACAAACATACATACAGGTTAAACACTAACCTAACCTCCTTTTACATTGCAAGTGACGACAATTATATGTATGAACTGCACAAGTAACTTTGTAATCCCATATATCGCATATCTATTTGTATAGGATTACAAAGTTACTGATGCAGTTGGTTGTATATCACGAAAACAGGATTGAAATTGCGTGATGTTTGAATTTTTCCTTGGGTTATAGAGTAAACACGAATTGTGTTCAAAATTGGAAGCTTCTAAGTCTGCTAGAAGTACCTTAGAATTTTGATGATCGGTGAGTGAGTGAGTGACGATATTAACGAATTTTGATCTGCAACAGTTCATAAACTACTGGTTCAAATTGAATGTAATTTGGAAATGTACGTAGTTTTATTATGTTCTCTTAGTCACTCAAAATTCAAGCTTCTAGCTTTATCCATAACGAAGTTATGGGGGGGTGGAAAATGCTCTGAATCCCTTCGAGAAAAGGATGGTACTGCCGTGCCCTTTTTTGCTCGACTTGTTTGCTCGACTTGGCGGGGGCACTGCCGTGCCCCCTGAAATCTTTCGAAGAAACATTGTAGGTATCTGACAATTAAAGGAAGCCATGAAATCTACAATTTATAGATTTCCAGTCTAGCTACATCGTGGAAGGAAAGTGTCTTAAATACTGAAAATATCAAGTTTCACACAAAGGAAGCATTATTTTATTTATAAAATAAAAATAACTGCATTTAATTATTTTTAAAAGATTTTACCTGAACTGGTTATCGAACCAGCTAAAAATGGAAAAAAGTCCTTAAAAATTTAAATGCATTTATTA